ACAAGCTAAGAATGGTTTTTATATTTTTTAAGAGTTGTAAAAAAAAAAAGAAGAAGAAAGAGAAAATGAAGATGGGACGGAGATCGTATGAGGCCCCTAAAGGCTAAAACATTTGCAATCTGACTCTTTACGGAAGTTTGTGGACTCTGTCTTAGACCAAAAGACCCAATCCCATCTCCAAAGCAAATGGCAATTTTCAACTAAAGAGTGGTATCCAACCAGATTTAGGTTTGAGGGGAGGCAAAATATTTCTCTAATTTTCCTGGGCACAGTACTTCTCATGGACCCAATTTACATAAACAAACAGATCATTTGCTGAAACTCAGGGTGAAGTCTGAGCAGTTAGGCAACCTCACTGACCTTCAGGCTTCCCCAGGGCGAGGAGAGATACTAGCCTGACTACGGTCACCACCGTCTAGTGTGCAGGCCTCATGAATGCACGGAGGAAGTTGGCTCTCAAGCCACCAACTCCCCATCAGCAGGTGCTCATGGAACTTTGCTCTGTTTAACACTCCCAAAAACTTCCCCCAGGGCACCTGTAAGCCCCAAGGGATGGGGGTGAGGATGGAGAGGGAGTTCTGACCTGGGAAAGCACGAGAGCTAGAGACAAGGCCTGCTTCGTGAATTCTCCACCCTAAGTTCCTGGACGCAGTGTTGCACAGTGCAGAGGACTGGAGTGATGGAACAGAATTGACATCATCAGCGGGAAGAACAGGACAATGGGAGTTCACGGTGCATCTCACATAAACACTTTCTACAGTCAGTTTCCTCTTTCCAGTCAGTGACTGACTCTTGGGGTGCCCTATGCCGCATGCCCTCGGCTCACTGATATTAGCTCCCTGCAGGCTGCCAGGCCCTCCTTACGCTCCCGCGGCAGTGTGCCTCTGCTCCCCTGCCTCTGAGATTTCTCTGAAGCTACGAAAGTCCATTTAGCGTGTGCAGACAGGTGTACTGTAGAAGTGCAGGGAGATGAACGTTGGGTGGATAAATTCCCAGCCTCCTGTCTTTCGGTGGGACAGTTCTGGGGCACATTCTACACAATTCCTCAGAGGGTCCCCAGTAAGACTGAGCCGCATTTGTCCATAGTGGTAATTAGCTCAGAATATGCCTTTATTGACTCTTCTCCTTTCTCTGGGTCACTCACCTAAAACCCTCACTCTTGCCTTGTGGAACCACCTCCAGAATAAACTACCTGCACCCAAGCCTTGCTTCAAGCTCTGCTTTTCGGAGAACCTAAACTAAGGTAGGCACACATCCCCAGCACAGGAGGAGCAGCCCCAATCTAACCAGAGTGACAGAGTGAAGGGTCATAGCTTTCTCCTCACTTCACATTTGTCATCTTTCTGTCACGTCAAAACCCTTTCACATCCACAGCCCTGGAGGGCACTGGAAATGACTCAGAGCTAGAAAGAATTACCTCATATTCTGGATGACACAACCACGGCACAAAAAGATCCTGACCAGCTGAAGCAGTGGGGCCACCATCAACAGGATGAAATTTAAAAGAGATAAATGAGTGCCACGTGGAAGTTCAAAAAGGAGATCAATTGCCCACATACTGAATATGAGAGTCATTAATGTGAAACAAAAGACTGTGGGGTTTTTCACTGATCACAGGCTCTTTCTGAGTCAAGACTTAAAAAAAAAAAACAACAGCCAAAGCAATGGGGGACAGCATTGGCAGAAGCATCCAGATCAAGGCTCAACAAGGCTCTAAGTGATCTGGCTCTGGCTCACCACCATCAAGCTCAAGTCCTGGACTCTCTGCTGATTGGACAGTGTATCAGACACCTCTCCCGAGCCACGTTAGATCTACTGGGCCTCCCCTGTCTTAGGGCCTTTGCCTGCTTGGGCCAGCCCAGCCTCAGCAGTGGCAACTAACTCTCCATGGGCCTGGCCATCTTCATGTGGGCACAACCAACAGTGACTTTGGCCTTCTGTTGCCCTGGATTTTTTCCTGTTGCTGGTGAGGCATGAGATGCTGTGGGACTCCCTGGGAACATACAGAACATGGAGGGGGAGGGAGTTAACACCCAATGGGGCAAAACTTTCACCAATGAGAGGCAAGAGCCAACAGATACATTCTTCCCCCTCCCTTCCCCTAGCACATGTTCCTGAGTGGAAGTTGTTGATATGGCCTCTTGGAAGATGGAGATCAAGCGATTCAATGCACTTTAGATCAGGTGGTGGCTGCTTTGAGAATGAACCCTCGTACTGACTCTCCCCACTCCATTTCCTGCCTCCTTACTTCTGCTCCCTGGGACTACACTTCTGAGTAAAGTTCTTACACATAAGCCTTTCCCCGGGTTCTGTTTTCTGGGGAACTCAGGCTGAGACAGACGTCTGAACCTATCCTGAAGGCCAGAGGAGTGTTGTGTGCTCGTTGGCTAAGGCTGGGACGGCCTGATGTAATCACTGGGACCCAGGGAGGAGCTCTTCAGGATGGAGGGGGTGGGATGGATGGAGGAGAGACCATCCACAATGTCTGTCAGGCAGATGAAGGCTGTGTGTATCTTGTCCCAGCAGTAAGTGTTCACTTTAGTTCCTTAAACTGTTCCATTTCTATAATTTCTGATGCCTAATAAGTGCCTTGTAAAGCAGAAGTGATGGCACAAGCCAAATTGAACATCTTTCATTGTGATAATCTTTGTTTTCACAAGGGTGACCGAGAAGTTGCAGCAGCTGTCAAGTGCAATCACAGCCTTAGGCACAGAAGCACTGTTACGGAGTTTTTTCTTTAAATGAAATCTGACTGTAATTCCTCATCCCTCTGCATCGGGACAGAGTTCTTTCTCAGTGATTATTGGGGCTTTCAGCCCACTTCCTGGGTAAGGCTTGAAAAATCTGGAGCAGAGCTACACACTTGGGACCCCTTCAGGTTTTTATTCTTTGTCTTTGCTGCCCCACATCGCGTTTCAGTGTGGGAGTCTTCCTGAGCCTGGGGTCGCTACTTAGAGTCCCCCTCTGGTGCTGAGAGAGCAACCTTGTGCCCCACTATCTATCTATGGGGAGCCTCAGGCTGTACCCTCCGCATAATGTCACGTGAACGCTACTCTTCTTCACTTGTTTTACAGCTTCCTTCTCCCCCTGGGTCTCCCAACACAACACAAAAGTACTACTGATTTCTCTCCACCCTACCTGGAGACCCCAGCATAATCTTCTCAGAGAGTGTAAGCCAAAGGACAGTAGCCCCCCTTATTCTCAGTTTTGCTTTCCACAGTTTCAGTTACCTGTGGTCAACTGTGGTCCAAAAATATTAAATGGAAAATTCCAGAAATAAACAATTCATAAGTTTTAAATTGCGTGCTGTTCTGAGTAGCATGATGAGATCTCATGCCGTCCCACCTGGGACATGAATCATCCCATTGTCCAGTGTATCTGCTGCCAGCCCGATCATCACTTAGTAGCCCTGTTGTGGTATCACAGTGCTTCTGTTCAAGTCACCCTTATTTTACTTAATAATGGGCCCAATGCACAAGAGTGGTGATGCTGCCAATTTGGATATGCCAAAGAGAAGCCATAAAGTGCTTTCTTTAAGTGAAAAGGTGCAAGTTCTTGACTTAATAAGGAAAGAAAAATAATTGTATGCTGAGGTTGCTAAGATCCACAGTAACTTTTATTACAGTATATTATTATAGTTGTTCTATTTTATTATTGTTTATTGTTGTTAATCTCTTACTGTGCCTAATTCATAAATTAAACTTTATCATAGGTGTGTGTGTATAGGAAAAACATATTATTTATAGAGTTCTGTATCTTCCGCAGTTTCAGGCATCCACAGCGGGTCTTGGAATAAAGGTTGCTACTGTAATTGGTAGACTGCCAACCAAATATTGCCCATGTTTTATTGTCTTTATGGCCCTGTTTTATTGTCTTATTCCCACTGTTTTACAAAAAGGGGAATTTCAGGTGTAAATGCAGACATCTGGCTTCTCCAGAAAGATCAGAACATTGGCAGTGCTGGGGACTGGTTCCCTCATGAAAAGTTGGCTGGGTCTGAGGGGTGGTTGCTACTTTAGATGAGGTGTGTGCCCTCCTGTTTGGGAAGGTCCCTACCATGACCTATGATTTCACCTCCGGCCCCTGTAGGCATTTTGGTGTAAGTACTAAGTTTATTTCATTTCATTGATGCAATAAATACTTATTGAGCACTTTTTCCGTGTAAGGCCTTGTTCTAGGCACTGGGGATATAGAAATGACAACAAAGACCAAAGATCCTGTTTTGATGGAACTTATATTTTGATAGAGGAGATAGACAATTTTAAAAAGTAGATATACTAATGTTTAAGATGTCGGGTGGTGGTAACTGCTGTGAAGAACATCAAGCAGGGTAAAGGGCATGGAAGGTAGTGAGCTGAGGGGTAGGGACAGGTGAGGCGCCATCTTTTGTAAGCTATTTCTGGAAGGTCTGTGTTAAGAGGACATTTAGGCAGACACTGAAGGCAATGAGGGGCTTCACAAAGTCAGGAAGAGAGGGTTTGTTCTCAAGCTGCCCCTTTCAAGCCTGGGAGGCAAGAGAATAAGCAGACAGGCCTTCTGGAACAGTCCAGGATAAAATGCAGAAGCCAAAACACCAAGAGTTCTCATTTGTTCTTATTTTTGCATTCCAGCAGAAGCTAAACACGACTTAATATCTTAATAAGTTTTCAGTCCCACTGTTGTAAACATTTTTAATAGATAAAACTAAAGTTCAAATATGGTATATATCCTCCTGTGGAGTGAATCAATCCTGTTTTATTTCCTGTATTTTGGGGAGCTGGCCTTTCTGCTTTAGTCATAGGCCTCAGCGAGCAAGCTTGTCTAATTTGATCATCAGACAAGGGTGTAGCTATGCCTTTGGTTCTTTTCTTGGGTTATGATCACAGCTAGTGTTAAACTACTACATGCTGCCTGGTCAGACACGAGGATTTGGTCATCTCCATAAACATGATGCTGTTGTGAGTTCACTCTTCTATTTAGAGAAGCGTGTCAGCTAGAAATACCTCCACCTTACTTCCCAGACGCATGCGTACTGAGTGAGTCTCCAAAATAGCCCCTTGACTAAGTGGCAGCTTTAAAAACCATCCAGCTGCTGACTTCAAACTAGAAGGTCAGCAAAGGAAAGTGGAAGTTGGATTCTGAACGATCAAGGTGCCCACAGGAATTTAACAGTGGTTGGGATTTTGGAGACTTGACCAACTAGACTGGGGCTTCTCCTTGGCTTTCTTGCCTGTCGCCTGTCTTTGTCTTCTGTCTTCAGACCTCAAGATGAACGTGCAGGCTTGCTCTAGGTGTGGGTATGGAGTGTATCCTGCTGAGAAGATCAGCTGTCTAGATCAGGTCAGTACACATTTCCTGACCTTTGGAAATAATAACAAACATGGGAAATTTATCTTTTCACATATGGACATGTGGGTTTTTTTTTGAACCACCAAAGAAAGATGTATTTCCCACCTTTCTTCAGTTCTACTCATTTCTAGCTATGTCTTCTATATTGTCTCAAAAAAATGTTATTCATTTATTTAACATATTGTAGCTGTGTGTGTGTATGTGTGTGCTTTTATCACCATTTTATCCCTAAAGCTCTATTTTTTACCCTGAAATATGTAAGGATCCTGAGTCTGAAGAGAAGATAGTTTTGCTAAATCTTTTCTATATGATTTCTAGATATGGCATAAAGCGTGTTTTCACTGTGAAGTTTGCAAGATGATGCTGTCAGTTAATAACTTTGTGAGTCACCAGAAAAAGCCATACTGTCATGCGTAAGTGTTTGATGCCCCTCCCCACCACCGCTTGAGTTTTGCTTATTTTTTAACAAATAGCCAATCAGAGGTTCAAATCACACACTCCAGGGTTAAATCTGAGAAATATCTTCTCCAAAGTTTTTAACTTACTTACAATCATTGAAAAGACCTAAGACGAGATTTTATGCAGTAGACAAGAAGTTGAAAGTTTCAAATTTCTTGTAAGGAAAAGATTAAATCTATCCACTATAACCTCATGTCAAATTATGAAATATTGCACAGAACAATGTAATTGCCACAGATATGCATATAGAGCTTTAAAATTTTTCTTTCAAATAATTTCAGAATCCTATTCTATTTGTTCAGAAAGTTTTTAAGTGATCATTTCCAATTAAATTTGGTCTTTAAGTTATATACGTTGAATTTATTTGATTTGCTTTCTTTTTCTTTAAGACTTATTGCCTAGAAAATCTTGAACTTAATTATTGTTTTATATTTATTGATTTAAAAAGTGGCTGTGCCTTTAAGAATAGTCACTCAATCATCTTGGATATAGTACATTTCTAATTTTGGTTTATATCTAATTTTTGTAGCCATAACCCCAAGAACAACACTTTCACAAGTGTTTATCACACTCCATTAAATCTAAGTGTGAGGAAATCTCCAGAGGCCATCTGTGGGGTAAGTTACTTAATTTTGAATTTCAAAATAGCCTTTAAAGAAAATTTCTTTCCCCCAGCACCTGTTAGGTTTTTAAGTATCTCTGTCTAGACATGAACCTGCCCATTTTCTCCACCTATACATGCAAAGTGCATTTAAGTAACAAATATTGCTCTTGGTCCTACCACAATACGGGGGCCAAGACCCAGGATAAACTAGCTTGAACGTCTGAGGTCCTTGTATCCAGTGTTATCGCTCTGTGTCTGCCAGCTCTGGACACATTGAGGACAGTTTATACAATAGGCCCTGCATACACTAGGTGCTTAATACATAAAACAAAGTTTATATAGTTGGACATATTACAAGAGCCTTTCCTTTCTTTCCCCCCCGTGATATTTTGGTACAGAAGATTAAAAACCTCTACTTCCACACTCTTAGATCTCTCTGAATTCAGTGATGTGTAAGGTTATTTGCAGCCTCTCTTTCCCCTTGGGGTAGGGGGTAGGTCAAAGATATTTTGATTTGGAAGTGATGTTTGGGTAGACAAGAAGCCCATGTTGATAAACCAGCCTCTTTTGAAAGACCAGCAGTGGAGTTTTGTCAAATAACTAGTGATTGATTGAACGCTTGCATTTATTAAAATGATGAATCATTTAACTTCTCTCCCCCATCCCCCACAAGAAGTTGGTCCGTGGGATGGAGCTAGCTGCTTTCTAAAATTAGAAAATTACACATGAGATGGAAGGCTCTCTAGTAATCTGCCGTCTTAATGTTACCTCGCCTTATACTGACTCTCTCGCCTGCCCAGGCTGCCTCCTCCTCAAGAAAACGTGTGTTAGATCATGCTTATCCTTATCATGTGGTCTCTCCACACCTGCCAAGTAGCTTGTTTCTCTCAGTGCTTTGCACTAATACTGAGTTTATTATTTTTTTAACAAGCTATATAACACTTACTGTACAATTGCTTAATTCACTTAATACACATTCCAATCCAATGAAGTAAATACTAATATTATCCCATTCTGCTGGTGAGAAAACCAAGGCTCAGAGAGTTGCTCATTAAGAATCACAAGCAATCCTAGATTACTGAGAAGGCTGATTCTTTGAGGATTTTCTTTTCATCTCTTGATGTCTAAGGACAATGACATGAAATTACAATAAATACTGAATTTAGCTCTTACTTACCAGAGTGCCAAAGACTCTGCTAGGCTCTTTATCTATGTTGTCTCATTTATTCTTCACAAGAACCCTCTGTAACATCATCATATTGCAGCTGGGGAGGCTGTGGCTCAGAGAGGTTAAGTCACTTGCTCAGTTTTACCCAGCTAGTTGAGTGAGTACAAATGCAGATCTGCCTGACTTTCGCACCCATATCCTAAACTGCTCCATTGGCCTGCTTCTGTGACCCCCGAGGGTGGGAAACTGTGCAGAAGGAAAAAAGTGCTTGTTTATGTTTTCGAATATCCAGTGCTTCTGCAATTGTGTAGCCAAAGTTGGATAGATTAAACCCAAGGAGATGTACTTATACATCAGACTGCTGTTTGTGTATATTACACTCACTACAAAAAGATTCATAATATCTGTACTTTTCCACCCTACGCTAGGCCTCAACAGGTGTGTCCCTACCTTACAATCACACAGCAGCACACACAGTATTTACCTTTCTTTGAGATGGTAGTGGATTCACTTTCTTTCGACTGTGTCTGACAGGCCCACCCCGGAGTGAGGCTGGGATGGTCGCTGGTTCTATTTCCAGCCGCAGACAGTGATGTCAGCTTCCCAGGAGGCCTGTGTGTGTGTTTGCATCGATGTGAATATGTGTGTGTGCGTATAAATATGTGTGTGTGCATATGGGGAGTGTATGTATGTGTGTATGTAGGTGTGGATAGGTGTGCACATGCAGGCATACCTGTGTACATGGTGTGTATACATGTGTGTATATACACATGTATGGGTGTATACGTGTATGTGGGTGTATGTGTGCACATATGTGCATGTGTGGGATGTATGTGTGTATACGTGTATGTGTGTATGTGGTGTGTGCATGTCTGTGTGTGTATGTGTATATATATGGGGTGTGTAATATCTGTGTACATGCATATGTGTGTACATGCATGTGTGTATGTGCGTGTGTGTGTATATATGAGTGTGTGTATGTGTGTACGTACATATGTGTGTGTGTCTGTGTACAAACAATTGACTGTGGAGATCGCTTTCTCCTTTCCCACTTGGGAAAAATTCAAATGGACAATCGTGTCCCTTCCAGGCCCCAGATCTTGTACCACCCTAGGGAGTGGGATAGATTCCTTTCCTACCCGCTAGCATCTCTGAGAGACTTTGCCAATTGAATAAAATCCAAATTCATTGTGCATGTGCTAAAATGAAAAAGTAGGGTAGAGATTTTGAGCTGGCATTTAAAGCAGATTGACACTTTTCTGTTTCCTAAGTGACACTCTTTTAAAAATAAATAAATATTTACTAAGACAAACTTTCCTGTTTGGTAAGTGTGGATGGAATTTTTAGAAGAATAAGACATCTAGGTTCTCTTCTATTCAGAGAATGAACTTTAGCCCTTAATACTTCCCTACCCTGCTAGTAACGTTTATGGCTTTTTTTCCTCTTCCTACTCCCTCAGAATAATCACTTATCTCATAAAAGGTCTCTGGGGAGGCAGACACTCCTCGGTAAAGAATTTGTACTGTGGGAGGAGGACAGCAAACACGGCTTCTTGGAAGTGGGGGAGAATATCTACTTTGGTCACGTGTTTCTGATTCCTTAAGTCGATGGCTCTCAAGGAGGGCAATTTTACCCCCCAGGGGACACTTTGTGATGCCTGCGGACTTTTTTGATTGTCACAACTGGGAGGGGGTAAGAGTACCATTGGCAGCTGGTGGATAGAGGCCAGCTATGCTGCTAAACACCCTGCAATGCACAAGACAGTCCCCACAACAAAGCGTTAACTGGCCCCAAATGTGAGTAGTGCTGCCAACAAGAAACCCTGCTGCTAAGTCTATGTAATGTTCCTGGTAGTTTCTCAAAATCCAAGGGGAAGAGCATGTAAAGTTCTCTCAGTTCATATATTTAAAAATATACATATTGGAACTGCATTAAACAGTAGCAAGCACAGAAATCCAATGACAGAAAGTGCGTTAGTAGGGAACTAGAATTCCTGGATTCTAAACCTGGCTCTGCTAACCCACTGAATGATTTTAATAAGTTCACTTCTTTTCCCTGAGCTTCTTTCCTCATCTGTAAAATTAATGATTTAAACTTCAGCTTGTTAAAATTGCAGATTTCTGGGCCATATTTTAGACCTCATAAATTATGATATCTCAGTTTGTCCCTAAGACCTGCTTTTTTGTTTTATGGTTAGTACTTTTTATGTTCTCAATAAGAATTCTTTGCCTGTCCCAAGGTCATGAAGATATTGTTGAGATGTCAGTTCTCCCCAAATTGATCTATACGTTCAATGCAATCTGAAAATCTTGGTATTTTTTTTGTAGAAATTGATGAACTGATTCTAAAATTGATATGAACATACAAAGATTCTAGAATAACCAGGAAATTGTGAGGAAATTGAAGGACTTAGGTTACCGGATTTCAAGACTTACTATAAAAGTAGTAGTAATTAACTCAGTGTCGTATTGGCATAAGATACACAAATAGACCAGTGGAATACAGTGCAAGGTCCAGAAATAGAATTGCACGTATGTGGTCACTTGAATTACAACAAAGGCATCACTGCAATTCAATGTAGCAAGAATGAGCTTTCAATAAATGGTACTGGAGTGATTGGATGTTTGAATGGAGAAAGAAGAACCTTGACATCTACCTCACACCCATACACAAAAATTAACTGAAGGTGTATTATAGATCAAGATGTTAAAGGTAAATTTATAAAACATAGGAGAACACCTACGTGACTTTGGGGAGCCAGCATTTTAACAGGCTCCCTGGATGATCGTTGCACAGACTACATACAGTTAAGAACCACTACTCTAGTGTCTCGTGTTTCCTGAGGTTACTCTAACCTGAATTGGTGTTGTGTGATAAGCTCATAGAGACTTGAAGTCTTTTTAATTGCACTGCTGAAAAGAGCTTTGCACGCAGCGGGTGCTCGGTACATGCCGCCTGGCTAGTGGAACCGATGAAGCCACAGAGAGACTGACGGCACAGTGTGTGTTGTAGTGCAGTGAAGATGCTTTACAGTTGAGACTTAGGAAAATCCCCACAATTTAGCTATATATTGTTATTATTTTTCTCTTCTCTGATGGAAATATTGCTGACAACATCTTCATTGCACAGACTGATGACCAAGACAATGGTGGACGGTTTAAATCTGTTTTTCACTGGGACATGAAAGCCAAGGATGGGGCAGCCGCACCTAACAGGCAACTGGTGAACGAGGTGAGAGAAGAGTTATGTGTGGGTTTGGAAAGAGAGAAAAGAATGACACACTCTGCAAATGAAATTTATTGTCATCATTACTTCTAGAGGAGATCAATTAGGCTTTCTTTTATCCGGTTTGTAATTCCAGTTGTCTACCAAAGACCTTCATCAACATGTCCTAGCATAGCCTCAACTATATCTGCTCATTGACTTCTCCCTTCCAACCACTGTGTTTCTATTACTAGGAACAGCCATCCAGGCTGTAAACCAAGGCTGCCCTTTCCTCCTCTGACACTTCACTCACCCCCACGCCTGCCCCTCCATTTCACTATCCCAGCTCTGATCCACAGGCTCTCCTGCCTGGACCTTTATGAGGGGCTCCTGAGATGGCCTTCCCTCCTCCAGATTTGCCTCTCTCCAGCCTGTCATGTGATATTGGTCACACACAGCTTCCTGGATGGATGTCCCTGGCTTACTCTTCCCATCACCTGAGAATTTATGGTCACTCGCTATTAATAGCCTCATCATTTCAAAATTCCTCAGCCATTTGTTTTTAATTATATACATAATACTTGCACTTTTCTTATTGTAAAAAAATCCAAACAGTACAAAGCTAACCCCTTTTTTACCAACTCCAATCTCAGTTCCCTCTGCAGAGATGCCCATTGTGATCAGTCTTGTGGGTATCCTTCCAGAATGTTCTCTATTCATTCACAAATAATGTCTCTATATTTGTTTTTTAGTACTTACATTCGGACATGCCTACTGCCACTTAGTGGGGGACCTTTAATGAGTTAGTTAGCCTTCTTTGCTTTAGTTTTCTCATCTATAAAGTGAACTTCATAGAACTAAAGTTCCTGATTCATAGAACTATTGTGAAGGTTTAAAGAGTTCTATAAATGTAAAGGTCTTGGAACAGTGGTAGGCACAATAAATATCAGCTATTATTTTTATTGAAAATTGTATATGTATGTTTCTATTGGAATGTATAATTTTATTTTTTCATGAAACAATATGTATTGTTTTGCAGCTTATATTTTTCACTTAACAAATATCTTAGAGATATTTCTATGTCAGCATCCTTTTAAGGTGTTGTGCATGGATGTATCATGGGTACAACCATTAAGAATGGATATATCATGCTCTCCTATTGATGGAATAGGAGAATAACCATACAGGATTATTTCCAATTTTTTTTTCTATCACAAAGTTGCAATGAACACCCTTGTGAATGACCTCTTTTGGACACAAATGAGTGTTTCTCTCGAATAGATAATGAAAAATGAGGTTGCTAGGTCAAAAAGTCTGTGCCTTTTTAATTTTAATGGACACTATCAAATTGCCTTCTAAACTGGCTGTACATTTTATACTCTCATAGGCAGAGTATGAGAATACCTGTTTCCAACACTCTCACCACCATTTGGTATTACCAGATAAAAGTATTGACAATCTGTATCTTGTTTTTTTAATTAAAGTTCCCTGATTGCTAGTGTGGTTGAACGTATTTTCGCATATGAATGATCTGTCTTTCCAGATCTCCAAAGGCTGGCTCTACTCAACCTACCCAACTTGCCCCACTTCCAGACCACTTGACTCCTCATCTCTTCCCCTTAATTCCAATTAAACCCACCTCCTCATGGGCTTCACACGAACCCCATCACTGCCTTTATGCTTTTTTTCATGGCAGTCCCCATTCCTGGAATTTATTCAACAAATATTTATTGAGTTTATTATGTGCCAGGTCCTGTTCTAGGCTCTTGGAATATATCAGTGAACAAAACATATGAAGGCCCTGACTTCATGGAACTGACCTCCTAGAGCAGATGCCTTTCTTTCTCCCTTCGCATCTATTAACTGACCTCAGCCCAGATGTCCAGCCCAAATTCCATCTTCTTGTCCAAAACAGGGCCTATCACATACAGATTGCTTTTTAAACACTCTCTTATTTATCTTCAATACAGTACCTTTAAGCACACAAATGTTTTCTAATCACTAATTGTTTCATATGTTAGTTTTATCTCCCTAGATAGGTCTTAAGTATCTAAAAAGAGGGACTTTGTGTTCCTTTTTCTTTGCTTTTCTTCTCCCAGTGTTAACTACTTAACCCAACATTAGGCACTAAACAGGTAGTAGTTTTTGAAGCTTGGCTGAATAATGCTGATCAATCTCAGACTGTCTGTCCGTAATGATTCCCCGCTGCCCAGTCTTGGTGCACTGATGAGCAAAGAAACGTTAAGTTACATTTGGAACTCTTCTATGATATAAGTGAATCTCAGAAAGTTCAATTATTTAGGATATTTTCTAGTTTGAAAGAAAATCAACATTCTGGTTAGCTGAAACCCACCGTATGCCAATAGGAGCTTATAGTTTTTAGAGAATTTCTATCTTCTATTGACAGTGTATGGGAGTGTTGCTAGAAGGGTGGGGTAGATAGGGGGATCTTACCCACCAAATATGTGGGGTGTGTGTTTGTATGCGTTTGTATATTTTCTTTATAGAGAGCCTATTGGACTGGATATGGGGAAGGGAATTCTTGGTGCCCAGGAGCTCTGCCAGACCCTGAAATCGTAAGGATGGTTGAGGCTCGAAAGTCTTTTGGTGAGGTAAGGGCACTAGTAATTACTTCAGTAATTAGTCAGCGAATAGTTTGCATGTTTCTTTATTTTTAAGATTGTGATAAACAGAATAATGCTCTGCTTTCCCAAAGAATCCCATGTCCTAATCCCTGGAATCCGTGTATAAATTACCTTACATGGCCAAAGGGATTAAGGTAAGGATCTTGAGATAGGAAGATTTTCCTGGATTATTAGGGTGGACCCACTGTAGTCACTAAGGCCCTTGTAATAAGGGAAGCAGGAGGGTCCAAGTCAGAGAAAAGGTGATGTGACAATGGAAGGAGGAGTCAAAGCAGTTTGGAGCCATAAACCAAGGAATGCGGGAGGCTACTAGAAGCTGAGAAAGGCAAAGAAATGGATTCTTCTCTAGAACCTCCAGAAGGAACAGCACTGATGGCCCATTTTAGACTTCTGACCTCCAGCACCATAAGAGAGACCTTAGTAAGTTTTCATATAGGAAAGGCAATTTTAGCCCAGATTGTGGAAATCCTTAACGATTTGCACACAGTTCTCTCTAGTCCTCTGCACACACCCAGGACGCTTATCCTTTGAAGAAACCACTTTGGAAAATATTGTTAGTCTTTAGTGACTTTTCCTTTAGCAAATGGAAAGAAAACAATAGAAACAAATGGTAAGGTGCTATGTCTCATTAGGAAAAGCAATCATCAGAGACACTCAAAAAGTAAGGACCAAAAAGCACAGACATTTCACTCCCAATGCTGTAGAACTATCTCTAGTGGACGAGTTACAGAGAAGTCTCCTGCATATTAATTGCTGTATTATCATACATGCCTTTGAGTCAAAGGGCATCCCTTGGGTTGTGCCAGGTTCCACATAATTTGATGTAAGCATTGAAGGGAAACTCTGTGATCTGGGAAATATGATTTCTTCAGTGTTGAAGGTGTTATTCAAGTCACCAGTTGAATAACATCTTCGAATTCATTCCAGATGATTGAAATATTTTTCCAAGTACCTTATAAATCCAGTTGCATTGGTTCTGAGGATGCTTGCTATCACAGGTTTATTAGTTCTCCTCCAGTATCTTGTTGGTTCTCATGCTGACATGGGTTTTGACCAGCAGGAATATACAGAAGACCCTGGGCAACAGAGGGGCAAAGGCAGCTTTCCAGCCATGATCACGCCTGCTTATCAAAGGGCCAAGAGAGCCAACCAGCTGGCCAGCCAAGTGAGTGTCTTAATGCTTATTCACCTTCAATTTTGCTAATTTTTGTCATTAATGAACCCCTGGGATTCAGAAAAAAATCCAATAAGAGCATGTTTTTGAGCAGTAGGTACTATTAGTATAGTATTATGGAGAAACTGTTTTTTTCTCTTTTCCCGATTGATTATCCTCTGTGCTTCAGTTGGGCCACATCCATCAAATAGAGAGAAGACCATGTAGCTCACCCCAAGACTAGACCAAATAATTTCTTGAGGTCACTTAGCATTAAGGACACTGAATTTTATTAAGTGGATGGCAGATCCTCCTGAAATGTAGCATAGCTTGTTGGTTAAGAGCTCAGATTTTGGAGCCAGAATGCTGGAATTTGAATCCTGGCTCTATCATTTACTAGATGTATGACCAGGAGCAGATTACTTAACCTCTCTATTCCATAGCTACTCATTTGTGAAATGGGGAGAATAATAGTCATGCCTCATGTGATTGTTATGGAGATGCAGTGAGTTAGTAAGTGTTGATGTTTAGCAGTGTCTAGCACTCTCTTAACACATTAGCATCAATTCTTTTTGAAGAGGAGCCCATAAGGCAAGCCATAAAGACTTGCCACAGGTTTGTGTTGAGTGTAGCCCAATGGTGTAGCTTCAGGTGAGCTGCAAGGAGAGGTCTTCACAAAGGCTGGTTGGTATGACCTTGACTCTATGCTGTCTCCTCATCAGGTCGAATACAAGAGAGGGCATGATGAGCGCATCTCCAGGTTCACTACAGTGGCGGATACCCCTGAGCTGCTACGGGCCAAGGCCGGGGGACAGCTTCAAAGTGATGTAAGAAATGACGGAGGCCAAGACTCAGTGATTCTCCTTTGAGATTCGCCATTCTTTCCTTACTTGGACGGGGAGGGACAGAGAATGTAGAAGGCATCTTAGTCCTGTGTGGGGGCCAGGAAGAGCTTTCTAAGGTCAAGGATGGTCAAGTCAGATAAGTCAGCTAGCACAGACCTTGCAAAAACTCTTCTTTAGAGAGAAAACTTTAGACGGTATTAGTAACACACCAGATGTATCTGATTAATCTGAAAGAATTCTCTCCTTGTCACTGCAAATTATAGAGTATAACTTCTAAAGAATTTCTACCACTTGCCTTTTCATAGTCCAGTTGCTCCATAACATAATAAGACCTAGAATTTAGTGTTGTTCTGAGTGGGAAGTTTAAGTATGAATCCAGGTTCAACTTAATAACAGGCTTCCACTTGCCTTGGGTTGAGAAGCCTCTTTTGTATCCCAGACTTGATTGGCAGCTCCTCCAGGGCAGAAACCTTATTCGTCTGTCCAGCCCCGCCATCTGGCCCATACCAGGTGCCTCATAAGTATGTGCTGAATTCTACATTGAGTGTCTCCATATGCCAGGTTCTGTGCTGGGTATTGGGAATAAAAAAGGAAATAAGATGCACATGATCCATCAAGATATAAGCCAGCTACGTTGCCACAAGGGCCGTGAAGGGGATGTGCAGGGTGTTATGGGAGCCTTAGCACTTCTTACTCAAATTGCCTGGTAGATAGTGGCCTTGTGGCATGCGATTCATATTTTTTTTTCATTTTCCAGGTGAGCTACACAGAGGACTATGAACAGCAGAGAGGGAAAGGCAGTTTTCCTGCTATGATCACACCTGCTTATCAGATAGCCAAACGAGCCAATGAGCTGGCGAGTGATGTAAGTGTCCACGGCAAAGTTGTCATGTTAGAGGAGGAAGCAGGAAGTTACCTGGGCCTGGCAAGTCCAACTTCCTGTCTACTTTTACATGACTGTGGATCCAGGAAGAAGTTTTCCTTTATAGTTTTCAATCAATTTTACCAGGATAATGATCTGGCACTTTTATGTCAAAGACACACTCATGGACTTCCAAGCAGAAAAAGAACATTCCACAAGATGTTCATTTTTACTCTTCTGGCCTCTGTGCATAGGAGGCTCAATTCACCAGGTTTGTCCTTTCCTATCGTATAGGTGAGGTACCATCAACAATATCAAAGACAAATGAAGGGAATGGCTGGTCCAGCCGCTGGAGCTGAGGAATATGTGGACCAGTACGGCCAGGTATGTGATAAAATGACTTCCTGGGAGACTGCCCTTTTCAATGGTCAGTCTTCAGTTTGGCAGCCCTCTAGCCTGTCACATAGCCTCTGACCGTTTAATCAGGGGTTGGGCTGAGGTTTGTCTTTGCCCTACGTATGAAAAGTGGATTTTCCAAGCCAGAAAGTAGTGGACAAAGGATTACATAGGCCTCAACTTGATCCACTTTGGAAATTGATTTGGAAAGTGATTCCAAGCACTTTTTCTTTTCTTTTTCTAAATAAAGGACCTATATCAATATGATGGGTTTGTCAAGAGTAAAGCATTCTCACCTATTCATTGAAGAATGGTCCCAAGGACTAATACTGGCTACATTTAGACCGTCACTACGTAAGCGTGAAAGTGATCAAAATGCATGTCTTGAAAAATATTGAACATTTCACTAAATAGCAGGACTTGTTTTCTTAGAAAGTGAATTTCTTATCTAGGTTACTAGATAAAGCAGCATGCCAGAGAATGCGAACTGTTTCCCAATTTCACTTCTGTGATGAACTGTATCTTGACAGGGTGTAAAAAGGCTGAGATGACCATTACAAGCTAATTTTTATATCCCTCTGTATTTTTTGGTACTACAGTTGCTGTAGGGGAGAAAAGCAACATTATTGTTTCATGGTTAGAAGTAAAGAATGTTGGAAGACCAAGTATGTGTACAGGAAGAGTACATTCAATGAGCTTAGTTGATTTTTTTGTGAGGAAGAGCAGTCCTGAGCTAACATCCGATGCCAATCCTCCTCTTTTTGCTGAGGAAGACTGGCCCTGGGCTAACATCCATGCCCATCTTCCTTTACTTTATATGGGATGCTGCCACAGCATGGCTTGACAAACGGTGCGTTGGTGCGTGCCCGGGATTTGAACCTGCGAACCCCAGGCTGTGGAAGTGGAGTGCGTGCACTTAACCGCTGCACCACTGGGCCAGCCCTGATTTTTTTTTCTTAATTGGACAGTTGTTTGAATTTTTTGGCAGTTTGTAGACTCTACAACATACATGACTTATTCAACATACATAATTTATGAAAGAAACAAGTAACTTATTTCTCTTCTTCGGAAAACCAAGTTGCCTATACTGGGGACTCATGTGAGACTTAGGATGTGAGTGAGGATAGATTGTGACCCCTTGGCAAATGTCTATCTGATCAAAAATGTTGGGTTTTGAATTAAAAAGGCCATTTTATTAAATTCTACAATAAGTTAATTAAATGGTCTCAGTGCCTTCACCTCCGTGCAAATATGTTTTTATTGGTTTCATGTGTTAAATATGTTGTTTAGAAGGCTCAGGACAACTTTTAAAAATCAATTTTATTTATTTTCCCCCCAAAGCCCCAGTAGATAGTTGTATGTCATAGCTGCACATCCTTCTAGTTGCTGTATGTGGGACGTGGCCTCAGCATGGCCGGAGAAGCGGTGGGTCGGTGCACGCCCATCATCCGAACCCGGGCCGGCAGCAGTGGAGCGCGCACACTTAACCGCTAAGCCACGGGGCCAGCCCCAAAATCAGTTTTATTAAAAAATATTTGGCTTCCATATTTGGCAAAAAATATTTTGTTCTATATTTGGACCGTCCTATCTGCCTATCTGCCACTAGTTACAAGACACACATGTAATTTCCTGTGTGTATCTAGATGTGTCTATACACATCGAGGAAGTGTAACTTTATAGCATCATAGTGGATCTTTGATTATTAGCACGTTTTGGTTGAAGTTTCCCGTCGTGATAATAACAAATACAAGAATCAAAGTAATTGTTGTTTGATGGCACTGCTAGCAGCTGTGGAGAGGACTCAGTCGTGTGGCATCTCACTGGGTGATTTAGTGGAACTCGCCAGGGCATGAGGAGGAGGGAGTGAGAGAGGAACAGGCAGATAGATAAACTATAAATATCCGTGCCTAAAATGCCAAACAATTCATTCTTCTTTTTAATGAGTAACTTTTTTTTTAGGTTAAGGGGCTATACCACATAATAGATTTATTATTTATAACCAGGCAACTCCCCAGTAGGATTAGGGGTCTTACAAAAAGATGCACACACGCAACATAGATGCATATAAGCAGAGAAGTTAAAATAAAGCTACAAACCAACCCCAAACCATAAAGCAGAATGGGCAAAAGGGGATTACCCAAGAATTTGAGAGCCTTTACCATTATTATTTTTTAGCTTAACTTTTTTTACTTATTACATTAGGCCCAGAACATTCTGGCAGCCAAACACAAAGGAGCACTCGGGCTAAACAGTTGTCATTATTGAATTAAAAGGAAGGTTGGACGTTCTAATTTGATCCAACAGTTTCATTTAAGAAAATGTGTGTGCCAGGTTCCGAACCTCGTGCTAGAGCAGGTGGGCCCCAGCCTTGGAGGAGGCTGGAGAGAGATGGAGTCCTGAGCTGGAGGGGGCACACTCAGGGCTGTTCCAGATTGTGGGCACACAGATGAGGAAGCAGCTGATTCTGCCTGGAGCAGGCCCGGGAGTGAGGGAGGAGTTCCTCAAAGAGAAGGTAGCATCTGATGGGGTCTTCAAGGACATACCACTGCCAGGGAAGGTTTACACTAGTGACGTGATGACAGTTCCATGAAAAAGAAGGTTTTCCTTTGTGGGAGTAGGTGGGTGGTGTGGGGAGGAGGAAAGAAGAAATTAAGACACAGATTATAACACTCTGTCGGAAATATACATCTAGTTCCTTTTCAGATCATGTTATGGTAATTTGAAGTTTTTCCCCTCAAATTACAAAAATTCAAATAGTTATATAATGTTCTTTTTCTTGGTAAATGACATACATCGCTGCGGGAGACAGTATTTGGGATGTGAATGTGTCTCTCTGCATAGATCTACCAATGAGCCTGAGAAAGGTAGTGTTCGAGACTGCTGGAAGACAGAGGGACTTTCCTGGTGTCAGTTGAGAAATGAATCTTCCATAACACATGGGCCTGGGAGACTGGTGGAGTGTCTTGATTTGTCTGGTAGAAATGATGATGATAATGATAACAGTTACCATTTATTTAGTGCTGACTGTGTGCTGGGCACAGGTAAGTAGGCCCGCCTCCAGAGTCTACCATCTCAGCCACCACATGGTATTGCTCCTAGGGTCATCACTGGAGCGTCCAATGTGTGGGCCTCTATGGGAACAGGCTCCAGGAGAGATTGTTGCTAATCTCCCAGCCATTTGGGGAAGGGAGCATTACTAATTGAATTCTTTAATTGACCCAGCAGGGTTACTCGGAGGAGTATGCTGAGCACAGAGGAAAGGGCAGCTTCCCGGCCATGATCACCCCAGCTTATCAGAATGCCAAGAAAGCCAACGAACTTGCTAGTGATGTAAGTAACACATCAGGACGACACACAGAGCCACAGAAGCAGAGGAGAAATGAGACTTTGAAGGATATGTTTACTGAAACCTATACACAGATATATTTATTAGAGCTGAGCCAAAATAGAATGTTAGCCCTCAATTCTAACCAAATTTCTTACATTTACTTCTTTTGTTTGGACTGTTGGGTCACATTTATCTGCTTCAAAGAACAAACCACATAACTCACTTAAGGTCAGTTGAAGCAAATAGAAATACTGGCCCAGCCAGATAAGCTGGGGTTAGGACAGTCTTCGCAAATAACCCATCTAGAAATTGAGCACTTTAGGGTTGTAGCTGATTAAAACAAGTCATGTGATTATCAGACTGGGTGTAACCCAGTTGATAAAATGATTCTTATTTGCAGGATGTTAGCCAGCTGGCAGTCCTCGAAACATAGCTATAATTAAACTTGGTAAAGTGACACGCACACTGGAGACCTTAAAACACCAACTTGGACTTGCTCTAAAATCAGAAGCTGAGCATTCGTTTCACACCCCTTTCTTTGCCTTTCTCCTTTCCTCTGTTACTATTCAGTTATTACCCATTTACCCAGAACAGTGCACTTTTGCCCTGAAAGGGGAAGTAAAAGACACATTATTCTCTTTGCCCCGTGTTAGGAGGCTAGGTGAGAAACGATGTTGAAACCAAGGGCAGTGTGGGCATGGGGTTACACCTTTTGGTGTGGTCATTTTAAGACGTCTCTTCCTGAAGAATTAGAGTATAAAGTGTAAAAAGTGTGAAAAGGGCCCGTAAAATTTTAATACAAAAGGGAGCAAGTGGTTTATGGACTTAGTAGAGAAAAAAACCCGCATGATCTTTTTCTTTCAGAAAATTCTATTAAGTAAATGTTGACATTAAATGTGGGGTAACCTTGGAGTAATTTCTCTCATGGAGCATGGAACCAACAACTCAAGACCCTCTTTGTGTGTTTCTTTCAGATAAAATACAGGCAGGACTTCCATAAGATGAAGGGTGCTGCGCATTATCACTCCCTCCCAGCCCACGACAACTTGGTTCTTAAGCGGGCTCAGAGTGTGAACAAGCTTGTGAGTGAGGTGCGTATGGGGGACAGTCGCACCTGTGCACTGTCACCCCCTTATCTTCTATAGACAGCGAACGGAGTGACCTCAGAAGGAAAAATTCCGTGTAACACCACATAAACTACACATGGGTTACCAGTTTCCAAAGAACGAATGTGCAGTAAAAAGCAATTCACAAGAGAGCCGACTCAAACTGATTACATGTAAACAAATTAAATTTCTCTGATGGTTCAAAAGTTTCTTCCCGAATTCTCACAGGGCTGTAGATATTCAAAATTCCAGGCAATAGATTTCTAGTTGCCAGGATACTGTGTGAACCAACCTTTATAACAATATTTGATTCTTGTAGAGTGACATCTAAGATGGGAAAGAGTGTTTCAGACATCAAACTTCTCTCAATCTCTTATTACTATAGTCGAGTTTCTGAGAGGCTGTGTGTACCATAGAATTCTCTTTACCTTGGAGGTTGAACTGGCTGCCAGAGGGTGTGTTTTGTTTGTTTACTTAGTGGTTAAGATTTTTAAATTGTTGGGACTCTCTGACAAGGAAATATCCCCTCTAGTCACCATATCCTTTCACGTGCGAGAGTCTCTCCACTGTCTCTTCACAGCATCTTCTCTCATTTGCATTACCTCTCTGGGCCCTGAAGGCGTTTGAATTGGCAAGCTCTTACAACAGGAAGAATCAAGGCTATTAAAAGCACTCACATAACAAGTTATCTGTAACTCAGAAACGGATATGCCAATATCTTAAAATATTTTTCTTCTCTAACTTCTAAAGGTCAATCCTTTACCACAAAACTGTTACTTAACCTGTAGTGCTCTAACTTTGAGCTGCTCAGAAGCACCAGGAGTGACACTTCCTCAGCCTCATCAGGAGCCTCAGATGCTTTGAAGTAGTAGATGGGTGCCAAGGCCTTGGAATCTGCATTGTAAACAAATGTTCCCAATGATTATGATGCTCTAGGCCAGAGGTCAGCAAGCTACTACCTGAGTGCCAAATTCAGCCCACAGCCTGTTTTTTATAAATAAAGTTTTATTGGAACACAACCACATCATGTTTGTTTACATATTGTCTATGGCTGCTTTGAAGCTACAAGGGCAGAGTCAAAAAGTTGACGTAGAGACTATATGTCCCGCAAAGCCTAAAATATTTCCTATCTGGTCATTTATAGAAAAAGTTTGCTGAACTTTTCTCCTGACTCACAGAATATTAGCTCTAGGTGGGACCTTTGCAATCTTTAGGCCCTCACTTTGTTATAGGCCTGGAAAAGTAAAGTGTCTTTTTCTGGTTCAGGGAGACTTTTAGGGACAGAACTGGGACCAGACCGCTGATAGTGAAGTTCTACCCCCAGGGAATAACGCTGTTACCATTTTGGCCTTTTTCTATATGAATATACTCTAAACAAACACATGAATATAAAAACATATATTTCTAGAATTAGAATTCAAGTGTATATACAGTTTTGTGTACTTTAAAAATTTTGTATCATCTTATTGTGAGCATTATAATGCATCTTGCATGCTTTAAAAGGAATATTGCCACCAGATATTTTATAAGATATGATAACAAATTGTATTTCTTTTGGTAAGAGGTCACAAGGGAACCTTCAATTTCTTTTTGCCCTTATGTTTATCCAGGAAGACAAACCAACCATGCCTCAATGGTAATCAGCCTTCAGCTGCCTCCTCCAATTACCTGGGACAACTTGGAGTCTGTTTAATAACTATAACCTCACACCTTACATCCAGCTACCCGGGGGAGCTCAACTACACAACCCATTTAAAATTAGATGACACCCTCTGCATCTATGAGTGGTCTCATTTATTATACTCCTTTGTAAAATAACTTTCTTGGTTCAATTTTATTGACATATACACACAGAGAAGTGCATACATCATATGTATACAATAGGAAGGATTTCCACAAGTGGACACATCTGTGTAACCAGCACCGAGATCAAGAAACAGAACATGACCACAAGTCCAGATATCCCCCCACCATCCCCCCAGACCTTTGTCCCCAAAAGTAACCACTGTTCTGATTTCTAAAACCAGTTTTGCCAATTTTTGAGCTATACGAAATCTTAGAGTGTTTACTCTTGAAAGTGACTATATATTTTTAATTTTCGGAACCACACTGATTATTTACTTATTTGAGAGGAAAACATATATTGTTAACTTACAGTATCCCATGGCCTGGTATTTTAAAATCTTGGGTTGAAAGTTTCCTAAAAATATCCGAGTTGAGTCCTGGTGATGTTTTCAAGAGTGACTTTGGGTTTGGTTCTATTGTGCTTCTGGTGTTTTGGTTTCCAAGGTGGAGTATAAGAAGGATCTGGAAAGTAGTAAAGGTCACAGTATCAACTACTGTGAAACACCTCAATTCAGGAATGTGAGCAAGATTTCAAAATTCACCAGCGATGTGAGTTTTTAATGCCTAAGCATTTGTGTGGACTTTTTTATGACCTTACTTTCTAGGTCTCCTAAGAGACAGTCCCTGTGAATGTATCTGTGTGTCTTGGAGAAGCACGGACGCTTGGGCACAAATACCTATGAATGTGTTTAAGATTGCCTGCCAGGACTAGAACATGTAGTGTTCAATTCTGTCACATCCCCTGCTGTGTGCTTGACCTTGAGTCCTCAGGGCAGCGCCTGTCCTCCTGCATGCTTCCTGTAGAGCAGTATCCGGCTCCTGTTGGAGAATGCTGGTGAGGGGGTCTGGCTGAGCATGTGACATCCCCTCTCAATGCGACTTTGTGCTTCTTAGTTAATACACGACCTCATTTAACGCTCACGGTCACCTAGGGAACCAGATGCTATTTCCCCATCTTAGAGATGAGCAGATATGTGCTAGGTTGGCCGTTGCAAATTTGGAAATTCTCTGAGAAGGTCAGGGAAAGTATCCTAGAAAACATCAAGGACCTATACTACATTATGTGATTTTACTTCTGCTTAGCTGCATATAATAGTAGAATTTAAAATTGCAAGGGACTTTGTAAGGCTCAGCGAGGAATTTATTTTGCATAAATGTAGTGGTTAAAAGTACCGGATTTGGAGCTGGCAGACCTGGTTCCACAGTTAGCTACGTGGCTGACTTTGGGCAAGTTGTTTAAGGTCTTGGAGCCACTTCGCGCGTCTGTAAAATGGGGACGATAAGCATGTGAAGATTAACTGAGATAAGTAGAATTGTGTCTGATATGTAGTAATAGTATTCTGTTTAAATGCTGGTGGTGCCTGGACTCAATGGCCTCCCAGGGAAGGTAATTTTAATGTAGCTTCATTAGAAACTACCCAGAGTTTTCTATTTCTGGCTTCTTGTCATCCCATTTTGATCTTCTTTTTATTTGATAAGCTGCATTTGGGACATAATATCATTATTTCACATGGTTGCAATAGAGACCAATCTGTGATATAAAAGTCACAGAATTTGGCAAAGCTCAGGTTTTATTTTTTGTATATTTAGCAATGGAGGTAATAGCATGCTGTGATTTGTCCCAGCCCCCAGCGTGGGCTTTGCATACAGAGTCCACACAATCAGTGCTTGTTCACTGGAGAGCTGCACACTCTCATGGTAGGTTTTCACACTGGAAAAAACTGGTATATTTACAGCTGCAAATGTTAAAAAAAAAAATCAGATCTGTTTTGTGCTGTCTGTGCTCATCAGATATTATGTTTTCCTCTGTGCTTATATGCTTGTCTCACTCCAACTTCTTGTGCTTGCTTGAAATTTAAGTTGTTAAAAGTTTGTCATTTTTCTTCAGTGACTCACTGAATACTTAAATAGGTTATCTTTAATCATTTATATTGTGGATTTAGTGCATTAAGATGAGTAGTTTATCTTCAACAAGGTGGGAAGAGAATGCTTTTGTTGAAAGTTTTGTGTTTCCATGTAGAATAAATATAAAGAAAACTACCAGAACCACATGAGAGGCCACTACGAAGGAGTTGGTATGGACAGACGGACTCTCCATGCTATGAAAGTGGGAAGTCTGGCAAGCAATGTGAGTCCTGTTGTGAAGGGCCTGTATGTCCTAGGGATCTGTTGGGATGGAGGGATGTGGGGCATGAGAAATTCAGCCAATTCTTTTTCAACCTCTCTTTTTTAAAAATCGGTGTTATATTGTGTAAAGACTGACCCATAAGAGTTTCTCCGTGTTAAGCAATACAACCAAGGCTAGGTAAAAGCCTTAAAATTTTTCAAATGCTTCAACTTATCTCAGCTTTCTCTGGCTTGAACAGTTCTTAGATCTAATTGATCTAGTGTGAGAAAAACTTTCAGTTTCTGAGAAATAAAGAGAAATGGATGAACATAAGTCTTATTTGAAATTCCTCAAATTTCCAAAGCATTTGTGATTTATTTGGAACTGGTTGGTTGGTTGTTGATTGGTTCATTCGTCTATTCGATCATAGTATTCATTGAAGACCTCCTGTGGCCAGGCACTGGCCAAGGTGGTCAGATCACAAAATAGATCAGATCCCTGTTTTCCTCATAATCTATTAATCTCTCTTTGCTTTGTCAATTCAGTTTATAGGTTTGAAAATGCCAGGTTGTAAATCTTGGAGATAAAGGACGCTTAAAAGAAACCGATTTCATTATTAAAACATACAAACGTCAAATTTCCTCTGCTTGAGAATTTCAAATTTGACCTTTAGAAAAAACGTTAAAATACTCTGAAGACTCTTGACTTTCCATTTATTTTCTGGGGGTTAGCCAAGAAGCTCTTTCATTGTATACCCATGTGCAAATGCTTCTTTTTAACAAAAACTACAAGGGGTTCCATAATTAATAAGAAAGATAAAATAAATGTGCTACAGATGGAAGTTAAGTAATTTTGGGTTAATTAAGAAGAAGAATTCAAATTAATTAAAGGCAAAAGTGGGAACGTAATTTAATTTTCCTTGGAGGTCATGAAACTGAATTAATTTTGTTTCTGGTTATTTTTTAAATATTTCCTGTGACATTCAAACAAGGTCAAAAGAAAGTGGGGGTTAATTTCTCTTTTCTTTGGGTTTCAGATTGCCTACAAGGCCGATTATAAACACGATGTTGTCGATTACAACTACCCGGCCACTCTAACTCCTTCCTATCAAACAACAATGAAACTGATTCCCTTGAAAGATGTAAGTCCTCTTCCAATAGCCCTCTCTGCTTTATTCCTTGTCATTTCCCTCCTGGGGAGTGATTCTTAGGTAGCGAGATAGGAAGAAACAAGATACAACAATTCATAAGAGATGGAGGGACCTGAGAAAGGGGAGCTCTTTTCCACTAAGAAGTCCATTATGCATGTTTGGGAACTCCTAGGTTTCCAATGTAAGACGGGAACAACTCTGGTTTCGTCTTGAAAATAACCCGAGTTTCCATTTCGCCTCTTAGAATTTGGTGAATTCTGTCTGCTGCTGGGCACATTTAAAGTAATTGTTCCTTAGCAATGATGAACTTTTTTTTTTTTTTAAAGTTTTGGAGTGTGGTATGTTTAGGATGGAAGGAAGTAAAATAAAATGGTTATAGGTTCAGAGGAAGTGGTAATGTTGACTTAATTTTCTCAGGAGAACATGGGAAAGTATATGTGCCTCCCTTAATTATTACAGCTGTGATTTTATTTATTTATAGTTTGGCTTGTCCCCAGTGAAATATGTATAATTAATTTAATTAATTGTTTTCTAATTATAAGAATTGTACTACATGTTTATTACAGAAAATTTAGAAAATACAGGAAGGTACAAAGAAAAAGATACAAGTCACCTGCAATCTTAAAAAGTGGTTTAGAACTGAGTTGGTATCATGGTTATTTGTTAGTCAAGGTTATCTCCAAGCAATCAATGATTTAACAAATAATTCAACATATATTGATTAAGTGCCTGGTGCTACTTTCCTTCACGTTCCTTTGGGATCAGCACAATTCCAGGAGTTGACTTGGGTTTTGCTATTGGAAGATAGGTCTTCACTTCTCTCTCTCATTTGCTCAGAGGAGGAGCCGTGTGGATATCTGGGTGTCTCCAGTGTCTAACACAGGTTACAGGACAACGAAGGACAATCACTGGCAAATGATAGTTTAATGGATGAAGTGGGCTTTTCAAATGTGTACAAAAGCAAGGGATGGGAAGTAGAGGAGTGTAGGGGCCTAAACCTTGCCTAAGGTTTGGGCCTTTTCCCAAGAAGTTTGGTTGGGTTGACTTACTCGGTTCACCTTAATGAAACCCAAGGTTAAACTTGTCTACCAAAGCTACTCCTTTCTTTTTTGCTGTATACATTACCTGGGAAACTTGAGGATCAAAAGCACCTCATTAAAATTTGAGTGTGTGCCCTTGCTGTTTGTTGTTGTTAGTGCTGTTGAGCCGGTTCCGACTCCTGGCCACCCTGTGTGGTGGCAGAGCAGAACCCTGCCCGGTCTTTTTGCGCCATCCCTTTACCTTCCAGCACTATATCAGACAACGCTCTGCTGCGATTCATAGGGCTTCTATAGCCAAGTTTTTTGAAAGTGGGTGGCCAGGTCCTTCTTCCTAGTCTATCTTTGTCCTGAAGTTCTACTGAAGCCTCCACCATGGGTGACCCTGCTGGTGTTTGAAATACTGGTGGCATAGCTTTCAGCATCACAGCAACACACAGCCAAAACAGTATGACAACGGAAAGATGGGTGGTGTGGTTTCCCTGAACCAAGAAACGAACCAGGGTCATGGCAGTGAAAATGCTGAATCTTAACCACTAGACCACCAGGGCTGGTTTGCTCTTGCAATAGAGATCTATAAACCATGCTTAATAGCATAAACAAATAGAGAGATTCCTATGAGTTTGTACTCCTGTTAGAATATTGCTATTACCTTTGTCTATGTAAGACTATGGATCAAACCATGCATCTGAAATATAGCCATTGTACTCCCCTTATAATATTGCTATTACATTTGTCTATATAAGGCTGTGGATCAAACCATGCATCTGAAATATAGCCAGCTCACCTGGGAAAGTCTGATAGAAGAACTAAACTAGACTGGATTAGAAATATTAATTGGAAGTAGAGGTAGTTTCTAGACTCGCAGCCCATGAGCCAGATCCAGGCTAAAGAAGTGTTTTGTTTGGCCACACAGTGTTTAAAAAATAATTAGACCAACATGTAGAAATTGTGAGAGTTCACATAAGAATTCATATTTTCAGCTTTTCAGGAAAATCTGAAAACCCTGGGAACTGCAGCCCTAGTTCCCGCATGGCAGCAATTGGCTGGCACTGAGTGGCAGCTGCTCTCTTTCATTTTAGTCCTCTTTACCTTACCTTCCTGGCTCCCGTGTGCATTTGAGTTTACCACCCCTAATGTAGGGACTTCAGTATTCAGGAAATTTGGAGAGTTCATTAGAAGAACACTCGTGGTCACTCTTTCTGTCTGGTAGTCTTAAAGGTGGTCAAATAGCTATGGAATTAAATAAAAAAGCCCAGGTCCTTAATTAGAGAGCGTTCCCTTCAAATGGATTTTATAAACAGTAATAGCATTAAAATGAGACTCTATCCTCACCAGAGACCCTTCAGAAAGTAGATTGAAGCAATGGCCAAGCATCTGTGATGTTGCAAAGATGTGATTAGTTATGGAGACTGTTAATTATGTCCTGCAGAGGAAAGTAATTGTGCTCCGCAACATACTTATGCAGAATTATCAGGAAGGAGTATGCCACTTAAAAAATATAATTTTCATGACATTTTATCATGCGTAATTCTGAATTCTAATAGATTCTTTATTATGAGATGATAATTTTCCCTCTGAATTAATGCATTAGGAAGCCGCGTACTCTAATCTCGTTAACAGTTGACATTGAAATGACTTTGTATTTCCTAGTTTTCACTATATAGCCCATATCCAAAACTCAGAATGTGCAAGAACTTGTCTCTTTGAGTCATTAACTAAAAAGCACAAAGTGATGCTGTCCTTTATCTCCAAATCCAACAAAACACTCTGTGGCCCGGTGTCAAGAACACTGTTTTTCCTAGATGCTGTTGCAGGAGTTAATTTGTAAGTCATTTGTTTGTGCCTGGAATACGTTTCCCTGTCCGAACAATGTTAACTCTGGCTATGGGGAACTCTAGTCCATCTGTAAAATTACTAGTCATAGTTCCAAGCCCACTAGCTTTGGCATACCGGGTTAATGGTGGATAGGTTGAGAGCCACTTTGGGAGGCCGGCTGCTAGGATTTGAATCCTAGCTCTGACACCAGCTGAGTGACCTTGAGCAAGTCCCTTTGGGTCTCTGTGCCTCAGTTTTCACATTGTAAGGTAGAGATAATAACAGTGCCTACCGGCGGGATGGTTGGGAGGGTTAAATGTGTTAATATGTATAAAGCACTTGAAATAGTGCCGGGCACATAGTAACTGCTATTTTTTAGCCATAATTATTATTAGCTGATGTTGGGACAGGCAAGCATGGAGTGAGTACAAGGAAGAGATGGAGCATACAAAGCTGGCCCTTAGGTCTATTTCACTTGGGTCACTGGGTTCTAAAATTATTGAACTATTTGCCAGCATTTAAATATTGCACGATTTTACATAATAATATGGATTTCTGGTTTCTTTGGAATAATGGGAAAATCTAGCCGCCCTGAGCCCCACATTGATGCACAATAACTATCTCCTAGAGCCAAGTAGCTGCTGCTGCTCTTTGCCACAGTCCCCACCACTCCTTACTACTTCCCCAACAATGAGGCCAAACGTTGAGCCCAGACTAGTGGTTCACTTGTACCCAGCTAGTGGTCTGTTTGGCTCTCACAGACTTTGTGATCTTTGGGCTACAGAGACTCCCTGAGGCGGGCTGTTACCTCTGGGGGCAGCAATAGGAGGTAGCAGCAGGCAGACAGAATGGCAAAGGCATCAGACTGTAGTCTAGACAGACAGGAAATGGTAGGAAAGTGCAGTGGTGGCCACAGGTGTGGGCCCCTGTGAAGGGCAGAGCCGGCTGCCGGAGGAGTGTGGCCAGAGGCCGTAGGTGGAGGTCTGGGCAGAGATGGCGATAGAGAGTGGGAGGCAGCAATGGGAAGGGCAGTTCTTAGGCAGACCCCAGGTCTGAAGAAGCTGCCAAACTGTGTGGGACACGGGATGGGGTCCTGGGCTTCGGGCAATTAAACAGAGGCGTGAAGACAGTGAGTGGGGGGTCGGATGGTGACTCGGTTGTTACGCAGACTAACGGGCCTAGCCTGGCGCCTGGAGGTGGAGAGGCTCAGGTGTCCCGAGGGACTGGGTCAGTTTGGGGTCCTGGGAGCAAGGACCCGGCTGAGACATCTACGTGGGCAGGGCTGTGTCTAAGTTTGTTCACTCTGCACAGAGTAGACACTCTGTGACTGTTTGTTGAATGAATGAATGAACAAATGCATGAATTGAAAGGGGACCAGACAGACACAAGGGAAGAAGGGCAGGATTAGGGATGAGTTAATTTTTTCCTCCTTATCTGGATTTAGGACCAACCTTGGTTAAATTGTGGAAGAGGCTGCTTGCCATCCACAACCTCTCCTTCTTTTCTTTCACCTGTCGGCTTCCTGGCTCCCTTTCCACCTGTACAGGCCTCTGGGCTCTCACTCAGCTCACCTCAGCCCTCACCCCTGATAACCTACCCTTAAGCCTCAAACATATTCCTTTACCTCTCTGCTCAAGTTCCCGTTCTGTCTGCAGTAGATCCTAGGCATGTTTGGAGGAAAATAAGATGATTGCATGAACATACTCCCATGTGCAAGTGGCTAATAATCCTTAACTCTCTGAAGGGCAAATTGTACTTTCAAGAGAGAAAATTCACTAGCCCCCGATATCTGAAGTAGTGGGAAACCAGGGAGTCAGTGCACCAGTCTGCCCTGGAGATTCCACCTCCTTCTCTTCTGAATTCACATCTTTTATGGAAGTGCCAAGCTTAGGGCAGTTTTCTCAGGGACTCTGGCAAGGTGGAAGTGAGGCAGGGGCTGGGTGACCAGGGTGAAGACATGTTAGGACTGTCCTCACAGGGAGCCACCGATGCTCCTGCGCCTCCCACTTAGACATGCGTATGACTGCAATTGGACTTTTGGTTCCTCTTTCATTTTTCTTTTCCTTTTTTAAAAATACTCTTTTCTTTTGAAGTATAAGACATATACAGAAAAGTCTCTAAGTATTGAAGTACAGCTTGAATTATTATAAAGTGACCTTGTGTGTGCATTTTCATTGGGAATGCGCCTAGGAATAGACTTGTTGGGACCTAGGGTGTGTGTATGTGGCAAAATGCCATACTGGTCCCTAAAGTGGTTGTGCCAACCTACACTTCTGCCAGCAGTGCTGTGAGAGTTTCCACAGCTCCACATCTTTGCCAACACTTGGTATTGTCAGTAGTTTAAATTTTCGCTCTTCAGGCGAATGTAGAGGGGTGTCTCATTGCAGTTTTAATATGCATTTCTCTGATTAGTAGTGTGGATGAGCACCCTTCCTGTGCTCACTGGCCATTTAGTCGACTTCTTTTATGAGCTCCCCATTCAAGTCACTCCCTCTTTAATGTACTGTTTTTTCGGTCTGTGGACTTGTGGTGTCTGTTGGTCTCCGAATAAAATCTTCGATTCTTTTTCTAGTAATTTGAGAATCGCAGTTCTGTTGGGCTTAGAGGGAGGGAGTTAAGCAAATCTAAGGGAAAAGTGCAAGTGACATCTTCCTGTGCCTCTTTTTATCCAGGTCAACTACAGGCAAAGCATTGACAAGTTGAAGTACAGCTCTGTGACCAACACCCCTCAGATCGTTCAAGCCAAAATCAATGCCCAGCAACTGAGCCATGTGAGTAATCTGCCCCTGCCCAGCCAGATGTGGGGGAGTTGTGGCCTCTGGGTTTCTGGCTCCCAAGGATTTGACTTTCATTAATGGTAGTATATGTCTTATTGCAACCATGAGCTAACCCCCTTCATTTAAACTTTTTATTATGGAAAATTTCAAATACATTCAAAAGTAGAAAGAATAGCATAATGAATCCCTGTGTACCCATCACCTGGCTTCAGCCACTATCAGTTCATGGCCAGTCTAGCTTCATCTATATGCCCATCCACTTCCCCCCTCCCACGTTATTGTGAAGAAAATCCCAGGTATTATATAATTTAATCTATAAATATTTTAGTCTGAACCTCTGAAAGATAAAAAATTTAAACATATTTATACATTTTAATACATCACACCAAAAACTAACAGTAATTCTTAATATTACCAATGTCCAATTAGCATTCAACATTCCAATTGTCTCATAAGGTTATAATTTTTTTTTTTTACAGTTTGTATGAATCGGGATCCAAATGAGGTCCACACTTATTGGTTGATATGTCTTTAAGACTCTTTTCATCTTAAAGTTTTCCTCTTTATCTCTTTTCTTTTCTCGCAAGTTGTTGAAGAAACTGGGTTATTTATCCTCTAATGTTTCCCACGGTCTGAGCTTTGCTGACTGCATCCCACTGTGGACTTTCATATATTCCTCTGACCTCCAGATGTCCTCTAAAATAGTAGTGGGATCTATAGACTTGATCAGGTTCAGGTTTAATTTGGGGGCAAGACCGCTTCTCAGATGATGCTGTATTCTTCCATTGGGAATCACGTAATGTCTGGTTGGCTCTTTTTATGATTTAAGATGGCTTTTTTCAATATGGGCAGGCATTGCCCATATTGGTATGGGCATACCATACCATTGGTATGGTAAAGGTAGATACTCTTTGAGTATCTACCCTGCCTATAGCAAGATGTTTGGCACTGCAGCAAGTTAAAAAAATAGGTTTCAGACCCTCAAGTGCTTCAGAGGAGAGCTGGTGAGGCAGCCACAAGGAAATCTTTTGCAAACTCATAACTTTGAGTTGTTTTACTTTTCATTTGGCATCTTCAATCTGTTAATTTAAAACATTCATAAAATTACAGGCTTCCCTGTAAAATACCTTTTCCAGAAACTCCTTCTCTGCTCTGGGTCTAAGGCGAAAGTGAAAAAGAGAGTGTTGTCTCCAAAATTCTCCTCTGCCTATATAAAAACCTTGCATTTACCCTGCGGGTTTATTTTAAACCCAACAGGTGAATTACCGCGCTGACTATGAGAAAAATAAGTTGAATTACACGTTGCCACAGGATGTACCGCAGCTGGTGAAGGCCAAAACCAATGCCGAACTCTTTAGTGAGGTAAGCAAGCAACATGGATGAGAACGTGGTGGGGTTGTGTAACAGATGACCAGTCCCAAAGAGCAGGGACTATTCTGTTCATGGGAGAGGTTCGTCAAAGGCACCCATCATGTTATAATTTTGAATTTTGCTGTCTCATGGCACGTGGTAGTTCCCTGGGGATAAATCGATCATAGCAATTTCATTATTGTTGCATGAGCATCTGGGCAGTATGTACTGGAACACACACACCATCATCCTCTTCATCATCGTCCTGGTGACTTCTAACTGGTGCTTTGCTTTGTGGAGAAAATTTAAGTCTTAAGAAGATTGAGCTTAATCACCAGATTCTTTCTGGAGTCACGAGTGGGCTGTGGTTAGGCCTCTTATTCTAGATGGGATTTGTGGGGCAGGAGAAGAGAAATAAAGGAGCTAACATTTTTTGAAAGCTGTTTTCTGCTGGGTCCTGGGGTAGGCACTTTACATATGGAATTATTCAATTATCATATCCTCTAGGAGATATTTACTGTAAGGACACAGTTAGTGACACAGGCTTTGGTATCAGGTAGACCTGGATCAGATGTTGGTGCTACTATTTTTAACCAATGACCCTATGTGAGGTCTTTAATGTCTCTGAGCCTCGCAGGCCTAACATGAAGACTTACAGTTGACGAGTAGAAGACATTTGGGAAAAGGCCAATAAACAGTAGGTGTTGTTACCATGGCAATATTAAAACCTTACATCTGTGTTGCAGTTTCCCAGCTTAGGATCTGTTTTCATATACTTTATCCAATTTATTCTCACAGCAACCCTGAGACAGACAATATGATATTCTTTGTGAAAATGGTAAACCAAGGTCTAAAGAGGTAAAGTGATTTGCCCAAGGTCATGTGATCAGGAAACAGTGGAGCTCGGATGGACACATGGATCTTCTGTCTATCCTGTCCCACTACCACTGCCCTGCATGGCCCTACAGCTCAGGACAATTACAGTCAACTAACTGTGTTAATCATTGCTATGATGACTTTGATAATAACAGCCGAGATTCTGGTCTATAAATAGATGAAGAAACCAACTTTGCTGTTTTTTGTGTCTTTTTTAAAGTTTCTCTTCAACTTTTGGCAGGAATGTGGATAGCGACTCCTATTCACCTGTGTTTTGTTTGTCAGGTTAAGTACAAAGAAGGCTGGGAGAAGACAAAGGGGAAAGGATTTGAGATGAAGCTGGATGCCATGTCTCTGCTGGCCGCCAAAGCCTCTGGAGAGCTTGCTAGCAATGTAGGTTTCCTCTCATTGACTCAGAAATGCATAAGAAATAGCTCCAATAAAATGTCAGTGGTCCTGCAGAAAAAAAGAATGACTGTTAACGTTGTAAATGTCGCAATACTTTAATCTTTTTCTGGGTGCGAAAGACTGGGAGGTGTTTTTTCAGAACAGTGCCTCTTGCACTTGTTAAAATTATAGCGCCTTAGATGGGAAAGTTTCTCGCTCACTCACAGTAGGCGTTCTTCTTTCTCTCAAGATTAAATACAAAGAAGAATATGAAAAAACAAAAGGCAAAGTCATGGGAACGACAGACTCGAGGCTTCTCCACTCCCTGCAGGTTGCCAAGATGAGCAGCGAGGTAAACAGTTTTCTACCCAACCTTTACTTGGAGTTGAGTTACTTTAAAAGTTTTTCTGGGCCTACTTCACCTGAGACGGTTACCTTTTTATTTCTTTCCCAGCTTGGGGGCGAAGTTTGTTTGATGTCTCTGTTTTGCCAAAGAATACTGTTCTTTTAAATAGATGAGCAGAGTGGCCCCTAAGGGTGATAGGGGCTCCTGATCAAGGTACAAAGGTGTCGGCCACATTTATTCATTCCACTGATGTTTACCAAGCACTAAATATGGGCAAAGTCCTGTGCGAGACACTGGAGCTGTAAGAATGAACAACACATAATGGGTTTCTCCCCAGTGGAACTTCATTCTACTGGGAAAGTTAGACAGCAAGCATGCTGTTTACTGTGATGATGTCCTGGATGAACACTGTGGCCACAAACACACGTGATACTCACAATATTTAGCAAACAACTGGGGCATTCAGGCTCCAACCAATCAAAATGACGCTGCTTGTAAACAACTGTAATGGCTGGAGATTAACCATAGTAAATGTCACTTATCAAAATCCTCTGGGGAAGGAGGGTTCTGTTACAAATGACAGACTTGGTTTCTAATCAAGTCTTCCCTGCCAATGCTGAACAGCAAAAAGGACACATGAGCATTGGGTTTCTGCTTTACAATTGCTGCTTCAAGCTGTGAGGCCAGCTTTTATTGCTCCCATGGTGCAATCAGATATAATACCTGATGAGTCATTTAGGAGCCATGGCTTGAATAGAATAAGAGAGTTGGAATCTGGGTTGCCATTTTGGATGTGCGTACAGAACAAACCCTATGAAGTGCATAGTCATGAAGCAGACAGAGACGTTGAGAATTTGGCTCCAGTTTAGGTAGAGAACAAATTGGTATTTTATATATGCAGTTGGAGCAACTGGAGCCAAAAAGATTGTCTTGCCCAAACTCAGACAGTAGTCAGTTTGGTAGTGGTGGAGGGGTAATTAGATCCAGAACTCTTACTTACTGGCACCATACTGCTTCTACTGTAGCACACTACCTTTCCTCACCACCACACCACCATCAGCACTATCACCACCACCACTGTCACCACCATCACCATCACCACCATCACCATCACTACCATCACCACCATCACCATCACCTCCATCATCGCCATCACCACTACGGTCACCACTGGCACCATTGCCATCGTCATCATCATCACCACCACCACCACCATCACCACTATCACCACTATCCATAGTCATTGCCATCCTCATTGCTAACATTTATCAGGTGTTTGCTATATGCCAGTCCCGGCACTAAGTGGCTTTCACCTACTATTTCATTTACTCATCACAATAGTCCTCTGAGAAAGTTGAGCCCTTGGAGAGGTGATGTGACTTTCCAGAAGTCATCCAGCTGGCAAAGGGCAGATGAGGTTTGAACACAAGCTTGTCTGGCTCTGGAACCCAAGCTTTGTAATTCTGCCTCTTAAAGCTTCTACAGAAACCATGGGTAGAGTGTTCTCCTGAAGCAGTGAGGTAAAAAGATTTAGGATTGGTGGGAGGTATTCCTTTCGGAGACAAAGCAGTGTGGAACCTCAGCTCCCTGGCACTGTCACCTTACAGAGCTAGGACTTGGGTCACACCTTTCTGACAGACAGTTGACATTGTCCAGAGTGCCAATTCCTCGTGGAAGCCTGAGCTTCTTTCCTGTGTTTTTACATCACGCCTGTAATGGCAGGCTTCAAGTAATGGGCCTTGTTTTGGTACATTCAAGGTTGAATACAAAAAAGGCTTTGAGAAGAGTAAGACCCACTTTCACCTGCCCATGGACATGGTAAACATCAGGCATGCTAAGAAGGCCCAAGCTCTGGCCAGTGACCTGGACTACAGGAAAAGCCTGCATGAATACACTGTGCTGCCCGAAGATATGAAAACTGAGTGGGCCAAGAAAGCCTACGGGCTCCAGAGTGAGGTGAGCCATCGCTCATTGCTGGTTCTCCCCATGCATCTCTTGCAATTGGATATTTCAGAGTGATTTTCAACCTGTACTTGAGGCTATTACATAACCCAGAGGACTAAGAAGAACTGCTGAGATGCGCCAGGCCCAGGGAGGATGGATGGGGAAGTAGAGATAGAGATATAGTTGAGACAATGGAGACCAGAGGATGGAGGATTGAGGCTCAGAGCTATGGTGAAAGTCAAGATGTGTTGGTAATGGGATGAGCCAAGGAGAAGCAAGTGTTGAAGATATAAGTGAATTTTGGAAATTGAGCAGGTTGGCAGATAAGGTCCTTGGTCAAAAAGACTAAAAAGCCCTCTTTTTGGTAAGGTTGTGTTGTTTCAGCGCTAAAGTAGAACATGCTCTTCTGGTTAGAAGGTGGGCCCGGTGGCTTCACCCCCCAGGTAGAGTTCTGCTAGAGTATCAAAGAGTAGGGAGCAGTTCTTCTAGGAAGACAAATGCAGGAGCAAGGATTTTTCTAAATCTTCCCTCAGCTTTGCCCAGCCTGTATCCATGTGTCTGACTAGAGCTTGGTTTTTCTCTTGCAGCTGCAGTACAAGGCTGACCTGGCATGGATGAAAGGAGTTGGGTGGCTGGCCGAGGGCAGTCTCAATTTGGAACAGGCCAAGAAGGCTGGACAGCTGGTCAGCGAGGTAACCTGAGCTTAGACCCAGGCTTCTGGTAGTTCTCAGCCCATAAATCACCAAGAGCGATCTTTTCTTTTGCTGCCTCCTCACCATCCCCCAGGCTTATTTTGAGTGTGACTCACAGGAATACTTCATTTTGTACCCATAGCACACCCCGAACTAACCTTCCACATCCTTAACCTTCCTGGGGAGGTACATGTAAGAAGCCTACTAATTGGCTTTAAGTAGCAGTTGCATCCAAAGAGTAGTTCAGAAGGGTTGTAACGCACAGTCAATTAGCACATGGGAAAAATGTGTTTGTTGTGTGAGGATTGTGTGACTCCCTCTGAATCAGAGTCTGATATTAACGAGAAAGTTGGACAGGCCACGCTCCGAAGTCCCTGCCACCCTAAGCCTGTGCTTCTCTCTACACCATGTAAAGCTGGCTTTGGCAGCAGGCAGAGGAGGACTTTTGAAGGGCGTTTCATTTGGAGATGTAACTATTTCAGGAACTCTGTTGGGTATCTTCAAAGGGGATTCTTGGTTCGAGGCCAGGAAGGCTGATTCGGCATATCTCTTGCAAATGGTAATAGCAGCGTTAACCATAGCTGCCATTTGTGGACTGATAATAATTAAGTACTCATTGCTGTCATTTATTGACCACTTTGAGTGTATTACATGCATATTGCTCATTTATTGCTCACCATAGCCCTATGTAAGTACACGCTATTATTATCCTATTAATATTCGCATTTTTCGTATGAGGAAAGTGAGACTTAAAGGCACACTTCAAATAAGTGGCAGAGTTGAGATCTGTATCCAGCGTGGTCTGATGCCCCAATTCTTGACCATTAAGCAGTATTGCATCCACAAAGCACATTTTGTATTTTATTCTTATTTTTCCACTGCACTCATCCTTCTCTCAGACACAGACATATTTAAGTCTAGAACGTATAAATAAGGAAGGTAGAGGGAAGAGGATAACGCTTCAGGGTTCCTATTACTTAGCTTCTTTGAGAACAGCTCAAATCCAGGTGGAGCAACCAGGGCCCCATCTGTCTCGGATGGGGGTGCGGTGAGGGGCCTCAATCAGCCTCAGGAATGAATTCAGCCTTGGGAATGTCCATTTCTATCTCACTTCCTGTGCTTACTAATTTTTAAGCTCCTCAAGGGCCAGCGAGATATCATCTCCTTTGCCTTTTTTTATATCCTTATTGTGCCCTGTACAGGGTGCATTCTTGGCTCCTAAATAAGTACTTATGATTTGACCAATGCAGAGTCTGGGATGGCCAGGAATTTCCAGCCGTGGAAGAGCAACGTGACTTCCTTCAATTATGTGGTGAAGGAGTATTCCCACTGAACACCCTGGAACTAGAAAGGAAATTACAAGGCTCTTTGGAATATTTTCTCTAGAATATTTTTTCTTAAAGGAAGGAGATATGGAGTGTTCAATATTCCAATCCTTATTTTGGGTTCAGTTGTTCTCCATAACCCTCTTGTTGGTGATACTGGGGGTTTTGCTCATCTCTGGTCTCCCACCACATGAAGCTTTTGCTTCAACAAGCCGTCTTCAGCAGCCACCTTTCCCAACAACTTTGGCAACTCCAGTGGAAAAGCCAGAGGAACTAACCTCCAGGAAGGACAAGAAGTCCCCATGGGGGGACAGAATTAGCCCATTCGAAACTTTGCCAATTATTTTATGGCTGTGAGATGGGGACACTATGAGGACAAGACCTCAGTGATCTGGAACACTAAGACACTGTGAGGGTGAACCCCACCTGACCACTCGCCTCTGGTCTGTGGCTCCTGGTGTTTCGTTTCCTTAGAGCAGATGCTTCCTGGATAATCATGGTCGCACCATGAGTAATGGCGATAGCTAACTTAGTGAACGTGTACTCTGTCCAAGGACTCCACTCATGGAAAGCATGGCATTGAAGCCTTCACTCTACCTCAGAGTGAGGCAGCTCTGTTATTTTCCCCATTGTACAGTCAAAGCATGAGTGGCTCAGGTGATTAAGTGATGTGCCCAAGGTCATGAAGCTGGAAAGAGACGGAGGCGAGATTGGGACCTTGGTCTTCATGGTCGTAAAGTCCAAGTTCCCTCCGCCTCACTCTCTTGTGTCAGACCTAGATTTATAAAATCAACACATCCCAGGGCACGTGGTGAAATATAGAATTTGCTGAGGGGAAAATTCAAGTCCCCGTTCAGTAGAAGCAACTAAAACAAGCTCACCAGAGCAGGCTGTCTCAGGTCTGTGTGGTCCTGTTTAAGCTGCAGGACCAGCTGGAACATTTTCCCAAAGGAAATGGGTCATAGAAAGTGTGTGTGTTTATGTGTACATGTGTGTGGTGGTGGGGGCAGCCCGATCCTAATACTTTGGGGTCCCTTTTCTTTGGAAACAGAAAAACTACAGGCAGAGGGTGGATGAGCTGAAGTTCACCAGTGTGGCTGACAGCTCCCAGATGGAGCACGCCAAGAAGAGCCAGGAGCTGCAGAGCGGGGTGAGTCCTGGGCTGCCCTTTCTCCACCAAGCTGCTGTGTCATGGGCCTGGGAACCTCCGGGGACAACAGCAGGTGCTGCCCAGGCACGATGCGGGAACCTAAGAGCCTTCCCTTTAAATAGGCTGGACCCAGCTTTCCACAGGCTTCCAGGCTGTTTCTGGGAACCAGACACCAGGCCTCACTACTCACCTACCATGCTTCTCCCCTGGTTGTTAAGGAAAGATGTGCACTGATATTATTGCTTTTTAGCTTTCAGTATTGCCTAGTTCCTTCTTTCTTCTTCTTTCTTTCTCCTTCTTTCATCTCTCATCAGAGACTCCATAATTCTGGAGCCAGTAGAGAATTATCTTGGAGGAAGATAACATTTGCCTGTGGGATGTGTGCATTTCATGCCCACTTGAGCTCAAATGTGGGAGACAGAACAATGAACACTGCATACGTTATGTACACATTAGTGTTCAGCACTAACAGCGCACCTGCACCGAGCAGGTGCCATGGTTGCTACAGTCTGACCAGGACCTTGCTAGCTTCCCTTCCCAAAGGCCCAGGTACACCTGCCGGAAAGGATGCTATCAACATAGCTCAGAGTCAGCAGAAAGCCACTGATGGAAATTCAAGTAGAGGGGTGGGAGGGAAGGGGAGAGAGAAAGAGCAAGAGTGATAAGTTTTCATGGAGGAGATGTTCACTCATGTTTTGATTGCTGCTCACTTTCCAGGTGTCAGTACCTACAAGTGCATTAGGATTGATTATGGGGGTGCAGGAGGCAGAGTGTGCTTTTCATTTTTCCCACTTGGGGAGTCTGTGCTCATCTGAGCCCTCTGGTGGGTTATTCTGTTGTGGCTGTGGACAGCTTGGAAAGGGCGATGCCATCTCAAGGGAAAGGTCTGAGAACAGAAACCTTGGAGGGGTTCTCAGGTTGGTCCCCTGGCCACATTCTTCTCCCAGCTGTTTGCTGCTGCTTCTCCTTCTCCCATCATCTCTCCTGCCTTAAGCCTCATTTACTGTATCCTGCCCGCCAGCGTCTGGTCTGGTTGTTTTTGTAATGAACTTCTCCTGCAAGTCACAGAAGAGTCAGGCAGCCACGAATGATGCCGTGCCACCCACCTCTGCCCCTGCCACCTGCCCCTCACTCAGTGTCCTCTCCCAACAGGTGGCCTACAAGGCAGGAAACGAGCAGTCCCTCCATCAATACAGCATCAGCAACGACGAGCCTCTCTTCTTACAGGCCCGAGCCAACGCTGCCAATCTCAGTGAGGTACAGCAAGAGGGATGGGCAGCCATGGGCTCTGCTTCCCCATGTAGGCACCTGGTCAAAAACACCCACCAGCCATACTGGTGTGGCCAGGGAGGTTACATACATCCGGTCACTGTAAACAGCTCGTTCAGCAGACCTTGTTCCTGACCAGTGTTTTAGGGGAAGGGAAGGACAACCTTTCGTAGGAATGGGCTGGTGGGAGACTTGAACCACTGACTATATAATGGGGTAGGAGGTAGTGATTTTTCCAGGGTCAGAGTTGAAACAGCATGAGTATTGATAGAGGAGAGTGAGTAGGAGCTCAACGTTAGCTCCAAACTGCCTGGGTTTGATCCTTGGTTCTATCACTTACTAGGTGTGCGACTTCAGGAAAATTCTTTGGTCTCAGTTGTCCCATTGGTAAAATGAGGGTAACACTAGTCCCTTCCTCATTGGGTTGTCACGAGGCTTCGATGAGCTAATATATAGAAAGCACTCAGAGGAGTGTGCACAGAGTAGCTTTACTCTTAGACACGAAAGGATGTATAGTCCCAACTTTCCCCTCTCTGTCTTCTGGGGGGGGTGTTCCTTTACTCTTCCACTCAGCTCCTAGGTCTGTAGGGTCTTGATATGATTAATGGGTAGAGGCGGGAATTAGAAGGAGCAACAGAGGCTAAATTGATTCACAGACAGAAAGGGAGGGAAGCCTCCCAGAAGAAAGTACTTGAAATCTGGAGGTGGGGACAGGACAGGAAATGGGAGGATCAAGGAAAAGACCGAGGTGGACTAGAGGCTGGGGGGCAGAAGGAGAAAGGAATGCAGGTGGGGCAGCTGCTGGGCTGGGTGGGGTGTGTGGCCAGAGATGGAGAACAGACTTCTCAGAAAGGTTGCTGTGTGTTGTGCAATGCTGTTCCACCTTTGGCATATCTTTGAGGCTTCCTTGAAGACTCCTAGTATTTTTCAAGGCTTCTGGAGTTCACGTTCTGCTCCTTTTGACAGAAGCTGTGTGTTAAGAGTCCTTAAGGCAGGAATAAGAAAGCCTGGTTGTATTCATGTTACAGGGTTTCTGTGGCTCTTGGGGTTTCTGTGGAAGGACGTAATGGTGTTTGCCTCCTAGAGAGGTTGTTACAGTCTAGGGAAGCCCTCTCACGTGAGGATGATCTCTTCTCTCCTACATCCTGTTAGAAACTGTACAAGAGCAGCTGGGAAAACCAGAAGGCTAAAGGATTTGAGCTGCGTCTTGACTCCTTGGCCTTCCTGGCGGCCAAAGCCAAGAGGGACCTGGCCAGTGAGGTGAGTGAATCCCCACCTTGTACAGGACTCCACAAATCCGCTGCTTACATCTGGAGAGTGGGAAAGGGTCTGGGCAGGTTCTTGATCTCTCTGAGCCTCAGGGTTCTAATCTGTAAAATGTAGATAAACATGACCACCTTGCAACAAGATAATCATGTAAGTGCCGTCCACACTGCTCACCACACATTGGTTTTTGGTAAGTGGAAATGTATTATTAGTAGAAGTAGCAAGAGTAGTAATCCAGACCACTCGATTTACAGATAAACGATGCCCAGGGGCATTCCGTGACTCTCTAAGGATGCTGTGGCCTGTTAGTGGTTAGGAGTGCAGGCTCTGGGTCTGATAGACCTTGGATAAAATCCCAGATCCGTTGCCTACCAGCGTTGTGACTTTGCACAGGCCGTTCAACCTTTCAAAATCTCAGTTAACGCGTTGGCAAATTGGTAATTGCAAAGTTGTCATGAGGAAATGAAATGAATTGATGTATTATAAGTGTTCTGTAGTCCAGTGTAGTCTGTTGCCAGTCTGATGTGAGATAAGGAGCCTGGGCCAGAATGTAAGTCAAACCCTGCTTCCTTCATCGAGAAAGTCTCCCTTCAAAAAAAAAAAAATATATATATGTATAAACACATACGCACAATACATATACAATATATATATTATGTTGTATGTATTGTATCTATATTTATATTGTATATGTATTATATATACATAAATGTATGTAGGTTTCAGCTGCACTAAACAGTGGCTTGGTGATATGGTTGATTTACCTTCTGACACAAGCTCCTCATCTCATCAACTGGTAACATTTTACAAACCAGCTGGTCTGCAGATGCACTTTGAGTGGCACGGGTTATACCATGTCTGGTTCATAGTAATTGTTCAATAAATGGTGGCAGATATTAATACTGCTGTTGTTGTTGTTGGCAGAGTTGAGAGTAGAGCCCAAGTCTCCTGATGGCCACAGCAATGATAATGTTGAGAATGATGCTGCACGCCGGTATCCTGTTACAGTTATTAGAGCATTTCCGTATTTATTCTTTCTTCTGATCCTCATTACACTTGGCTTAGTGTTTTTTTTTAGGTCAATATGCTCCCTTTTTTTCCCCATACTCCTAAATATTTATATGTACCCCAGTTTATTCTTTAATTTGAGCTCCTTTCTCAAATAGCAATTGTATTTTGGATATTCTGTGTCTTTTTCATTGCATGACTACTTTTTATTTATAATGTTCTCACTATGACCAAAAAAGGATTTTAAAGTGGCTTTTATGAAAGCAATAGGCCCCTTAAAAATAAATTCAGAAAAAGTGATCTCAAATAACATAGACAAAAGATGGAATTTCACCAGAAATTGGGAGAAGACTGTTCCATCTGAGCATTCAGTTTAGCTCGGAGCTTTCTGGCAGCTAAGATGAAAAGGGAAATAATGAATAGTAGTATTTTGTTTCCCTGTTTGATGAAAGGAAATATATCAGTTTTTCAAAGGAGGCAAACTTCTGGACACTAATTCTAATAGGATTCTGTTGTATGGCTTTGTTTTAACTTTCATGCCTGTGGTTTGAAATTTAACAATGCTTTTAGGAGACTCTAATGTACCCCTGCTCTCTTCCTCTCGTTTAGGTGAAGTACAAGGAGGATTATGAGAGGTCCAGAGGGAAGCTCATTGGGGCCAAGGGCGCCCAGGGGGATACGCAAATGAGCCACTCGCTGCAAATGTCCAAGCTGCAGAGTGAACTGGAGTACAAGAAGGGATTCGAGGACACCAAATCCCAGTGCCACGTCTCCCTGGACATGATCCACCTTGCGCACGCCCGCAAGGCTCAGCATTTAGCCACAGACATAGGCTACAGGACGGCCTCGCATCACTTCACGGCTTTGCCCACAGACATGAAGGTGGAATGGGCCAAGAAGGCCTACGGTCTACAGAGTGATGTAAGCTCTGTGTGTGTGTGCCGGTGTCAGTGCAAAGGTTTTCCCAGGCCCTCAAGACAATAGTTTATACTCTGAGATACCTGTTTCTGGATCCCTAAGGGGAAACATTTTAGCTTCCTAGTGGTTTAACTTTTATTCAATCTATGCCCATTTCAGCTTCTGTACTACCAAACAGAAAATCATAATGCTACTTTTTCTTCTTGGAATTCTGATCTACATATGTTTTCCATGTTTCCTTTTATTGCCAGGGGGAAAGTGTATTTGTAACATCCTTAACCGTGGCCTGCTATGGGAGAATGTCTCTGCGACTCATTCCAACTTTAGGAGTCCCATTTTTAGAAGGAGCAGCTCGCTAGACTTACAACCTTGTTCTGTTTTCCTCTGTCTTCTGTTGACTCTTATACAAGAAAGTGGGTGAACTGAGAAGGCGGTTTAGCTGTAGCCAGACTGTTCCACACGGGAGTGGGATGGGGGCAGTGTAGACACACCCTTCCAGGTCAAGCGCTTTCAGGATAGATAGGTGATATGCCACTTTTAGAGAAGTGTCCATTTAAATGGCTTTCCATTAAAACTACTCCTTCAATGGCAAGAAATGAGAACTCCTCCCCACCCCACGCCGTGGTGCACAGGAAGGAATTGGCACCACAGGCAGCCTCCGATGTCTTGTGAAATTCCCACAAATAGCTCCCCACCTGGGTTCTGTTATGAATTCTCATTTTCTTCTCCCCTGCATGTCGTTTTAAACAAGAAAATGGGGAAAGCAGACAATGAGGACACGCCTCTTGCCGGGGTAGACGTGAGTCTGTAATGAGGGACAAGGTGGATTCGGCCCCTCCTGATGCACCCCCAATAGTGCTGGGTGGGGCCTCAGGCCACCAGCGGCAGGACATCTCCAATTAAAGGGGAAATTAATTTACATTTTGGAGCCCTACCTGTGACTGTGCAGAAATGGGTAAGACAAAAGTGGCATCTAATTTGACTCAGCTGGCACCAAGGCTGCATCTGGGAGCTGTTAATAGCGCTTTAAATGTCTGCGCGCTAACAATGGCCTGCTTTTTTTTTCTTTCTCCTTTGTCAGAACCAATACAGGGCAGATGTGAAGTGGATGAAAGGCACGGGCTGGGTCGCCACCGGGTCATTAAATGTGGAGCAGGCGAAGAAGGCAGGAGAACTCATTAGCGAGGTGAGGTTTCCTGACAGTGTGCAACAGGCCTGGCTGCATTAGGCGTGTGGCATTTCTGTATAAAATTAAAATAATTTCCACTCAAAAGGCAAAGAAAAAGGCAAAGCTACATGAAAGGCCTCAAAACCCAGACTAGGGCTGGTAATTAGAGGGAAACCACATGCCAAACACACACCAGTCGGGGCCCATAGAGCCCTGGCAAAAACAAAGTGGGTGACAAATGATATTATGAATAATAATGACAATCAAACGCCGCTCAATTGCTACCCACCAACTTACCTTTTTAATGAAGCAACATGGGAGAGATGATGAAAAGACACATTTATTGTACCCAGAAAGCCCTTTTGTGACTTTATGCACATTTTCTCCCTCTTTTTCTGCCACAGTGTAAACAGTTGTTGAATATTCACGTGGTGGTGAACATGTGACACGGTTCTCCCTTGTTGGGGGTCTCACTTCTATTTAAATCTCACTGTGGTGTACTTATAGCCACCCTAGCTGGACCCTAAGACATTGCAGCTTATAAACAGAGCCATTTCCTCACATTTCAGGACAGTCTCATTGAGCAGATCTTTTAAAGACCAGATCAGGGTTTCTCAGCCTCAGCACTATTGATATTTTGATAATTCTTTGTTGTGGGGGCTGTCCTTGGCCTTGTAGGATGTTTGGTAGCATCTCTGACCTCTACCCACTGGATACTGCTAGTAGCACCCTCTGCCCACTTGTGACAACCAAAAATGTCTCCAGACGTTGCCAAAAAGTGGCAAGCCACTGACCTCCACACCCCAGGGAGTTGTCATTGGCTCGTGCTCACACAGAGGCTGCACACACTCAGACAACCCACATCCCCCTCTGTTCATGTCTGTTTGGAGAGGGAGCATTTGTTTAGTTGCCTTCAGAGTAGCCTGGTCTTTCTGGACTTTTCTGAGTGGGGAGGAGACCATAATGGCCATGGTCCCAGAAGACTCAAGCCTTGGCAATGAGCTGCCTCAGACCCTGTTTGGTTCCAGGAGGAGAATTTCTTACTGAATGTATAGTTAAAACAGAAAGATGCCTATGTTGGCTTTTCGAACCCACCTACCCAGCATTAATGTTTTCCCATGGGAGGGTATTCTAGTTGCCTGATATGTCACAGATCTGATTTCAAAAGTGGCCTCACTCTGATCTGCCTAATTTTTAGGGACATGAGTCAACATTCAAGGCTCAGAAGACCCCAGGAGCTCAGTCCTAAGTAGTTCTGTCTAGTTAAGGAAAGACCCTCTAAGTAGGATGAACATGAGAAACTTACAGGAGTAAACCTTTAGGTTTGAGAATTCATGACCCCAAACTCTCAATATAGGGCCCATTCAGAAAAGGACATGGAAAATAAGGACCATCATACATATAATTTAGACTTCAAGATGATTCCTTCATGCATTTAAGTCTGGCAGCCAAGGGATCTTTCTCAAATGATTTGTCCCACTGTGATCTTAATTTTCCATCTCATTTTACAAACTTGCTCAACAAATTTGCTCATCTTCCATGCTTCATACCAGTCCTCAAACTTCAGTAAGGCGAGACATCTTTCAGCAACTTTTCCCAACCATCTCATTTCGGTTTGGCACGTTTCCAGTTTAGTATCGAATTGGCTGACCTCTTAATTTTCTGACAGAATGCCAGGCTCTGATGAAAGAGTCACAAATGCATATACAACTATCATTTAAAGCAAGAGTCAGTAAACCTTTTTTGTAAAGGAGCAGATAGTAAATATTTTCGGCTTTGTGGGCCACCTGGTATCTATTGCATCTACTCAGCTCTGCCATTGTAGCATGAAGGCAGCCATAGACGACATGTAAATGAATAAGCATGGCTGTGTTCCAATAAAACTTTATTTACAAAAGCGGGTGGTGGGCCAGATTTGGCTGCATATTGAGCTGTGTCTTCTTAAAACAACCCAGTGTACAAAAATCCAACCCAATAAATGAGGAAGTGTTTATAAAATAATTATTTGACTTGAGAAAAGATACATTTCGTAATTCCGTTAAGAGAGTGACTGTTCTAGTATCCTGGAAATGTACTTTAATTAAAGAAAAAACAGGAATTAATTTAAGCATGATTTTTAGAATCAAAATTTGGTATCTATGTCTTTGCCAGCATTTGAATTTTTTGTTATTTTGTTTGTTTGTTTCAGTGTCTTTCAAATTGTATGATGACTTCTTTCAATACTAGTGGCCTTTTTCTTCTTATTGTAACATTTTAAAGAATTATTCCTGTGTAAACTGAACTGGGTTCTAAAATGATTGGATAGTATACAGTCATTGACTGTTAAATGCAAGGGTTTTGACTGTGATAATCTTTGCCAAGTCCTTTTGTAATAGGAAAATAGAAAGCTTCAAATGATAAACGTAGCTATGAATGTTCTTTCTTGCCTGGGAGACCCAAACTAAGATACGTAAATAGCTGCGAGACAGTATTTGAAGCCTATAAAAAGAATACTCTTAACTGTGTATCCCACAGTATTTTACTGATATAAACTAATTTTGAGATGTTTTCTTTGCACCAGGTAGAAATACTTTAATGTTAATTGACATGAGGTTATTCTTAAATTGAAACAAACATTAACCCCCAGGCACCTAGGATATAAAGGTGGAGGAAACCGAATAATAATTATGTTCACAAATTCACTCTAATCTCAAGCAACCTATGATTTTCTCTTTCAAATGGCATGAAAGAGCAGCACAAAATTCACAGCTTTGATCTTTTTCTGCTCAACAGAAGAAGTACCGTCAGCATCCAGATGCTTTGAAGTTTACCAGTATTAAAGACACTCCGGAGATGGTCCAGGCCAGAATTAGTTATACGCAAGCAGTGGATGTAAGCGATAATGTATATAGTTTGTGACTCTCAGAGTGGGCTCTTCTTTCAACACTGTGATTGAAGCTGAGGGGTTCCTGGCTTGCTCCTTCTGTTGTTCTAAGGATGAAGGAGCTTCTTGTCCTCTGCTGAGGCACACCTTAGCGGGGGTGCTTCCTCGTTAGGATGCAAATGGGGTGTTACCGCTCTTAGGATGCCAAGTGGGGCTCCAGCACCCCACTGTCCCAACGCTGTCTCATTCCTTCTCATTTCTGTGTCTCGAAGATTTGTCTGTGGTGGGGCCTTTTCCCCTCTCCTTTTGTTTTATAGTGTTGTTTTCAGAAATGGAACTTTTGGGTGAAATTCCTGGTAATTGGAACACTGAAGCCAGGCTTAGGGCTTCTTGGGACCCGAGGGTAGGAATTCTTTCTTTCCGAATTTCTCAAAGACTTTGAAAATGATTTGGCTCTGATTTACGTAGATTAGACTAAACTTTCAAGCCATTTCCCATATTCCCTTTATAATGTGAAACCAAGATCTGGCCTTTTGTCTTCTCAGCTCAAGGTTCGTTAGAGACTAAGTTGAATGATAAAGTCCTATGAAAATTCACTTTAGGACATGAATTAGCCCTGTTTGGCTGATTCTACTGAGAGATTCCACAGATCTTTGTGCAGGGCAGACACACCTTTTAAATATCTTCAAACCATTCAAACTGCCACGAGGAAAATTTACAAACCTTGGAGGGAGGGGTTTCAAAATTCTCTCCCTTGTTTCTCAGTCGAGCAAATTATTCTGGTTGTGCCTTATTCGTCAGGCATTCTGAAATGTCCTGAGTGCCTGTCAGAATATGTTCTGGGATGATGTACACACTTATGGGTTTAGGAATTTATAATTTCTTGATAATCAGCCCATCAGAATCAAATTGAATTCTGAGAAACAAGAACTTTTGTACAAAGAAATACAATACCTGCTTCTTCCTTACCCTAACCAACTCTAGGGGGCACTGCTGTGATACGTACAAACTTGGACCTATCTAATACGATTTGGGATGGAAAAGCACAGTTTAGAAACTTTCTCTGGTGGCTGATGCCAGCTCCGTGTGTCATTGGTACCTACTAGGATGTCATAAGCCCCAATCAGAGTTTCGGGTCCACAGATCCACCCAGGAGACATTTATTAGTGCAAGAATCCTTGAGAGGGGGGAGGGGATGAGGATTGAAGTAGGTCCAGGGAAAACCTCACATGTGGCAGAGCCGTCTTCTCTCCTGCCTTCTGAATTTTGATGCCCTCTCATAACTTATAGTTAATAACAAAATTACTAGATGTTCACTAGACCTCATTTCCTCATTTGACACTCATCTCAGCAGCATGCTACAAGTGGAGTGTTAACTGAGAGAAGAGTTTCAGCCTGTCATGTTCCGAGCTGGGAAGCAGAAGTTGGGAGAGAATGAAGCCCGAGTCACCACACTAGCCGTGAAATCGAGGTGGAGCCAGGGTGCCCGGGATCCTGTCTCTGTGGGGAGGTGGCAGCTGCAGAACCCGTGTCTCCTGCAGTGTAACTCGGCGGATGGCATGGGGGAGGCTTCCGGATTTAACACAAAACTCTCTCCACCCACAGAGGTTATACAAGGAGCAAGGAGAAAGCGTAAAGCATCACTACACGCAGACAGCCGACCTCCCTGAAGTCCTGCTGGCCAAGCTGAATGCCATGAACATCAGCGAGGTGAGGCTGATGGGAGGGGCGCTGGTTTTAATTATGGGAGATCAGGGCACCTGTGCAGGTGCACAGCGTCGTGTGCTCAGAAGGGCCCAGAGCCTGGTTTAATGCTCTGTTGTCACCATCTTGAAATTTATAGTATTTTTGAACAAGGAGCCCCCCATTTTCGTTTGGACTGGGCCCTGCAAATTAGGTAGCCAGTCCGGCAGAGGAGTCAAGCTCATTTATGAGAATGAGACTAGGAAAGCTGCCTTAGTACAAAGGGCATTTGTGCTGAGGGGTTGAAATATGGGAGCATCAGAATATTGGTGAGTACATCCAGGGGCTGTGCCAAGGAGAGAGCTGGGGGATGTAACTCCTTCCCTCTACAACCTCTATCAGCTCCCTACTTTCTTGTTCTTTGATAGAGACAGTTGAGTTCCCTTTATCCTACATAAAGAGCTATGCAAATACAGCCTCCTGCCTCCTTCTTCCAATCAACTTGCTGCTCAGGGAAATCTGGTTCTGTGGGTCTCCAAAGCTCTTGCTTTTTAACCCCTTCCCTCACAGGACTGTCCCCCCCAGGGGTGGGCATGAGGCAGGATCCAGCTCTTCGTTGATTTTTGCTAAGCCACAATGATCTCTAACCCCAACTGGGGAAAAACCCCACAACAAACCAGATTTCCATTTTGCTCATGGGAGTTTAGGAAACCACCAGGTCACATGAAGGTCTTTTTTGTGTACATCTTCCCAACAGACACGTTACAAGGAGTCCTGGAGCAAACTTCGAGACGGCGGATATAAACTGAGATTGGATGCCATTCCATTCCAGGCAGCAAAGGCTTCTGGTGAAATCATAAGTGATGTGAGCATCTGCCTCCATTACAGTGACAATGTTTAACACAAACCAATTTTTGTTCCTCTTGCCCCTAACCCCTGCCTTCTTTTGCCTGTGGATAATATCTTCTCCTCTCCCAACTGTTAGGGCAATCAGATAACGACCAGTGAGAAAGAACATACCTTACAACAAAAAATCCCCTAGCCGCGGTACAAAGCCAGATGCTGGACTGTAAATATGGACCCTGGGCAGATGAAATGCACCCGCCACCAAGCGTTTTCCCAAAGCGAGTCCATGTGAAGAGACTGTTAACAATGCACCCACCTTCTTCCAGCATGGGCCACCCAAGTGCTAACATGTCCTGCCATTTCATATCCAGCCCTTTAGTCATTGGGAGTCTTGCATATGAAAGAATAGGCCTTTTGACGACTCCTGTGCGTTTTCTTTTAACTCACTCAGTTACTGTCAAAAGAACAAAACATTTTCGCCCAATACCCACCTCTTCCATTCCATGTCCCTTGTCCCCGAGCTGTTACTCTCTCCTGCTCTCTCTCCCTTTAGTACAAATACAAAGAGGCATTTGAGAAAATGAAAGGGCAGATGCTTGGCTCCCGGAGCTTGGAAGATGATATCAGCCTTGCGCATTCAGTGTATGCGAGCGCACTGCAGAGTGAAGTAAGTGGGAGACAATGCAACGGAGCTGGGTGCCCCCCACCTAACATTGCACAGCCAGCTAGTGTCGTTTGTCTGTCTGTTGTGGATATTGGCTCTGTCCTAACTAGCTGTGTGGCGTTGTCAGGTCCACTGGCCCCTCTGGGCTTCAGCCTCTTCCTCGGTCAAGTGAGAGGATGGGTTAGTTGACCTCTTAGCTCCCTTCTGGGCTGTGCATGCTATGGTTTTGCCCAGTGGCCACAAATGGGGACCTGTGGGCTGGATTTGGACTGCAGAAGTGTTTTGTTTGGTCTGCAGAGTGAATTAATTGCAGACCTTTAAAAATGGAAAATTTTACACAAAAGTTTTATTCTTCTGGCCAAAAGCCAGACCTGGATTCCTCAAGGCTACAGTTGAAGTTCATTACTGAGAGCTCCATTTCGAAGGCACCTGTGTTCTCCTGGTCATGTAGCCACCCTCTCTTCTCCTACTTCCTTCTTTACTCATTTGTGCTACTCGTCTGGCTTCTGGAGACATGTGAATTTGTAACCCTTGATTTCAACCCTCTGGATGCTGGAACGTGTGTGTATATTCTGTCCCCTTGTGCATATGTGAGTTGGCTAATGGCAGTGATGAAATCTAATGTGTCCCACACATTACAGAGGACCAAACACTTTTACATCCGATGTCTCATTTAACCGTCAAACTATCTCTAGGAAATTCATCTTGTTATTCCTCCTGGTTTACTATAAGGGAACCAGACTCTGGGTGGCTCAGTCCCTTGCCTAAGGTCAACTAGAAAGGGGCAGAGCCAGAGCATAGAGCCGGCTCTAATCTCTTGCTCTTTCCACAGTTTCACGTGTTCTCTGCCATTTTGTTCTCTGTGTTGGTTTCCCTGTTTCAAACATTTTTTTTTCCTTTCTATCCTGGGGTGCTGACCTAAGAGTATGGGGTTAGACGTGAATTGTCCTTGGCTTTATGCTGGTGGTGGGGAGAGGATGAGCAGAGGTGGGAGTGGAGGTTAGGGAGGAGTGGCTGGAGCTTCAGGAAGGCAGTGGGAAGGATGGAGGAGGAAGAGGTGGTGATTATGCATCTGACTCCCAAGAAAGCCTGGAGTGAGCTTCATAGACCTTCAAACAGCTTCTCCAAGGACTGTAGGGGAGCTTGTGGTCTGGAAATGGGCCTCTCCCTTCCCCCCTCAGGATGCATGTTGGGCTCTTGGGAATACCATCCCTCATAACTGGCTTTCCAGGTATCCACCCACTGCTCCTGACTCCCAGATCTCCTAGGAGGTCATCTGATGCTTTGAAAAAGCTCTTCATAAGCTAGCTTGAGAGGAGACTCCTTGGTGTCTAAAATCTGAGCTTGAGAGGGTGATGGAAAGAAACTATGGTGGCAGGGCACAGATTGGCCATGCATCCTCTTGCTTCTGGAAAATTGGAAGGTACAAAGACTTGAGCAAGGGAATCATTGACATTATATCTGTCCCTTGAACTTCTGTATTTTTCCCAGCTGGGGAACCACGGGCCTCCATCATCCAAATCAGTGACGTCCCGGAGCTGGAGTGTGAGTGTTAGGACCTGGAGACGAGTCTTGCTTATTAAGCCAGTCCCCGCAGGCAAGGAGTACTGGCCTTGCCGAGAGCGTCTCCCGGGCTTACCTGGGAAAATTGCATGGCAGTCGCTCTCCCTGATGGTCCTGATGCAAATGGTGACTTTGAAATAGCCACTCTTGATCTGTCTGCCCCTCTAGGTGAATTACAAGAAAGGCTTTGAACACTCAAAGGCACACTTCCATCTGCCGTTGGACATGGTAACCCTGGTGCATGCCAAGAAGGCTCAGAGCCTGGCCAGCGACCAGGACTACAGACATCCGCTCCCCCAGTACACTTCCTTGGCGGAAGACCTGAGGCTCAGCTGTGCCAAGAAAGCTCACAAGTTGCAGAGTGAGGTAAGGCGAACCAGCTCTCTCAGGGCTCTTTCCTCTCAGATTTCACCATGAGGGGGTGAACTGCAAGCTCCTGTTGGCTCAGTGGGGGGCTCCCAAGGTGAGGAATTCCTAAACCTGGGGTTTCTTTTGAAACACTGCCCCCGTGTTCCTGTCTAGCTCTTCATAAGCACAATTGCACAGATCTAATAATAACAACAACCACTTATTGGGTATTTTGCTGAATTCTAAGCATTGTGTTTTCCTGCCTTATCACATTTAATCCTCAAAATAACCCTATATTGATAGTGTTTATCCCCATTTTACAAAGAAATTGTAGTGAGGCTCAAGAAGTTGTGTAGCTTGTCCAAGATCACACAACTATAAATGAGAAACGGAGGAGCTGAGACTTGAACTTGGTGTCTGACGAGGATGGCCTCAAGGTTCACAGTTTTGCGTGTTTAAAATTGGCCAATGGTATTGCCTCTGGCCTCAGGTTGGACTGGGGTTCCTCTTGGTGCTTCACATGTTCCCGACCCAGCCATCTTCCCAGGAGGGCTAAGATCTGCCGGGGAAGGCTGCTCAGAGGCCCCCTGGAACTGCCCCACTTCAGGCAGAAGAGAGTGTAGGGGGAGGACAGGGAAGTCAGGGCTGCAGAGATCCTTCCTGGGTCCTCTCAAGGAATCCTGGAGGCCCTCACGCTCCTCTAATGTGCATTTCTAGCTCAGGCCGCCTGTTTTCTGAAGCAAGCAGGCCCGGGAGGGTCAGGGAGCATTGAGGATTTCCTCACTCCCAAGGGGATACAGGATGTCTCTTTCCAACAGGCAGCAGCAGCCTGTTTGGTACTCACCTTATTTCCCTGCTTGCTGGGTTTCCGTATTGTGCGATAGCAAGTAATGGGCCTGTGTCGGAAAAGAAAACACCGCACAGAACCTGCCTCCTGGTTTGGCAGCACCTGCGAGCTGAGCGGTGCTCAGATCTGGGTATCTGTCATCTGTTCTACACCTGTGTTTTACACCTGTGTACAGCGTTTACTGAATGACATAAACTGTCAGGAACCTGAGAGCAGCTGTAGGAACGGGGGAGCTGCCACACTCAGCTCGGGGGCCCGTTTGTCACTTGAGCAGAGCCCTCGTTTGCCCTGCCTATTGTTCTGATAGCGATTGGAAGGCAGCACTCCCGAGGGTGCCTTGGTGGCTGAAAGGGAGTGAATTTGGGAACCCTTAAACCGTCAGCCCAAATCACTCAGGCACACACACTCGCCCCCATCCACACAGACTCAGACGGGCCTTTGCTAGATTATTCTGGATTCATTTAATTAGTTCTTTCTTAACCCATGATTAATTAATGCCAAACTCTGCTGCCGGGTTTTGTTTTAGAAGACCTATTAAACCATTTCCACATTTGCCCCAAGACAACTGACTTTCTAACCACAATCCTCTCCAGCGTTTATTTTTTGATAACCCACATTAAAATAAAACTCCGCCTAGCGTCCCTCCAACAGCTACTGAGACAAATGACAGCAGAATTATTTTCTTCTGACCTACATTTTTGTTTCCCTAATGAGCATAAGAAGCGTTTGTGCCTTTGCTGACTGTGATGTATCTGGAGAGATGGCTTGGCCTTGAGTTCTAATGATGATGCTGTCCTACATGTAGTGGGTCCTCTGGCTTCCCTTTGCTTCCTTGTGCTGCGAGTTGAGCTTTTCTGATTCTTTGTGTTGTTCCTTGTAGAATTTGTACCGCTCGGACCTGAACTTCATGCGGGGTGTTGCCTGTGTCATTCCAGGCACGTTAGAGATTGAAGGGAGAAAGAAAGCATCTGAACTCATCAGTGAGGTAACGGGGGACCCTGCAGGGGGTGGTGGGTGTCAGGGTATTTCCACAGCACGGGTTGTTCCACAGCTGTCAGCTTGTTTCTTACTACTAAAGTGAGTTAGACGTTATACTGTTAGCAGTGGACTCACTGCGGAACCTCTTGCCAGGCCTCTCTTCTTACTCAATTCTCCATTCAGACTAGATGCCATTTAGACAGCTTTGCCGATATCAAGTCAGTTTCTCTATTAACATATGAGGATCATTCACTGGCTGGTAAGATGTACTCTCCTGGGGTCCCTTTGAAGTGGCCTGTGGTACAATGCAAAGAGGGCAGGCTTTGGAGACCAACAAGTGGAGACTAATTCCAGTCCAGCCCTCATTTGCTGTGCAACCTCAAGCCAGTCACCTGCCTTCTCTGAGCTTCAACTTCTTAATCGATCAAATGGGGATACTCATACCTCTCACGTTTAGTTTGTGTGAGGATTAGCACTAATGTAAGCACTGTGCTTCTCTGGTGGCTGCATATGAAATGGTTGCTCTAAGCTTGGTGGTAATTTCATGGTTAAAAATACAGAATTCTAGAATTTTAAGCTCTCTGAACTCCTGAGGCATCTTGCTCGCCCCTGAGAGGGCTCTGGGACTTCCATTCACAGTAGCTGCAAGGACAGGAGGCATAATGGAAGGCACTGGAAGTACGAGGCTGTCAGCCGCCAGCCTGGGAGCATCAGAAGGGCTTGTGCATCGATGAGAAGCCCTGAGGAAGTGAGACTGGCCTCACTGTGGGAGTTTAGGTTTAACTCTTTGCTTTTCCAGTGAACTCTCTAAAGTGAGTGGTTTTTAAACCTGTTGGTGCATCAGAATCCCCTTTGGAGCTTGAAAAAAAATACAGAGGCCTGGGTCCGCTGACAATTTACTGAGTCCCAGTCTCCCGGGGTGGGGTGCAGGCAGGTGTATGTTTAAAGCTGCACAGTTGTTTCTGGTACACCCCCAAAGATGAGGAACCCTGGGTCTCCAGCGCACAGAGGTGGAGAGCAAAACTCAAATTTCAGTAGTCATGTTCACATTGATGGCAAAGGACTGGCTCTCCTTTTCCCGCGGACAAGCATCTGATTCAGTCTGTCCTGTCTTCCTCTCTGCTTCTTCATCCCACTGAGTTCTGAGGTCACAAGAGCAGGTGGTGGGCTGGATTCCGGGTGACAGACTAGTAGCCTTTGCAAAATGAGGTGCTATAACTAGTGCTTAAAGAGCTGTTCTTCTGGTTTTATACTTACCGAGTCTCCTCATTTCTTCTTGTGTGTGAATTCAGAGTAAATATCGTCAGCATCCCCAGTCATTCAAGTACACGGCTGTGACAGACACTCCCAGCCTCCTTCATGCAAAACTCAGCAACCAGATTACGAACGAGGTAAAATCTCCTGATGGCTTTGGAATGGGCTTTTCAAAACTGCTAGATTGTTAGAAATATTTGTGAATATTTGTGGAGTTGTGGGTGGGGGGGGGGAAACATGGGCGTTTGCGTGGAAGTTTGGAAAGAAAAGAATGTCATTATATGGAGCCTAAACATTTTCCAGAAGGAAAGAGGCCCAGTTGGAAATCTGGTTAAGGCTATAGTCTCATCCCCCAAATGTAGTCACAGATCAGCAGCATCAGCCTCTCCTGGGAGCTTGTTAGAAATCCCGAACCTCGGGCCCCACCCCAGGCCCAGTGAATCATGTGTCATTTAATAAGAGCCTCACATGCTTCCTTTGCACATTAACGTTTGAGAAGCGCTGTTCTGTCATTTGTGTGTTCTATCTAGGCAAATATTGGCTAACCACTTTTATATTGTCATTCTGATGATTATTGTAGGGAGGATTTGTGGTTATCCAAGCACAATCCTATAGTACGTGTTTGTCAGAATTCTGGAATTTCTACCTCCTCTTCTTCTCACTCACCATTTACCCAATTCACCCTTTAATATTTCTAACAAAGGGGGACGCAGGGGAAGGAATCTCGTTACATAAAATGATCATTCCAGTCTTATTGGTTTTCCTCCTTCTTAGTGGCTCTCTTACAGGTTTGAAATAGAAAGTGAGCTTGGCAGAGAATTAAATTTTGCATCATCTTTAGTTTTTAAGATTCTCCTTCTGACTCTGACTTTCAGAAGTCAGTTGAGATTGGTGCTTTATACTATTAGTTCCCACTCTCACCCCAAGTCAAAAGATGAGGAATGGCAGCTTGCGATAAGAAAGTCCACAGGGCCTGTGTAGTGATGTTGTCAATGTTAAATTCCTATTGAACCTTTCCTGCCTGCTTTGTGAGCTGGGGGCAGAGGGGTAACAATGCCTCTTATGATGGCCTCCGGCCTTGGGGAACTCGGCATGCACAGACCCATTTCTAACCAGGAGAACAGATGTTTTTGTACTGGCTGAGGCCACGCAGGGCAGCATCGACGTGAGTTCACCCATGGAAGGATCTGGGCTTTAGTAAAGGATGCAGACCAGGGTTTGCAGCTTCCCTTCCACCAAGCAGAGCTTCTCCTAAATTTCCCAGATCTTAGTATTGTCTTTACACCGACTCCTCTAGATAAAAATCTACAATGGGAAGCACCTCAATAGTGTTCCTAAATGTGTTTTTCTTTCCTTAGTCTATTATTGAGCCAAGCGCAGAGGAGGAAAAAATACCTTTTCCTTTACCTGTCTTAGGTTCTCAGCTGGGGCTCTGTAACAAAAGACAGATCAACAAAAGGAAAGCACACAAGTTTATTTAATATAAGCTTTTCTTGAGACAGGAGCCTTCGTAAGGAAATGAAGAGCAGAAGAAATGGTTAAACCTGAATGTTTTTATACTAGGTTTGATGAAGAGTGGAAAGTTGTGGAAAAATGTGATAGGACAAAAGGGATGAGCTAAGGGTAGCAAACTGGGGAAAACTTAGCAAGGTCTGTTTGCTCAGATTCCTCGCTGTGTCCCTCTGTCTTCGGAGACAAGATGCTCCTTTCCTCTGGGTGTAAGTATAGCACCTCTCACAAGACGGTTTTATGACTTTCTTCAGGGGAGAAGGTCAGAGGGAGTTCTTCCAACACCTGTGTTTCTCAAATTCCTTCAGCTTAAAATATTCAATACGCCTAGATGTGTATTTTGGGGTAGAACATGTCCTGAACCTCATCAAAAGCAACTTGCAATTTCTTACATATTCCTTTATATCCCTCAACTTGACCCATGAAAGACTGTCTTTATTGAAAGAAACATCTTCTCCAAGGCTGAGGGTGTATCCAAGACAGAATGAATGGCTTTTCACAAATGCGTTTTCCAATTGTAAACGAGGGACCCCCCACTGCAGAAATGCATAGCACTTATCTTCTTGCTTTTTCTTTTCTTTTCTTTTCGCCCAGCGCCTCTATAAAGCAGCAGGAGAGGACGCGAGACACCAGTACACAATGACCCTGGGTCTGCCTGAGTTTGTCCGAGCAAAGACAAATGCGGCCAATCTGAGTGACGTAAGCCTTTCTTGTTGCTGAAGTTCAGGCACACTCCTAAGCCACGTATGTCTGTGTCTGTGATGGAATCCAACGGTGACCCTTCTGGCGTTCACGGAAACTTTAAAAAAGATGTATCTTTTAGATGCTCCTGTTAAATATACCTTTTCACAAATGTGTTGAGTACATACGTGTCAGAGCCCATGACAGCGTGTGTGCTGAGGAGATTTTCTTTGCAAAATAGAAAGCTTTTGCTTGTCAGAAATCGATTCTGGAACACTGTACTACAAATGAAAGGGGTAGCCTTTGTTCGTTGATTCGTGTAATTTTTTTTTTAAAAGAAGATCTACATGTGTTCCCACTGTAGGCAAAGTACAAGGAGTCTTGGCGTAATCTCCGTGCTCAAGGCTACAAGCTGACAATAGACGCTCTCCCCTTCCAGGCTGCCCGGGTCTCTGGAGATATAGCCAGTGATGTGAGTTGAATGAGATGACCTTCTATCTTGCCTCATTTCTGTTAACTTCATGTAAAACAATGTCTATGGCTGATTTTCCTGAATTAAAGCAAATCTATCACCATGTGAGACAGGGTGTCACCTGCAGAATATATTAGTTATGAATGAGATCCTTTGACGGAGGGAGGGAAAGAAAGGCTTTGTTAATCAGAAGCTAAATTCAGGCCAAGGTCTCCAGCAGGAAGGAGATTATGTTTTATTTCTAATCGCAATGCTTAGGCAGTGATCTACCTGTAATACGCGAGCTGCCTGTTTTCTAACTCCACCCAGAATTAGAAAGAGAACTCGCAATAGAAAGTATAACACAGCCCTAACGCATCTCCCTCTTGGCTCTCTGTCTTTGCACACGTTGGTGTTAGAATTTGCCAGCTGTATTTCAGCCACTCTGTTGATAGCGTCCATAGCTTTGGGACATGAAGGTGACTTTCTCTTTCCCACAAACAAATCACAGAAAATGTGGACTTCAAATAAATGGATCCTGTCTTTTGGGTTTAATGTTTTGCCACATGCAAATGGATAAAGCACAAGTTTCTCTTTTACCCTTTTTGATAAATTCCTTTTGGCCGTAGGATGCGTAAGGGGAGTGGGGCCTTTACTTTGGTTCTGAGGATCTGGTTTTAATTAGATAGGAAGAATGAAATGCTGTTTTAATTGTTCATCCCCCAGGGAGGAAGCATGCTCTCAGGCCAACCTCACTGTGGTTTTTCTTATAATCATCACCTCCTCATGTAAGAACAGGTGATTTTTCCAGAGTCTGCAATGAAAATGCACAGGTGGAATTTAAGCAGGTCGAATGCCAGCCGCTGACCGGCTGGTCCGCCTTCCAGTTTCTCTACAGACATGACTTTGTGAAGGAACGAGGCAGGCTGATCGGGGCCCGGAGCGTCAGCGACGACCCCCGGCTCCAACACTGCCGGCGGATGGGCCAGCTGCAGAGCGAGCTTCAGTACAGGAGGGCGGCGGCGGGCAGCCAAGCCCAGTGCCACCTGCCCATGGACATGGTGCACCTGGTCCACGCCAGGAAGGCCCAGGCCCTAGCCAGTGACTACGACTACAGGACACAGTGCCACAAGTTCACGGCAGTGCCCGAGGACCTGAAGATGGCCTGGGCCAAGAGAGCTCACGCCCTGCAGAGTGAGGTAAGAGGAGCCTTGTGGATCGCACACCAGCCCTTGACCTTCATCCTACCACCAAGCCTGGGTGTACACCTCTGCTTCTTCCTCAGCCTTTCAGGATCCTCTCCCCCAAACAACGACTTGCTTGGTCTATGTCATCTAGGTCGGGATCATGCAATCAATCATTCAGCAAATGTTTATTGAGCACCCGCTGTGTACCAGGCACCACTCCCGGCTCTGGGGATACAGCAATCAACAGAAGAGTCAAAAAACTCTTGTGCTCATGGAGCTGCCATTGTATGGAGGGAGACAAAATATGAAAAGTAAAATATTTAGTATGGCAGATGGGGACACATGCTATGGAGACAAACAAAGCAGGGGTGGGGTGGGAGGGTGTGGCTGTGTGTGTACCTGCACATGTGCAATTTAAAACAGGGTCAGGTAGTTCTCATTGCAAAGGTGACCTTTGAGCAAAGACCGAAGGGGATGAGGGAAGGGGAGAGAGCACTCCTCAGCGTATTTGAGCCAGAGTGAAGCAAGTGGGTGAGTGAGGAGGACATGGTCAGGGATGGGGTCCGAGAGAGAAGAGAGGCTGGACCGTGTACAGCAGGGGTGGTGGTGGTGACAGGAGAGAGTAATTTAACCATAGCTGATGCTTACTAACTGCTTGTCATTTCTGTCACCCTTACTACAGCACTGTGAGATGGGGACGGTTATCACTCCTGTTTTACAGATGAGGTCACATGGGAGGTGCCGAGGCAGGACTGGCTCTAGAATCCACGTTCTTAACCATCCTGCTCTGCAGGAGGGAGCTCAGAGCAGGGGGGTCGTGCTTCCTACAGCACAAGTGTAGACACTGATGCCCTCAAAGGGGAGTCTTCTCCCAAGCAAGGGCACCAAGCAGGTTGGTGGGTAGCACCAGCCCCTCCCACATCATGGTGGAAGGTTCTGGAGTCAGTTCCTTTGGAGTCAGTCCCATGCCCCTTCTAAGCCTCAGTTTCCTCAGCTGGGATGTGGTAATGATGACTATGTGGTCATGGAACACTTACAGAGCACACGCCATGTGGCAGGCAGTGTACCCTGTGGGCTTGCCCACATCGTTTCTAGGCCCCACAGCATCCCCGCTCTCATTGTAGAGAATAACCCATGGGACTGTTGTCACACTAACCCTAATCATCCACATCAGGGTTTCTCCACTCTGGCACCTTTGACATGTTGGGCTGGATAAGTCTTTGTTGCTGGGGCCAGTCCTGTGCATTGCAGTGTCCCTGGCCTCCACCCACTAGATATTAATAGCACCCCCCTCAGTGTGACAATCAAAGATGTCTCCAAATATTGCCAAATGTACCTGGGGGAAGAAATTGCACCCGATTGAGAACGCAGTTCTCAGTTGAGGACTGGTCTGTGTGAAGCACTAGCACGGTGCCTGGTGCATAGAAACACGCCAGGATGTGTTAGCTGTTTTGATTACATTCTCTCCACCAACCCTTCTGATTCTGGTTGCCTTGAGGGCAGTGACTGCTCTTGGTTTAGTTATATGCCACAGGCGGAGTAGTATAAACACATAATCGATGATTAATTAGGATGCAGTGATTTAATGATCATCTAATTATTGATCACGATTTGCTGGAACTTCAGTATCACATTGTTCATCAACAGATAGAGTGTGGAGCAGGGTGAGTTCATGGGCCCCACACAGGGGATGTGGTTCCACTTAGAAGGCCTTCCACTTGCTAGAAGGCCATCCTGTGGCCTCCAAGAACAGCTCATAGAGTGACTCTGGTGCCCAAACCAGGGATGTTCTTGTCAATGGCCTGTTCCTGGAGAGAAGAGAAACCTTCTGGGACAGGACGGGCCCCTGAGGAAAATGTAGAGGCCACCTGAGAGAGGTGAGGGGGGCTGAGCTGGGACCCCAAAGATGTATATTGGAAGCCCAATTTTGTCACTTACTGGCTGTGTCCTTGAGTAGTCACTTCGCTTTCTAGGCCTCCATCTCTACATCGAAAAAGCAAAGAGGTTCAATTTGATTGGTGACTTCAGATTTTAGGATTCATAGGTAAATGTTTTTTAAGTGGTGGCATCAACATCATGTCAGATTTTTATTTTACTAAGTAAGGAAAAAGAAAAAACCCCACTACCTCAAGCTACCGTTTATGTCATTATTTCTGAAAAGAAAGGAGTTTTTAAAATTATTATTATTATTATTATTTTTGCTGGGGAAGATTTGCCCTGAGCTAACATCCATTGCCAGTCCTCCTCTTTTTTTGCTTGAGGAAGATTAGCCCTGAGCTAACATCCATGCCAGTCTTCCTCTATTTTGTATGTGGGACACCACCACAGCATGGCTGGTGAATGGAGTAGGTCCACTCCCGGGATCTGAACCTGCAAACCTGGGCCACCGAAACAGAGTGCACGGAACTTGAACCGCTTGGCCACGGGGCCGGGCCCTGAAAAGAAAGGATGTTTTAACACTAAAAAGAGTAAGAAGAATAGTCTAAGAAAAAGCGTCCTTCCCAAGAAATGGTAGTTGGCATTCTTAGACTGACATTTTATGAAATAGGATATGTATTAAAATTTTGAATGCTGAAAAATTATTGCTTAATTTTAAAAATTACCATATTATGTTTCATGCATTGTTTTTTAAACTTCACATTTGTTAATTTGGGAGGTTGGATTACAAGATGCTGTGAACGTTAGACCCCACAGTGCCAGCTGGTTCTGAGGCTTCAGTTTTCTTGCGATCGTTATGGAAAATCCAGTTTCATGTGGTCATGTTGTGTGGAGAAGGAAACAAGGGCTCAGCAGGAGTTCACTCAATTCAGCAGAGTCTGGGGAGGAAGAGGAGCCCCAGTGCCTCTCCTGTCCTTTCTCACCCAGGCCAGAAAGAAAGCTGTGTGTCGGGCTAGAGGGAGCCAAGAGGTGTTCACCCCTGGGGCGAAGGTCCTCAAAGCCTGATTGCTCAAGTCACATGCAAGTCATGCAGCTGAGACCCATGCTGTGCCCAGGCAGTGGTCCACCATGAGTGGGTGCTGGTTCGACCGCCTCTTCAGGTCTGCCGTGCTGCGCTCCCCTCCGTGATCTCGCATGGGGCTGCAGCTGCCCTGGAAAGCACATATAGGGACTGTCAAAGGGACAGTCCTGGCCCCACCCTTTAAGCTCTCTGGGCTTCAGTTTCCCCATCAGAAATAACAACAATGACAGTAACAATAGTTAAAATGTTGAATAATAAGCTAATAATAATACGCCAAAATGCTTATTCTGGGCCAGGCATTTGTTTAAATATTTTGCACACACTATCTCACTTAGTATCTAGGTAGGTGCTGCTATTACTCCCATTTTTACAGATGCGGCAACTAAAGCACTTGTAATCTGAAGTAACTTGCCCAGGGTCACAGGCCCACAGGGAAATGACTTGCTCAAGACCATACAGCGAGTAAGAGGCAAAGCAGGGCTCTCTGACTCTCCCTTCAGTGCTCTTTGGCTCCCCCAAGTGGCTGGATTAGGAAGCCAGGTGCTCTGGCTCCTGAGTGTTCTCTTAATGACTACTAGTGTGGTATACCAGCGGCTGGTGGCTCTTCTGAGAATCCGAACAATCATTTGAATACCAAAATTGTTCTGTAGATGGGAACAAGGCCCCCTCCTTTGCAAGATGGTGTGTGGACTGAATGAGGTCATTAGTCTAAAGCAAACCACACCCTATGCGAGGTCTTGATTATCATGATTTTTATCAATATGATAAACATACCCCTTCCCCCAGTCACATTCTGGGTGCAGTTGTTTACATAATTCCTGTTGGAAATCAGGGACCGAAATCTGTAGCCCGTATATTTGCAGCACAGTGCTCCAACATGGAGGTCCGGGAAACCCCACGTGTGAATCTGAAGGTGGCTTCCAGGCCTTAATATGTGCAAGGGAAAATAGTGAGACTGCCATTTGGGGAAGGCAGATTCAGCAGGGCAGTGGGAGAAGGTCTCTTATTATCTTAGAATCCTTCTTCGAAACCCTCTTCAGGTAGCGCTTCTTCTCGACTCTTCTCCTCTCTCCCCCTCTTTTATCGTGAAGTCTGGGGCAGGCGTGTTGTTTTTAGGGCCTGTGTGAATAGTCAAAGCTGGGCTGGGAGCTGAAATATCAATAGACAATCCATTTATAAGAGAGTCGGAGGCACAGTCAGATCTTTGGGTAAGCTGCATCTTGCTTTCTGACTTACCTGCGATTGTACTGTTCAGCTCAACAAAAGGCGAGTTGAAAGAGCACTCCCCACTTCATCTCGCCTATGAAAGGAGCAAGGCCCGGCTGTGAAGAGGCCCTGTAGGATTATTCTCTCTAACTTAGAAATTTATCCAATTTTCTCTGTTCTTTATCAGAGTGGAAGGAAGGCAAAAGCTTTGCCGGTGTAGACTGAAAGATCGCGGGCTAAAAAGCAGTCTTACTGACATGGGGTTTTGAAACCTGCTCCTGAACCTGAGTGATGGCTCCCTTCACCAGTTGGAAAGCAGAGTCGAATTTGCACAGGGGCATTAACCAGCAGACAGTAGATCAGAAACGGACCCTCTTTGAGGCCAGCTGTGAGGGACGCTGTGAATCCTGAAATGAAAGAAAACTAAAAGGGCCAAAAGGCTGATTTCTGGAGTGATATTTTGCGTTGCAGCAGAGCTTGTATCTAAATTAGAGAAATGCTATCAACTTCGTTTAGATCCAAATTTTAGATTTCCTTTGAGAGTCTTTTTCCACCTTTAAAAATGCCTAATTTCTCTAAAGAGAAGAAGAAAAGCATCCAGGTGACTGTCTCCTTGTCAGAAACGGTGAGCAGATCGAGGAATAGTAATAAGATTTAGCGTTTTAGGAGACTCCTAATGAGACCCACTGTCTCAACGTACCACTTCTTATTTTCTCCCAAGAATGATGCTGTAGTTTTAATCTTCTGAGCCATTACAATGAAAAAAATGGATAAGGCTCAGCCTGTTTTTGCAATATAAGCAAATCATGAGTAACAGTGGGAGGAGGGGGTAAACTGAGGCACAAGAATATTAAAATGGCTTACACACTGTTAGCTGGCTGTATGTAGGTTTGTTCCAGTTTTTAAAGTCCTGCCATAATTGTCCCCCCGCCCCCTACTACCGAAAGGAAAGAAGCAAATCTGATATATAGAGTGGCTTTTGTCCCTGAGGACACTCAGGTGTTCTCATGAGAACAGAGGGGTTGTTATGACCTTCAGGTATCGCAGAGAGAAACTGAGTCACATATTGGTAAAGAGATTTGCTCCGAGTCACAGCAGGTTTGATCCAGAGCTCAAAGCCCTTTTATCAACAGAAAGTGTGTAAAACATTTTTATTTTATTTAGGCAGGTGGCCTCACTGCCAGAATGAAACAAGATAGTCGGGGCTGATGCTTGGGCTCAAGCGTGTGTCTCAGCCCTTTTTTAAGTGACCATTCGCATAGGTCGTTGCCTTCTGCTTCGTGTCCTACCAATTCACTGGTGGGACCTTCTTGCATCTCATGCATGATCCATTATTTAATTCCTGGCGGAATGCACAAATTCAAACAGTTTGACTTAATGACATGCAGAATGTGCTCTGAATGCAGATGTTGAAATGTTGTGATGAAGCATTATTCCAAATGCTATCACAAATCAAGGATCTTCCTGCAATGCTCCAACAGTCTTAGACACTCTCCTGATAAAAGCCAATGCTTTTCTTCCTGCAGTTACACTACAAGTCAGACCTAATGGGCATGAAGGGTACAGGATGGCTGGCGTTGAGTTCCCCACAGATAGAGAGTGCAAAGAAGGCTGGAGAACTCATCAGCGAGGTACCATCAACCTAACTCTACCATAAATGCAACCTAGCATTTATTTCCTTCTGAAGAGGGAGCCTGCTTGTGGGTGGAGAGCCCAAGAGGGCCCCATGGCCACTGGAATCCCAGTGTTTTTCCGGGGCCATTTGCAACCAAATCCGAAAATGGAACAAGAATTCTCTTGAAATGAATTCACTTGCTGGGGAGTTAAAGGCACATTCCACATTGGGCAGTGAAAGACGGATGATGCTTTAGAAGGTTCTCAATAGATTCATTATATACAATCATGATCTAACCTGGCCCATTATTTTCATGAGGGGTGCAGAATTTGCCACTCCCCTACTGAGTTTACTCGGAGGATCCGGTGTCCAGGGGTTATCTGATTTCAGATGGTGTTAAAAGTTGCACAGGGTGGTTACATTAACTGAACTCTCCACCGTATTGACGGCCTGGGGATTCTTGCCCTGGGCTCCCCTCAAGGGTGGCACTGCTGTCTTCAGTTTCTTAATAATACAGCTTACTTGGGCAGGGTCCGAGCAGGGCCACACTGATGCTGAATCCCGCCCTCTACTGAATTCCTTTGTTGTGGTGAGTTACAGTGTTCTGCAGCCTCTTTTCTTCAAGAAATTAAATACCTGTAAAATGTTCCTTATCACAGAGGCAGCTTGGATCTCTTCTGTATCCTTGTGAGGTGTTCACCAAGAAGGGAGACTTGTTTTCCTGTAATGTCATTGGCATATTTGGTACTGCGTAGGTGGGAAGAAGCTGAGTCCAGAAAAATGCATGATGGTTGACTGTTTCCTGGGAATCTTTGTCTTCCCCTTACAGACCAAATACCGTAAAAAACCAGACAGTATCAAGTTCACCACGGTGGTTGACTCCCCGGACCTGGTTCACGCCAAGAACAGCTACATGCACTGCAATGAGGTGGGTGTTTTCTCATCAGTCACCCCAGGTGTGCAGTAGTGGGTAGGGCTGCTCAGTGGTCAGTGCTTAAGACACGGGCTCCGGACAGGTGTGAGTGCAAACCTTCTACTACCTGAGTGATCCTGGGCCAGTTATTAATCTCTCGTAACCTCCATTTCCTTATTTGAAAGGAGGGTAATGATAGCAACCATTTCATAAGATTAAGTGAATTAAATGAGAATTAAATAAATAAAAGTATGTGAAGCTTTTAGCAAGTGTCTGGAACACAGTTAAGTCCTCAGTAAAAGTCTCTTATTATGGTTTGATTCATAATCCTAACAATAGTAGTACTAAGTATTATTGATGATCCTTACCAAACACTAGATCAGATACATCCTAACTGTTGCTAGATGGTAATGGAATTAAAAGTTTAACATAACCCAGCTAGAAAAAAAAAGAAAAAGAGCAGCTATATTAAAAGCTTCTTTCTGCTTTTACTCTCAGTATGACTTAGCCCCATTTTCTCTCTCCTGTATTTATTTTGAAGAATAGGAAGTTAAATATTTTTTCTCTGAAATTGTCCAGGGATTCAATTCTGCACACACAGTGACGAAGCCGCCCCATCCTCACACAGAGTCCAAATGTCTGACCAGCTCATGTTTGCAGAGCTCAAGTTGAATTTGGGAAAAGATCGCAATATTAAATATTATATTTTCCTCTCTAAAAATAGATGAGGCTCAAACATTTCCTAAAATTGTTTGCAGTTCTTAAATTGCTGTTCTAAAAATAGCAACTAAGATAAAGCTTGAGTTTTAAAATTGTGTCTTCCTGGGACCCAGATGGACCAGGAAAACGTTAATTTTCTGAACACGTTAAGGCATTTTATAATAAAAAGACTAATTACCTGTTGTGTCTTTTTATTGTTACTATTAATGTTAAACAACAAAGGCATTGAGGCATCTTGTTACTAGTAAAAAGCTTCTCTGATGCTTAACTGCAAAAATTCTCTGAAATATCCACACAGCTTCTACTGTTTGTCAAACACACAGGTATAGCCAACCAGGATGCTGGTCTGTGGCCCATTTGGAGAAGATCTCGATGAATATTTTAAACAGGGTCTATTTAAAACCAGCCGGCCCCACCTGACCCTGGCCCCATGAACCCCCTCCATCAGACAGAGGGTTCTGGAAGGATGCTCTCCATGTGCAAAGTTAGGTTCTGCTCCCACGCTGGGCACTGGGGTGGGAGAGGCAGGAGGGGGAATCAGCCTGCTTCCACCTGTGATGTCAACAAGTGTAGTTTCACACTTACCGTGGCCTGTCTTCCTCGCAGCGCCTGTACCGGGCGGGGGATGCGGAATCGCTGCACAGGTTCACCCTGGTCCCCGACCACCCTGACTTCACCAGAGCCCGCCTCAACGCGCTGCATCTCAGTGATGTAAGTGAGCCGGTGGTTCATGTCATGTGTGCTGGTTCTGTAAAATTATCTGGGCCCAAACTGGATTTTATTTGTTAAAAAAAAAAAAAAAAGAGTCCTAGGAAGGAGGACTCAGAACAGAGAGAATGCTGGACTGAGAGTGGGACAAACTGCATGCGTGACTTTCAGTCACTTTCCTCGCTGGGCCTCAGTTTCCTCTGCCATAAAATGGGGAAAGAGCTGTGCTAACGGACACCTGGGACTCCTTCCAGCTCTAAAAGTCTGATTCTGGGCCCGGCTCCAAAGACCTCTGTCGTGTGCCTAGTTAGACCGTCAGAGAGTGGTCCCCTGGCCCTGGCAGGTGTAGACACCTGCTCTGTTTGCTTCCTGGACACGTCTCCTTAGCCATTCAGAGCCGTGCAACTTTGGAGACGGAGTGGCACTTTCTCACTCTGCAGTTTGGAAAGATGCTGCCATTGTAGCCCATTGGGTCCAAACACAATTGGCTCCTTTGTGCATGGGGCTGTGGCCTCCACCACTTTAGTTTCCCTCAGATGTGTGCCCTTTGCGTGCATAACCAAGATGCTATTTCCTAAACCCAGGCTTGTTGTTAGCAGGGGTTGGAGGCCCCTGGTTGTAATAGAATAGGCGGCCGCTCGGCCAGCAACGCTATGATCCTGGGATAACAGGTAGCGAGGCGGTGAAATCAAAAGACGCTGTCAGATCAGAATAACACAGGCTGAGTGTGTCAGCCTGGGGCAGCGCGGGGCCTCCCAGAGTCCGGCCATTCTTCCCTCCCTGGCCTGGCCATTGTGTCCTGGGGCTCCGTGCAGATCAACAGCTGCTACCGTTCACCCTAGAGGTGGCTGCCTCGCAGGGGTTGGCGAGAGGCGCCTCTAGTTAGCGTGTGTATTAGTTTGTTGCGTTTGTAAAGCCCTGTGGGATCCCACGCAGTGAATGCGATGGTGCTTTGTAAATATGAGTTATTATGACCATTTGATGCTTTTGAGGGATGCACGAGGGATAATTTTAGAACAGCAGCTCTGGTGGGCTGACCTCCATCTGGGGAAGCAGGACCTCCCCCGCAGCAGAGCTTGGACAAAACATCCGTCTCATTAATGCTTCAAGGATGGAGAAGGCCAGGCCTCCATTTGAGGAACTATGGAGGCCCAGAGCCCTGGAAACTGGGATAAAACTGCCAGTCCATCTGGGGCCCAGCTTAAGGAGGACAGCCACCCCAGGTCGGTGACAGAAGCATCTTTCCTCTCACAAGGGACGCCAGTCTGTAGAGTCCTGGAGCTGAAATTAGCCGCCAGGGTATGCGGATATGGAGAACTCATGAACCTCTTTTGAAAGAGCACTTCTTCGGGGGCGTGTAGAATACGCACAATTGGATCAAGTGCTCTGTGAGGAGGATGTGGAGGGAAAGTGACCTTTCTGGGCAAAGAAAGCCATTGAGATGTGTAAGGCAGCCGAAATAACTAAAAATCAAATGACTCTAATGTGTGAGGATGAGGACAAAACTGTGCCCACTGTGATAAAGAAGAGGAACGCCCAGGGTTCCGAATCAAAGAGCCTACGGAATCTAAAGGCTCCCAGTGGCAAGGCAAAAACCTCAACCGAATAAAAAACTCAGGGAGGAAGTGATGACAAGCAAGCAAATAGTATACAGGGAGAAGGTACCAGGATGAAGGGAGCCAGCAGCTTGGGGAGAACCCCAATTTGGGCCATGCTCTCTGGTTGACCCCAAGTTATTGAGACGTAGAAGCTGGGGTGCCTTGGACACCAAAGCGCGGTGACATTGGAGTTGGATACTGTGTGACATTTGGTGTCTTACCCAGCCCAGATCCAGTGTGGAGGCTTTTATTAGGAAGGTGCTGACAGTCCCCCTGCCAGGGACTGGTAAGGATTTGACTCTATTTGTTACTCTAATATCTGTGGGGCCACCAAACCAGGAAGCATAACGTGAAAGAGGATGCTTGGTCTGTCATTTTCTGAATGCCCCTTCCCTTCTAGATATCTTTCAGTCCTGCCTGCTAAACTCAATAGTGATCCAGTAAATGTAATCGTTGGGGCCATGTTTGAGATCCATCCATTAGGTGATTCCCCCAGGGATGACTGGTTCTGGATTTCCAGGCCTTTGAACATGGTAGGTATTTGGTTCATGGTTTGTGGTGTTGGACGTTGGAGTTCAAGGTGCTGCTGAAGGTGAAGGTGATGATGGAGAGTGGTACATAAAAATGATGAGGTCCACCATGCTTGGCCCAGGCACTTTGTGGTCCCCTCTAGTTGCAGGCCCAGTTCTGGGGTGGGTGAGGCACTTTGCTTTGTATCTGCCACTCTTCCTTTGCTTAATCCCCCAATCTCCTATAGAAAAGAGCCTCAGCCTTGACCTCTATTTCTAAGTGACAAAAGTAAGGTTCTTAAGGGCACCTGATCTGCCGTGGCTCACGGAACGAGTGAGCGACCGACACGGTCTGGGGCTGTCGCTTTGTCGTCTGTTGGTGAGGTGCCTCACCTGCTGTCTGCCTTCTGTGTGGCTGAATAAAGGACAGCCCTCCACTGGGATCTCCAGATGACTCCTTTCATGGAGCCATTCCCTTATCTTGAAAAAAAATATTAGCTACATGAAGGCACGGGAGATTTTGATGCCTCTGTTGGTGATGTGGGTCCTTACCTGGGGACTAAGAGGATGTGATTACAGGCTCCCAGAGGGTATGTGAGAACAACTTGAAAAGGGACAAAATGAAAGAGGAAGATGTGAAAGACACAGGTCAGGAGCTCGGTCAGTTCTTGACAATCAATTTAATTCAGGTGAAGGCTCTTCCCTCGGTGCAGGCACCAGGAGTGCATATGGGATGCAGCGTGCTTCATAGTGATGGTGTGATGTGGCCTCAAAGGCAGCCAAGGGCCCCCAGGAAGTCAGTGGAACTAACGAACACATGGGAGCCAAGACCCACGAAACAGCACTTTCAGCTTGTGGGAAGAAACAGGGTTCTTGATCTTTGAGTTCTGGCGTCTAGAAGCTGCGAACCTGAGGCACTGAAGTGAATGCAGAGACAGGAAGGAGTGAGGTGAAGGCCTCCGATACCAGTGGGGGGAAGCAAATGAGCTAGACTCAAAGACTCCAAGACCCACAAGAGCAGGGCCTGATGCTCAGGTTGGGGGCTTAGAGCTGAAGCCCTTCGTGGCCAGCCCACCAGTCCCAGAGCTGGGGAGGTCCTCAGGATGGACATGGGGCCATGGGCCCTGTCATTCTGGGCACCAACAAGGCAGAGGGCACGTGTTTAGGATCTGCTCCTGCTGAGAACCAACAACATGCCAGACGTGGAGTTACTCACTCCCTGCTCACCCATTCTTTGTTTCCCTCATCTAGAAAGTCTACAGAAACTCTTGGGAACAGACCCGGGCTGGCGGCTATGATTTCAGGCTGGACGCCATCCCATTCCAGACTGCCCGGGCGTCCAGGGATATCGCCAGTGACGTAAGACCCTGTGCTCTTTCTCTCCCTCTGTCACTGATAGATCTTAACTCCAGTTTTCCCAGTTCTGTTGAAAGATACACCACCAGGAACCAAAGCTGAACAGTATTTCAAATGAAAGAAAAAATAGAAAAAAAATTATTTTCCAGAATCTTAGCCAGAAATTGGGAATTGGGCAAGATTATATTCCCACTCTCTTTCTTTTAAGAGAGGCACTCTTAAAAGTTGATGTATGTGTACCGAGAAATCAATGAACATGCGATTGATTTGTTGATCCACAATCAAGGAACTTCTTTTAGCTGAAGTGCAATGTGACAGGGTAGAAAGAGATTGGATTTTTCTCCTAGATTGACTTGAGTTCAAATCCTGGCTCGGTCATTTATGAATTGGCTCTGTGGTCTTGGGCAAGTTAATTCTCTGAATTAATCTTAAACTAATCTGCTTAAATTCTCTGAACTCAAATTTCTACATCTGTGAAATAGGGATCTAATACTTGTCTCATAGGATCGATGTAGGAATGGAAACAAAATCATTTACAGTGTCACACACATACCAGGTGTTCAAAACATGGCAGCTATTATTATTGAAGAGGAGGGCATCATTGACTAGATACGTGATCATTCATGAATGTCTTGTTACTGGTCCACAATGAGATACGTGCAGAAATCAAGAGCAAGCATTTAGAAATATTTTTAGTGATTAGACACTGTAACATCCAAGCATGTGACTGATGGACTCATCTCGTTGAGTGGGGTGGAGGCCCGTTGGGTTGTTATGAAACGCACATGGTACCACTACATACCAATCACATGAGTAGGACCACGTGTTGGATTTTGATGGATTGGAAATTTAAAAACAAAGTGAATCCAGTCCTTCACTATAGACAGTTTGAGGGAGCACTGGACTGGGTCCCCGAAAGCTGGAAAAAATCAAAGGAAGAGAGACTGCTGAGAGAATGGGTTCGCTTCTCTTCCTGTTGGGTTACTAATTACAGCAGCAATAATACTGGTAGCCGGCACTCAGTGGGCATGAACCTGTGCCAGACATGAAGTTCAGCCCCCATCTTGTTGAATCGTCTCATGTTCCATGGGGTGGAGGTTCATTCTCCCATTTTATCAAGTGGGGAAACTGAGGCTCAGAGAGACTTAGTAACTGGCCTGAGGCCACACAGCTAGAAGGTAGCAGAAGGAGACATAGACCCCTACTTGAATCCAAAGCCATGCCCTTGAACCACTGTTGAACATCCTGTGGGCTGGCCCCACCTGTGACCCATCTCTGCTCCTCTGACCTGCAGTTCCGGTACAAAGAGGCCTTCCTGCGGGACCGGGGCCTGCAGATCGGGTACCGCAGCATCAACGATGACCCGAGGATGAAGCATTTCCTCAGCGTTGGCAAACTCCAAAGTGACAATGAGTACAAGAAGGACTTTGCCAAGAGTCGGTCCCAGTTCCACAGCCGCCCAGACCAGCCCGGCTTCCTCCAGGCCAAGAGGAGCCAGCAGCTAGCCAGCGATGTGCGCTACAGGCAGCCCCTGCCCCAGCCCAGCTGTGACCCAGAGCAGCTGGGCCTGAAGCACGCCCAGAAGGCCCACCAGCTGCAGAGTGATGTGAGCTGCTCCCACAGGCCTGGCTGAGGCTCTCCCTCTAGTCCTTCTTATAAGAGACAGCCGTAACCCCACATTGCATGCTACCTTTGAGAGGAGCCAGGCTGAGATAGAATCCAGGACACCTAACACTTTAGTGCTAGAAGGCACTGAAGTGCTAAATTGCTAATTGCAATTTACTGAGTCCTCATTGTGGGCCTGGCTCTTTGCCAAATGCCTTTCATGCGCTGTGCTTTGTAGCTCTCACAACAACACCATTACTGCCCCATGTTACAGATGAGGAACCCATGGCTTAGAGAGGTTAAGTAACTTACTCAAGATCACCCAGCAAATAAGGGGCAGACCTGGGCTGTGAACTGCATTTGGTTTGATGTGAGAACCCATGCTCTTGATTGCTATGCCATTCTGTCTCCCAGGGATCTTAGTAGCTCCCTAACCCAGCCCTTGCACTTTGTCTGGGAAGAAACTGAAGCCCAGAGAAGGGAAATCACTTCTCTAAGGCCACAGAGCAAGTTAAGGTAGGAGCTCGGACTTCAGCCAGGTCTCCTCACCCTCTGCCCCCATTGCGGCTCCCATCACTTGATGGAAAGATGCGAGGGACAGTGACATGCTGGCCCAGGTCACAGCACATTGGGTCATCAAGATCAGGGAGCTCCTGTATGAGATGAGTTTGCTCCCCTCGTCCTGGCTTTGCTGGCAACAACATATTCTCCCTCTCATGGCGGCCTTTTTAAGCCTAGCCACTCTGTGGCCAAACCACCCCCAACGCTGCTGACCTATTCCTCTTCCTTCCCTCCTTCCCCCAAGGTCAAGTACAAATCAGACTTGAACCTGACCAGAGGTATTGGCTGGACACCTCCTGGATCCTACAAAGTGGAAATGGCCCGGCGGGCTGCAGAACTGGCCAACGCGAGGGGCCTGGGTCTCCGGGGGGCTTACGTGAGTAGCAAGCTGCAAACCCACGCTGGCTTGCAAGGCCACGGGGAAAGGCAAACTTGTTTCTTTTCAAACTTTATTTTTGGCCAAAGGTCAGCTGGCTCGAAAGAAGTGTGAAATGCAGCTCGAGCAAGGCGCCTAATTTCGTGGGTCTGAGATGACCAGGCACTGACAGCCGGGTTAAACTTCCTGCAGGGTTTTCTCTGAAGTCACAGCCATTAGTTCTGCGGAGACAAACCTACCAGGGCTACATCAATCCCCGGGCCTCAGCAGCGCAGGCTGCGCTGACTGCCTGCTCGTTACATTAGCGGAAAGGGTCAGGGACTTGCTGGCTACAACAGTCTGGGTTTTGAACCCTACTTTGTTCAGAAGAAAGACACCACCTCTAAATGAGAGATTGGCTTTGCTTCTTTCTCCTTCTTGCCTTGAGGATCTTTTTCCTTGGGGAGGGTGGAGGAGGGAAGAGGAAGGGGAGGGTGAGCATTTGAAATGCTCCTGGGGCATCTTAGACAGCTTGTCCTGTGGGAGAGGGCGGGAGCTTCATTTTAACTCAGGGCCCTGTGTTTGATTTCTGCAGGGGGGGCCAGAGGCTGTGGAGCCTGGAGAGAATCAGAGGGGGGATGTGAACCCAGACGCCGCTGAGATTCTGCACGTCAAAAGGAGGAAGGCTCTGCTGTTGTGAGGGAGCAGCGTCCACCCAGAATTCTTGGGAGAGAAGCTGGAGAGGAAATTTGCACGCCAGAGACATGCTCACATGGCTTCAGTTTGTGCCAGCTGTAAAAATGGCGTACTAGCCCATCCCCCAATCCGCCTTTATTAAAATAACAACTCTCTGAAAGCGGATGGAGAATGTTGTATTTTTGGTCCTCTATCTAATGCCTAGAAGTAGATGGCCGGTTCTGTTGCGTACCTTGAGTGTCCGGGATGAGGAATAAAGATGTAAAGTGTTTCCCACCGATGTGGAGAGTTCTGAAATTCTGCATTTACAAATGTCCGAAGTGAGGGCAGTCTCTGAACACTGATTTTTCTAGAAGGTACAATTGTTTGGAGGGAAGCAAACATAATATATGTCGGGTTGATTCTATCATTTCTTGGGTTACCCAGGAGGGAGGCTGATGAAATGGTGGAAATGCTGGTCCAGGACGCCCCGGGCTGGGCAGCTGTTTTCTCTGCTTAGAGCATGGACAATCCACTGCATGTCCTCCTGGAGGCTCCAAGGGTGTCCATTGCTGCCCACGAGGCCTCGCCTTGTCTGGGTGCTATGGAGCGTGGGCTCTGAGTTTCGGAAGATGCCTTAGAAGCTAGCCTCCCTTTGGATGGTGGCTTTGATCCAATTCAGGAATTTGGTAACTTGAGTGTAGACCCCTGGCTTCTTCCCGCATTCCAGGCCCCAGCTCACTATCCCGTAGACGTAGTAGGTACCATTCTTCTCACAGGTCAAAGGGCCTCCAGAGTCACCCTAAGGGAAAAAGACTTAGGAGTTCAGCTTTGAGAATCAGAACACATTTGGAGACACCCCCACCTTCTGTGAGGGGATACCAGGGGGTGATGGGGTGGACTTGTGGCCAGCTGCGGTGGGCTTCTCTGGAAAGCAGTGACAAGGCTCTTCCTATGCCTCATATGACACAAAGCTCTGGAGGGAGAGAGGTAAATACCAACCTATATCCCTGAGTCAGGGAGGGCTTGGTAGAGAAGCCACAGGGCCGAGGCCACAGCGCCGTGGTCATACCCCCACTTCCTACTCTTAGGACTCAGCCACACAGGTATTACTTCTGTGAGTTCTCAGGAGCCCTCAACTTCTCATTCCAGAGGGGAACTGGGGGGCAGTGCCCTGTTTGGATAGAGCCCTTCTAGGGCCCGCAGGGCACACACAGAGTGAGGAGGATGGGGCTCAGAGGCGGCATGGCCTAGGTGTTCAACATGGTCTACGGGGTTAGATCTTCTGAGTTCCAAATCAGGCTTACTGCCTGTTAGCCAACTGGGCCTCAGTCTCTCACACTGTAAACTGGGCAAAGCAACAGACACCCCACACCCCACCTCCACTGAGGGTTCTCATGAGGATTAATGTTTGAAAGTACATAAAAACAGTTCCTGGTTCATATTAAGCTCCCAGTTGAAGTGGTGAGGAGGATGATGGTGAGGAGGAGGAGAGCACAGTAGCTCTCAAACACACACTATAGCTTACGCACTACAACTGACAGGATTTTTTTTTCTTGAGGAAAATCAGCCCTGAGCTAACATCCATGCTAATCCTCCTCTTTTTGCCGAGGAAGACCGGCTCTGAGCTAACATCTATTGCCAATCCTCCTCCTTTTTTTCCCCCCAAAGCCCCAGTAGATAATTGTATGTCATAGCTGCACATCCTTCTAGTTGCTGTATGAGGGACACGGCCTCAGCATGGCTGGAGAAGCCGTGCGTCAGTGCGCGCCCGGGATCCGAACCCGGGCCGCCAGTAGCAGAGTGCACGCACCCAACCGCTAAGCCACGGGGCCGGGCCCTGACAGGGTTTTTAATGAATTCTCTCTTTAAATCTTAGCCATAACCTTATAATCTTGTGGATACATTATTTCCATTTTATAGATTAGGCACCTGAGATTGGAGAATTATTTTGGTGCAATGGACTGAATGTTTCTGTTCCCTCCAAACTCATATGTTGAAGCCTCATCCCCGATGTAATGGTATTAGGAAGTGGGGCCTTTGGGAGGTGATCAGGTCATGAGGGTGGGGCCTTCATGCATGGGATTAGGGCCCTTATAAAATGGGCCCTGGAGAGCTAGCTCTTTCCCTCCACCATGTGAGGACACAACGAGAAGACGGCAGTCTGCAACCCAGAGGAGAGTTGTCGCCAGAACCCAACAATGCTGGCGCCCTGATCTCAGACTTTCAGCCTCCAGAACTGTGAGAAGTCAATCTCTGTTGTTTAAGCTGCCCAGTCTACAGTAATTGGTTATAGCAACCCGAGCAGACTAAGTCATTTGGTGATTGATAAAAGTCACCAAGTAAAGGACAGAACCAGATTTCAAACCCACGACTGTCTGTTTCCAGAGCCTGCAAGTACAGCCCTTGAAATACCCAGGGAACTGAATAATCTGTTTTCTCACTCATCTTCCGGGGGCTTAGGGCAAGTCACACCCATCTGCCCATGCCCCTCCTTTGAGTAGGTGGATATCTGCGGAAGGAACAGAGGGTCACAGTAGAGCCACAAACCCTGGAGAGGGTGACCGTGATTTCCCTACCCCAAGTGGGCTCAAGGCCAGCAGATCATTGTTGGGTTCCTTTGTAGCAGGAGCTAGGATTTGAATGTGTCCATGATGGGGTTTCCTGGAGAGTTGGGTGGTTTATGAGGTCAATAGGCAGAAAATTCTAAATTTAGATGTCCCTGGGAGTCAAGGAAGGATGTTTCCTGTGTGATGTGGCCCCTCCAGAGAGAGGGACTACGGGGAGTGGACCTCTCATCTTTCTCCTTCTAGCCACCGGGCTTATGGAAAGTTCCCTGCTTATTGGGATTTTCAGACATGCTGCCCAGCACTGAGGCCAGAAGCACCCTCTTCACATTTAAACACAGTGGAGCAAATTCCTGCTCTGCTACTTACCACCCAGGTGCCACAGGCCAAGATAATTCCTCTAAGCATCTGTAAAATGGTGATAATGGCATCCCCTTCACCAGAGCATTGTGAGAATTAAGGTAGACAATGCCTACAAAATGACTACTATGGTTATTATGCTGAGTCGTCCTGGATTGATGTGGATTCAGATTTGCCAGGGGACAGATATGTCCACTTGTGCCTTAGCTTTCTGACCCTGCCTCCCAGGCCAGGTGTCTAAGTGGCCTCTGTGCCCAGTGTAAGGTCCTGCCAGCCTCTCCTTCTCCAAGTGCCATTTGGCATCTCTGACCTGGCAGGAGTCTTGCCCCGGCTTATGCAGGTTTCCGGCACAAATCATGGTGTCATCGATCATGTGGTTGTAGAGTTGGCGGGAGTTGCACAAAGTGTTGGTGATCAGCTTGACTTTGGCATCCAGGAGCTGGCGGGACCCTTCCCCTGTGGGCCAGAGAGAAGAGGTTGCCAGTGTGGGGACCAGGGGGGCACCTGCCCCACCAGAAGCCAGCAGTGTAAGAAAAAGGCCTCCAGCTTGAGTTCAGAAAGGAAGGGGCTTCCCAGGAGTTGGGCAGAGAGGCCTCATCTTTCAAGGTTGGAGGATCTTTGCATTCAGCCTTCACCATAGCTTCACAGACCTTCAAGGCTGTGCTTATCACAATGGAGCAGAATCATTTATTCCCTCCCCTGTCTCCCCAACTAGACCGTAAGGTTGGAAGGGCAGGGTTGGTATCTTAAACCATTTTTTAATTTCCCATACTGGCAAAGGGCTGGCGCAGAGTAGATTTTTTTTGTGTGAGGAAGATCAGCCCTGAGCTAATATCCATGCCAATCCTCCTCTTTTTGGTGAGGAAAGCTGGCCCTGGGCTAACATCTGTGCCCATCTTCCTCTACTTTATATGGGACGCCGCCACGGCATGGCCCGACAAGCGGTGCCTCGGTGCGCGACCAGGATCTGAACCTGGGCCGCCAGCAGCGGAGTGCGCGCACTTAACCACTGCGCCACGGGGCCGGCCCCTGGAGTAGATTCTTGATGATTGATCATCTAAATTACCTCCTCCCAGAGTAGACATTTCCTCCCCTAAAGAACCTCTATTCTGTTCAATCCCCTCTGGTCAGCATGGTGATGTTGAAAGGTTTAGATGGACTACAATGAAGATAGCTACAAAGGGGGTTTTCTGGTTGCCCCTAAATCCAACTAACCAGAAATCCTCTTTCCCAAAAGCCTTGTGACAAATTTGTATATTACGTTTCACTTTCTTCATGAATACAGGCCTATTTAAAGTAATTCTTGCTTTCCCATGATTAAGGACAAGATTTGGGGGGCAGAGAAATCTATTTTAAGTGTTTGAGAAAAACTTGAAATACACTTCTGAATTTCATATATTAGAGGATATAATCTTGTCAGTACTATGAGGAAAGTAACCCTTTGGTTACTTTCTTAGATAAGACCAAATCCTAGAGACAAATCAATAGCTTGATTTAACAAAATTTTATAGAATGCTTACTATGTGGGGAGCCCTGAACAAGGCACTGTGGGAGAGAAAAAGATGAGTGAGACTGACCCCTGCCCTCCAGGGGCTGACTTAATGAATATCTCTAGAGAATTCTATCATCTCTAGAATATCTCTAGAGAATTCTATCATCCTATTGTCAGGATTCCAAACCTAGGGGGTAAGTATGGTTATTGGGAAACGAAAACTCAGCTGTCCAAGTGACAAAGCCAAGAATCTAACACAAGTCTGTCTGACTCCAAAATCTATCTTCATTCTAATCTACCTAGGGAAGGAGAAAGGTCTCCACGGACACAGAATAAATGCTTGATGAAAGTTAAGAATCCAGGAGTATGGGCCAGAGATAGACATGGAGTTCAGGGAAGACTCCTTGGATGTGACGAGATTTAGAGCATGAGAGATGAGACAATCTCTTTCTCTTGATAATGCATTTTGAATATAACACTGATTTCAAGTTCAGAAGGGCAGTTGAGTTGGACCCTTTCTTCTCTGGTTGATGTAGCTCATCTGTCCCTGGAGAATGCATGGCCAGACTCACCTGTTTCTGTAACACCCCAGCCAGAGATGTGACACTCAGTCCCAGAAGGAAAGGGATCATCAGGCAAACATACAGTCTTCACGTATTTGGATTCCAGGGCACAGTGACCATCCACTGGCTTTAGCTTGAGCAAAGCTAGGTAGAGAGAGAAAGGTGATGATATCCTCTCTGTCAAAGGAGCATCAACTTCAACTTGATTGGAAGGTGGTCATAGTAAAGCCCCGTCCCAATGCCTAAAAACTTCATCTTCTGCCATTTCATTCTTTTAACTTCCACCTGGGGAGGAGTAACACTTCAGGCTGAGAGTAATATCAAGAAATAATAGCTGAGTTTGAAATCATTTCTAATTCATTTTTTAAAAACAGGCTTTAAGAGGGAAACAAAGATATTGAGGAAGGAGGGAGAGTAAGAGGTCTTGTGAATGGAGAAACAGGGTACAGAACAGAGCAGCAAGCAGCTTAAGTACAGCATTGCCTACCAGGTGCCAGATGTGCATCGGGACACATGCACATCACATCCACATGCACATCATGTCACTGAACACACAGGAAGCTGAGAGTTGTACATTAGTGTTCGCCTTTTATAGAAGGGGGAACTGAGGCGTAGAGAGGTGAAGCTGGCTGGTAAGTGGGGGAGCTGGGATTCAAGGCTGAGCTCTTCCCAAAACACAACATTCCTAGAATCTCTGCCCCTCAATTGAAGAGCTTGTGCACATGTATCAACAACCCTAACACTGACTTTTAAGAACTACGAAGCTCTGGAATAAATGCTCTACCTTACAGGATCTAGGAGGGACCAAAAAGAGAAGAGCACCTTCTAGAACCAAACCGCAGCTTTCTGTCAATAGAGAAATCCACCCAGAGCAAGACCCGTGGGAAATCCACGATAGAAGAGACTTGCCAATATCATTGTAGGGAATCTCATCTCTTTCATTATAGTGGCTGTACTTGAGTATCTTCTCCACGTCAAAGCTCTGCTCATGGAATTCTCTCTTCTTCAGGTCCTGGTCCCCTAGCACCACTTTTAGGTGCCTGGCTTTTATGCTGTAAGGGAAATTAGGATGATCAGGAATAATTCCTGGGACTTGAGAGACTGGAGCCGAGCCCTGGCTTTGCTCCTGGTGAACCATGTGACTTGTGACAAATGACCTGACCTTCTGCAGCCTTGGCATCCTCATCTCTAATCATCGCCTTGCTCACAGAACTCTGCTGTGTGGTCCAAATAAGATAATGTGAGGAACTGCTTTGTTAATGGAACGGTCTCCAAATGTAAACTGTAACTTGTATCCCACATTTCCTAGGTTTCCTAGGAGACGTCTCATTCCCCCGGGGTTTGCTAAAGAGCAGCCAATTAACATCTTGAACAAATATTGTTGGTAGATGCTAATGTTTGCATGTTTGACCTCTCTTGAGGAACACCTCCTAGCATCCCAGAAGAAATTGTTGAATAACAAGGTGGACTGGAAGACCTTCAAGGCTACCACCAAAACCTAGGCTACCTGGGACCAGCCTTGACCATGAACTTAGGGAACTTGGGAAGGTGGTGATTCTCCAGGCTCCCCAGGGGTGCCAGCTTCTCTAAGGCACACAGGAGTCGCAACTTAAGACACCTGACACGGGAGGCTTGTTGATGATGGCATCAGATGGGAGCATGTTATTTTTCTGTGTTCAGAGCAGGACCGGAGAGGTTAAGGAAGCAGGTTGATCTAGGTTCGCATTGCACTTACTCACTTACTTCCCACATGACATTAGGCAAAGTGCTACACCTTCCAAGACTCAGGGTCCTCATTTATGAAATGAGAATAACAATCAAGTTGTTCACTGAACCAGTATTTACTGAGCATTTGCTCCACACCTCGGCTAAGCATTAGGCATACTACAATTAATAAAAGGGGAAAAATCCCTGTCTTCTCTCGGCTTGTCTTCCAGTAGATAGTATTGAGGATTAAATGTCATAATAATTGTAATGCACGTGTAAGCGTTCTAGACATGGAGCTCTTTTCCATCCAGTTTTAAGGAGCCACTCTTTTGCCTTTGGAGCTAGATCAGCCCCCCAGATCCTGCCAGAGTCACCAAGATGCTGCTCAGATGAGGAGAGAACACCCCCATAGACTCTAGTGACCCGGGCCTCTGTTTCCAGCAGGCACCTACTCGGTGCAGTGCGCGGCAGTGAGAACCCAGCAGGGGTGGATCAGCGCCCCGCCACAGAAGTGGCCCTGGGGCATGGAGACAGTCAGTGGCAACGAGGTCTGCAGGGATGCCTGCCATGGGTGCTTGCCCGCCGTGCTCTTAAAGCCTCCGTAGATCCTCTTGACATTCCTCTTTGCTGTCTCGGTCCTCCCACACATGCCAAGCTGTGGGAAGTTGGTCAGGGGCTCTGTGGGGCTTTCCTCTGGGCCAGCAATGTCTGCGAGACACAATAAAGACAGATCACGCTTCTCACTCTCGCTCCAGGTCCTCAGAAGGACCTTGTCAGAGAAATGACTCTGAGCTCAGCAACTTAGCTAGTGTCCATAGCTAAAAGATTGCACTAGTGTGTATGTGGTGGGCATGGAGTAGGTGCACAATCAGTATTTGTTGAATACATTAATTAATACAAGACCAGTCTATAGAATTAACAATGAAGATGTTGCTTTTCCTTCTTATTTTGAACTGTATCACACACACACACAAACTGTGTGTGTAAATATATAAATCCATCACTGAGTATGTCCTTAGCTATTCATTAATGCACACATATATTTTGGAGGCTTTTTTGGTGTATAGGGGAAGATATCCAGATGAAGTACAGTGGGGGAGATAGGACATTTGCACAGATAACTATCATACAAAGGAGAGATAAGTGTTGCATGAGTGGTGCCCCTTCCATTCCATGGGGTTTTCAAGGAGGGAGAGATTATACTTCACTTTGTAGATCATAGAGGACTTCCCGAGGGGTTACTTGAGATGGTTCTCAGAGAACAGATGGATATGGACAAGAGCAGATATGGGATGGAGTATTATAGACAGAGATGACCATAAGAGGAAAGGCAGAGAGGTGAAACTGTCCAGGGAGGTAATCCCATTGATCAGGGTGGGAGGGTACATCATTCTAGACATGGGTAGAGTGGTGGGCCAGGGCCGCCTGGCAGGAAGACTATGAGGCTGGAATTCAGTCCATGTTGTATCCTGAGAGGCTATGGAGGCCCAGCCAATGTTTGATCACCATTGTACACTGAAAGCCTGGCACAGTGCTTGGCACACAGCAAGCAATCGATAAACGTTTGCTCAGTGCACTAACTGGGAGTCAGAAAACATGAGTTTACAGTGGGACCACTGGCCTGAGTTTACAAATGTATCCAAGCCTGCTCGGCATCCCAAGAGGGGAGCAGAAGATCAGGCAGTTGGGTGGCCACTGGGACGGCAATTGGTAAAGCAATAGTGGTGGGAGGACAGGGGTGGGAAAGATGGGATGCAGGGAACATCTGTTTATGGACCTGCAACCTCCCCACCACTGGGTCCTCCAGACAGCCGTGGTCTTACCTAGGGCTGAGCAGGCTGTTACATCACAGTACTCCCATTTCACCTTTGCATGGTTTACTTTAATGAAACACCAGGGCTTTTTGTCTCCATCTGGGTTTCTAAAATAAAAAGCAAAATAACCCAGGCTCAAGGCTTGGTAAACCCACTGGACCTCATTAAAGGACATTTGGGTAAAAGAGTAACAAGTTCTTGCACTTTCCCTGGGACTACATTCCATTCCATTCCTCCAACAGGTCAGCAAACTCTGGCATATAAGAAAGGCCATAGTTTTTTGGTAAAGACTTAACTTCCAGAGGAGAATACCAATGACCAGGAAGTAGTTCACAAGCCTTATGCCAGACCCATGAGACATCAAATTGTTTGTAGGAAAAGAAATGAGATTCCTATTGAAGATCCTTATTTGTCAAGAAAGTGAAATAGCCACAGAATCATGGTGAGAGTAGGGCTCCTCTGCCCAAATCTCCAAATTCTAAGCATGGGAATTCTCTGAGACAGGCTGCCATGGGATCACCCCGAAGACAGCTCCATGAAAGGAACAGCTCAAGGTGGGTGAAAGTGGAAGGTAACTTGTGTTTTGTGCAAGGAAAATCCTCTTGCTTAGTGGAACCAGTTTAAATCCATACAAAAAATCCCTGCCCCTTATATGCAGATCATGTATGTCCTTGCCTTGGTTAGACAATGTGCAGTGGGAGAAGCCAACAGAATGGTCTGGAGGCAGCAGAAGGGGAAGAAGGTAACTAGTCATCACCAGGAATAGAAATGGCATTATCCTTACTTGGGAAAACCTGAACATCCTTGTGGCAGAGACTGTAATGCTCACCAGACATTCCATTTTCTCCCCTATATTTCTCCCTTAAAGTTATGTGGGACTATGTGACAATTTTTGGCTGATGAAATATATGTGCAGAGATGATGTGTCACTTCTGGGTTGAGTGGTAAAAAGTTCATTCTTCATTTTCCAGTTTCTCCTTTCCCTTCCTGGGTATATGAGTAACTTCATGGAGCTAAGAATCTCCCCCACTTCCCACACCCCAACCTACGTGACACATGTACCATTAGTGAGAAACAAACTTTGATGTATTCAAGCCACTGGGATTTGCGGGTAGTTTATTACAGCAGCATAACCTAGCCTATCCTGAGTAGGAAAATCTTCCTAGAAAGAAAGCTGATGAGTTCAGTGTTCGATTCCAAAATTTCTAAGCTGGCCCAGGAAAACCAGGAGCAGGGGAAAGGACAAATAAACCCTGACACTGACAAGCAGCCAAGACTGAGCACAGGGGAGAAGGTAAGTCTTACCTGCAGAAGTTGTGCTCTGCAATCCCATGGACCTCAGCATTCTCCATAAAAGTGTTGTAATTCTCCTGCAAGAGGAGGTGGGAGTTCCAGTAAAGGCATGAGTGCTGGTTGACTGTCCTACTCACTTTCCCTCGGTAAGAGTAGCCATCACCAACATAGCAGTCATCAGAACCTCGGAGAGAGCAGGCAGGGACATGAGAACTGAGAGCAACTGGCAGGCTGCTCCCTAAAAGGACTTGGCAGGTGTATGAAGTGGTGAGAGGATTGGGTCTGAATATTGATCACCCTGAGATTTCACCGCAAAGTCCCAGAGAGAAGGGGGCTTGAATGTTTCAAATTCAACCCAGCTTAAAAACATGAACTATAGTGGTTGTAGGGGGTGGGAGCTTAGTTCTTTAATTGTGGCTCACACAAGAACTAGTGGCAAATGGGTTGAGGCCCGGGGATGCCCAGGTGTGTTTGATTTGCCCGCACTACATCCCAATGTGTTCCTTTCTTTACATGGATCCAGACCCATCCTATGCCCTGAGGTTGGAAGGCTGAGGCAATAGTAGAGCAAAAGTAGTTCAAGCTTGACTTGAACCTCATTCTGGCAACAAAATGCAAGGAGTAAAGGATTCCAGAGGCCTCACTTGTGGCCGTGAGTTTCTGATGAAGTAGTGATTGAGACCCATACCTATTTCACAGAGTCTCCCCTTGAACTGATGGGGACAAGTACAGATAAACTTGGATCTCCGCCTATGCCGGGAGCAGGTGCCGCCATTTTGGCAGGGATTTGGCTTGCACACAGGAACCACTGTGAACACAGGAAGTGAGGCCAGGAAGACTCTTCAGAAAGAGTTGCAACTACATCTGAGATGACGAGGAGATATTGGTGACACTCTTCTGGTGTCGATCCTTTCACAAAAGATGGGTCACCAAAGGGGAAAGACAGACCCACTGACACTCTAGTAAAGGTACACACAAACCTTAAGAACATAAGCAAACATGAATGAAGCCATATGATGGGGGCCATACAAAAAAGAGTATATAGTCATGCGTCACTTAACAATAGGGATACATTGTGAGAAATGCATCATTAGGCCATTTTATCAATGTGTTAACATCGTAGAGTGTATTTACACAAATCTAGCCTACTACACACCTAGGATCTATGGTACTAAGTTTATGGGACCACCAACATATATGCAGTCCATTGTTGACTGAAACGTCATTCTGTGGTGCATGACTGTATAAGTAGATGAGTCACTCAGTAAGGAATAACAAGGGGCATAGCCTGAGCAGGAATTTGGCGGCCATTCTAAGCTAGGCTGAAGCTTGGTTCTGTCCCTTGATAGCTGTGTGACCGTAAGCAAGTTAGTTAACCTCTCTGAACTCCAGTTTCTTCATCTGTAAAACTCTTCTTTGTGGTATTTTCGGGAGAATGTGAGAGAGAAAGTAAATTTCCTGGGACAATGCCTGACTCACGTAGTGACTTAGTATAGGTTTATTCCCTTACATGGCCCATTCTAGGAATAGACCAGGGCTTACTTCCTGGAGGAAGTAAGTTTCAAGATGATTCTTTCTGGGTGGGAAGGGACACAGATCAGTCAATTTCCACTGGACTCTCTAGGGATGATGAATCTTAAAAAGTCCTAATTAAAAGGGACATCTTGGATGCCACTAAAACATCGGATGTATCTGGACTTCCACACAGTAGGATGTAGAAATCCCAGGCACAAGCCAGGATAGAGATAGCCTAGCATAGGAGGGGCCTCCAGTACTTACCTGTGGAGCAGTCTGGACCCGTGTAAGGGTGTCTACAGGCACAGCGGTAGTAGGGAGGTCTCTGAGTAATGAGACATTCACCCCGGCCACAGGAGTTGTTCTTGCACCTGTTTTGCACTGTAGGAGATCATAGAGAAGTAGGGCCAAAGTACAGAACGTTATTTGAGGAATATTATTTGGGGATACCTGTACAGTACAATGTTTGGGGGTGGGGGTGGCTGATAGTGTGTGTGTGTCCTTGTCCATGGTCCTGAAACACCACGCTACCCACTAGGCAAGGCTTTTCTCTTATCCTTGGGTCATGGATGATTGCTTCCCCGTTCCTTTCAGTGCTCACAGTCTTTATTATTCTATCTTTATAAAAACCCTAATAATTTTTACACCTTCAACAAACAAATAGGCCCGCAATTTGAGTTTCTTCATTTTACAGCTGATTTTTTATTCCACTTGCAGTTTTGTCATTCTTCCGAGAAGGTGAGGGACGAACCTGGATACTATGCTTATGCCTGATAACCCAAACCATCTTGAAATATTTATTGAAGGACTTGTCGCATTGAAAATGGAAGGAATAAATGAAGAAGGCACAGAGGAAAGATGTCAACCATAAAACCCTATATAAAGACCCTCACTGCCTCCCCCACTCCAGTTAGATAGTTGCTAGATGGAACAGAATCCAGGTTCTCTCTAGGGGTGCAATTAGCCCATACAATTCTATTCCCAATACCTTATCACATAGCCTCATATTATGCCCACAAGAGGTCACTAAAGGCAGACACAGATTTATCAGAGTCTCCACGAGTAAAGATGACAGGAAGAAAGAACATGGAGCCGGGAGTGAGTGAGGCACCAAGGCTCTAATTTCTGCTTTTCTCCTAACTAGCTGGGTGACCACAAGCAAATCCCCTGCACTCTCTGGGCTCCTTTTCTCTAACAGGGTTGGGCTATATGTGCCCTGTGATCCTTCCTGCTCTCCCATTTGAGAACAGTATTTCTCTGTTGTAGTTAGTCTAAACACTCTAAACAACAACAACAACACAAAAAAACCCCTGAGTTTGGAATACATCTTGGTCAGAGTCCAGCTCTTTTCTCCTCTTAGCCTCAATGTTCTCATCTGCAGAATGGACATACTAGTCCTACCTATCATGTTGGGGTGAGGATTCAGTGAGATGTTGCCTGTGACCACGTTGAGCAATCCATTATGCATGATACAACATGTGTGGTTACAATCCTTTCCATGGGATCACTTAGCCGTCTTTTACTCCCTAGAGTTGGAGGAAGAACTTCCTCTTGTTCAGCTCGGAGGGAAGAGTGAATCCAGTGAAGGTGCACTCACCGTTCCGACATCGGTTTCCAGAGAAAGGGGCCGGGCAGCGGCATGTGAAAGTGTCCCCGCTGACGAGGCAGTCCCCCCCATGGTCACAAGGGTTGGACAGGCATGGATCTAAGACATTTGGGAAGAGGTCAATGTTTGCAATGAACAGCAGGCGAGAAGCCCCCACTTGCTCATTGAATTTCAATGTCCTTCCCAAATGAGAGAGTAACTGCATAGCCAGTGATTGGGGAAAGGGGGAAACATGCGTTGCCCTTAAAGAGCAAGGAAAACTGCAGTCACACGACCAGAGAGAGGGATTCAGGTTAGTAAGAGGACAGGAGGGAAAGAATCACAACTGTCTCTCCTCAGCCTGGCTTTGGATGGGGCCTTTCTCATTGAGAAACTCCTCTTTTCCATCATCAGTGTTTTTCTCCTCCCAGTCTCACTGGGAGTGCCACAGGGTCTGTCTCTGATGCTGAAGACATTTCACAAGCCTGAAGACCTCCCTTACTCCCAGGGCCCGGGGGTGGAGGTCAGGAGTGGGGAAAGAAAACCCACCCCTAATGAAACACAAGCTTTCTGAACATCAGGAAAGAAGACCAAAGGCAAGAGGGTGACAGAAGAATCGACGGCGAGGAGGAAATGACCCAGTGGCCTTCATCTTTCTTCAACTACTTGTTCAGTTAGATTTTGTCATATTTCATCTGTGCCTCTGGCTTTTCATGGTTGTCTGAATGGATCTTCCCTTGGGGAATTCTTTATCCTTCTGTTCACACACATTGTTCTTTGGTTCAGGAACTAGGATCCCTGGGCCCGGCTCTTGTTTTGATGGTCCCTTCTGATGTTCCCCTGATGCCCTGTATCTTAGCCCTGCCTTCCAGGCCACTTTGCACAGTTACACAGCTTTTATTCCAGCTGCTAAGTGCTTTCCATTCCTTCTCCTAGTTTAGTCACATGGCTGTGCTTGGGCCCAGCTTCTCGTTTTCCTTTCTGTCCCATTGCTTGGGTTAAGAAGCCATAAAAACAAAAACAAATGTGGTAGAGGCACACATATGTGAGTAAATACACACACACGCCCCCATCCTAACAACTGTGCAAAGCTTCTGAAGAGTGAAAAGAGAAAGAAAAACACAGCACAGATGGAAGGGAAGGAAAGTCCCAATGCCAAATTTGTGAATGCTACAATCTGATGCCTAATGCTAACTCAGACTCTTCTTCATAATTAGGACTTAACCTGTAATCAAAGCTATGGGAATGACTTTGAACATGACTTCCATTCACAGTGTCAGGAGACCTTAATGATGAGGCACTAACTTGCTGTATTAATTTGGCTAAGTCAACTCCTCTCTTGGCCTCATTTGCTTCCTCTGTCATTTGGGGGTGGGAGACATGGTCTCTAAGAACTACCCCAGTGCTCATAGTATATGGTTCTAACTGAAAAAAAGCCAGTCTAACTCATTTCTTTGATACTTATTTTATGATGCTGGTCAGAGAGGAGGAGGGGAGAGGGGCCCTTGCATGTGGTTACATATAAACTCCTCTCCTCCCAGGAGGGTCCCCCAGAGCCGCTTTGGTACCTACCATCCTCTGTGTAGTACCACTCAGGATTCTCAGGCTGGGCAAGAGCGCCACTGGTGGCCTCTTCCTGGTCATAACTCTCATAGCTTTCTTCATAGAGGTCGGGAGTCCAATCTGGACAAGCGGGGACAGGACAGAAGAAACCCTCATCATTAGACCCAAATAAATCAGCATTTTACTTCACTGAACACCTTTTTTCCTGAAGACTTAAAAGTCCTGAAGGAGGCATCATATGTCTGTCCAGCTCCTTACACTGTTGGAGTGGACAGAGGGGTCAGGGATCATGAGTTCTCACTAGGGGGCGGTATGGCCCAGCTGGGTAGTGTGGGCATTTGCAGGGTCAAGAGCACCTGATTGGAAATGGGGAGAGGAGGTAATTGTGACCCTGGACAAGCCAACTGTATTCTCGCTGCCTCGGTTCTCTCATCTCAGTAGGAAGACCATGGGGGCCCAGAAGGTCTCCAAGGACCTATACGAGAGCTGCCCAGGGTCAGATCCAGGGGCACCTGAGTGCCTCGTTGGGTGGTTCCGTGAGTGAAATTTCTTGATGGGACTTTATTTAGTCACTTTAGCTTAACGAAGTCAGAGAAACTTGTCGCTGTCCTCTTGGTCACGGCATCAAATTCCTCCCAAGTTATGTCTATAGAGTCATCATAACAGTGAATATTTATCGAGCCTTTCCTATGTACAAGCCCTATGCTAAGCACTTTATAGGAACCATCTCATTTCATCCTCATAAAATTCTAGGAGGTAGATTGTTATCTCTATTTCAGTTGAGAAACCTGAGGCTGTAGAAATTAAGGAGGTTTGCCCAAGATCACACAGCTAACAGACGGCAGGATGTGAAGTAAGGAAGTTTGTCTCCATATAACCCCTAAATTGCAGCCGCTCAATGGCAATGCTCTACTGCTTCGGCTGGCCTCTTACACTGCCTCAGATACAGCCACACTTACCCTTGGGAAAGGGCTCCAACCAGCCCCATCGCATATCCAGCCTGCTAATTAGGAATCACCCAAGGACAACCTTGAGAATGTTCATGCAATCTTGCCCACTGAAAGAGAAGGCAGTGATGGACTTGGCCATGGTTGTAAACCTCGCACTGGGCCAGTCCATTGGGAAGAGCAGATGTGTGTAAGGCTGGATTCAAGTCCTTTATTGTCTGGGGCCTTGGAAGATACTGGTGGCTCTGTGGCTCATGGAGAGAAGTTTTGAGATTTGAAGAAAGTTGGGTTGACTTTGCTCCCTCCGGCTGGCAGGAGTATGGCAAGTCGGCAAGTTGAAGCTGTAACGACGCTGTCCAGAGATGCATATGATAATGAGGCAGGAGCAAACGCAGACAGCTGACTTGAAAAGGCACTCCCACAGAGCCAGCTGATGGCTCAGAGGATGGCACTTTACCTAAGCCTGATTATCAACCACATTATCTTACTCGTCTCTCAGTCATTCCCTTATAGTCTTTATCTCTCTGGCTTTTGAAAAATCGACTTTTGCACAATGGCTGTTTTATATTTCCCATTAAAATGGAACTATCTTTTTATTTCTTTCTTGAATACGCCAACTCTGGTTCCTTGCCAAAGTTTCACCTCATTTATCACAGTGTCAAGTCAAGACTCCCTCTGCTTGCTCATTATTTCTCCTGAGCTGCTTTTCCCCACTACGAAAATGCTCCTGGAGGAAGCCACCTTTCCAGGGATGAGGATCTAGGCTGAAGATAAGGCCATTGTCTTCCCAGAGCAAATAAAGTTTCTTTCCATCTAGCATGATAAAACAGAAAGGGAGCGAGAAAGTGAGAAAAAAAATGTTTTTCTGAGTTTGACATGAAAGGTTTGAAACTGACATTTGGGAGAGACAATGGGGTTTGGTAATGAGATGATTGCATCATTTATTTATTTCTTTTTTCTTTGGAGAATTTAGTTTTGTTTTTCTAACAGGTGTTTATAGATAAGCGCCTTTAGATTGCTCCCATCATTTCCCCCATCACTCCCGCAGGTTGAGGTTCAGTCTGGCTAATCTTAGCTAGGCCATTAAGAATTATCCCCTTTCCCCATATTTGGAGATGGGGAAGGATTTTACATAGGTGGAATGGTATGACTTTTCCAGCTGATGGGGCATGGATGAAATGTCTGTTGGAGGATTTTGACTTGAATCCAGCCCTATTACCAAGGCGATAACTCCCTGCTATCCTCCAGGGCCCAGAGCCCTTGCTGGATGTGGCTAGAAGCAGCAGAGGCTTGGCAGCCCCAGATCACCAGAAGCCATCCAGCTGGAGGGCTGTGCCAGGGAAGGCACCCAAACTCTTTACATTTGGGGTGGGCTGCAACATGTTTTGAAAGTGCTTTATAGGAACATCACCTGGGAGGGTTTCTCTGCCTCCAAACTTAAAGCTTATTTTGTCTTTTCCATTCTGTTGGCACTTAATCCCATTGTCTATGTAGGAAACATATGTATTGTACACCTACAATGGGACAAGTATTATGCCAGCTGCAGGAAGGCATTGGGAACAGTGGAGAGTTACACACATAAGAGTGGGATGTGGCCTCCAGTCAAAGAAGCCTCTAGGCTGAGTTGGGTGGGGGAAGAAAGCTGGCCAAGGAAAGAGAGGGAATGGTAGTGAAGAGGTGGAGGCCTAGACGTGGCCAAGTCGAGGCCTGGTAGCCTGAAGCTCCACCTTGACCCTTGGGGGTGGTAGGAGCCAATCTGGGGAAAAAATGGCCCCGATTCTCCACCACCGCTATACCCACATCTTTCGCGATGTGACTTTGCAGCCCCTCCCCACAAAAGATAGAGTCGATTTTCCTACCCCTTGGGTCTGGGCTGGCCTTGGGACTTGCTTGGGACAACAGCATGTGGTGGAAGGACAGTGTGCCAGCTGACAGTGTGCCTGGGCCTCAAGAAGTCTTGTGTGTTTCCTCTCTCTCTTTCTGGCTCTCCTGGACCCCTTGACTGCCTTGTGAACAAGTGTGGCCTATTCTACAGGAGGATAAGAGGACATCTGGGGGAGCAGCAGGGCAGCGCTCCCAGCCAAGGCCTCAGTCATATGAGAAAGCCCGGCCAATCCACAGGCTGATGGTCGACACATGAGGAGGCCCAGCCGAGACCAGCTGAGCCTGGTCCAGGCCAGAAGCACCGCATAGCTGAACCCAGTCTAAATTGCCAACCCAAAGAATTAAGATCTAACTATGTGCTTAAGAGTTTAAGCTACAAAGTTTGGGGTAGTGGATTATGCAGTAATAATAAACGGACACACAGGCTTGATTGATGTTGGGTTACTAGTGGGATAAGAATGTTAGATACTAGAGCATTCCTCAGTGGCTGGGGTGGCTGCAGAGTTTTAGGTTTCATGGCTGGATCTCAGACGGCATCTCTCTTGTGCGGTCAGCATTTAACTTGGCTTACTGGTTGGTTTCCTCCAACTAGATAGTTGGTTTCTTAAGTACAAGGGCCATGTCTATTCCTCTTTCTACCCCACAGCGCCCAGCACAGAGCCCTCCAGGCAGTTAATGTTGTGTTCGACAGATCAATTTTTCCCTCCGTGCCCTGCCTCCCTTTCTTCTGATTGGCCAGCACACAGCAGGCACACAGCCAGCAAAGACCGTGTCTGTTTGGAGCAGGGTAAAACGGGAATTTAGGAGAGAAACTATGTGAGATTTGGGTCATGGGTATTTGGTGAAGAAAATGCCTGATGCGCTCTATAGGAGTCTAGAAACTTGTCCAAGTATGTTCCTGGGTAGAGAGGGATTGCAGCCAACCATGAAATTTGGTTCCATTGGTAGATGTAGAAAAACACTCCAGCCTCAAATACAGATTATCTGAGACTTTCTCTAGGCTATAGAAAAGGGGAGAGCTTTGGGGGAAGAATGAGGCAGCTGTCAGAAGCATTGTATATTCAGTATAAAAAGAAATCCTTGTGGATTTGTCTATTTATCAGAGTCTGTTTCTAGAATTTATCAGGAAGAAAAGTGAGAGTGTCCTGAGTTAACCCAAATAATCTTAATAACAGGTTAATATGTCTTGAGTATTTTCTATGTATCAGACACTATACTAAGTAAATGAGGTTGCACGCAACCTTATTTAGCCTTAAAACAACCCTATGGCATAGATATTATTATTCCTATTCTACAGAAAAGGAAAAACTAAGGCAGAAGGAGAGGGCATCGAACCCAGGTCTACCTCACTCCAAGTCTGCTATTTTATGAGCCCAGGAGCCCAGGGTTTGTGTTTCATGAAACTGCGTGTGTTTTATCTCCAGGAAGTAACGTGCACTGGGAAACCTTTTTCAGCCATGCTCCAGGTCCCTCACCCAGATTACTGTGGTCCATACCCAGGGTCTCTCGCAAGAACTCAGGCTTCCTGTGATGGAGGCTTTCCAGCTGCTCTCATTAAAGAGCTTGCCAGATGGGTGGAACAGAAAAAAAATCCCTGGAATGCTGTCCCTGTTGGCGTCATCCATCACCATGGCATAGACGGGTCCTCCAAGGGCCTCCCCCAAACCCCAGCCCTGTCGGCCTGCATTTGACGCTTCCAATCCTGCTGACAGGGCAGGCCCAGTGGAGAGACCCTCACTGGCAGGCGGCAGCACGGCTGATGGATGGGCTCAGCCTGTGTTGCTGGGCAGAGCCAAGCCAGCTTTGAAGAAGCATTTCCGCAGGCCTATTGGCTGTCACGTCACCTGTTTTGGGGAGACGGGCAGAACCTGTGCTGTTTGATGGCCACCTCCTCTGCCGCCCACTGGGGACTGTGGCTTGGGCGCCTTCTGCTCCAGCAAGTCCCTCACCATTCGCTGTCTCCGGCAAGACCAACTAAAGCAGCAGCTTGCCTGTGGACATGAGCACAGCGTTTCCTTGGCCACACTACTGTCTAAAGCTGCTGGGATCCAACAAAATCCATCAAAGCACAACCCCACATGAAATTGAATCAGACACTAACAGAGGTGTTTTTAAAACCTAACCTGCTCTCTGCAGAAAGGCCCAGCCACTACATATCACCCCCCTCCACAGCGAGAGGCCAACAGGACACCTTGAGACGGACTCAGAAGGGCAGGGCTGGCATGCTCCAGACCCTCCTCTACTCACCAAACTCTCAGATGCTATTGGCAGAGTTCTCACAGAGCCCAGACTCTCAGGATGTTAACTCCAACACTCTCTACTCCCTACTAAGTGTTTTTTAAGCCTGTGTTTAAATACTGCTGGTGATGGGGAACTCACTATCTCCCAAGAGCCCAACAGCTCATTCAGATTTTTGGACAGCTGATCATTAGGAAGTGCTTCCTGTTTGCAAATCAAATCTGACCCTATAGTTTCCAATCTGTTTAATCAAAACTAAAAGCCTTATGGACACAGAGAATGAACCCACTCCCCTTTCTGTGATCTTTGCTCAGTAGGGCCACTGCTTACAGTTGTTCATGTTGCTCACTGCACAATTCCAGGGTATCATAAATGCATAGGCATTGTAGGCATCTTTTACAACTTTCTGGCAGATGGCAGTAAAGTGTCATGAGGTAAAGACACATCTTAATTCCCACAAAGTCCACCTCATGGACTAGAAGTGGGGCTGCTTTTCGAATACTTGAAGAGAGTGAGATCCCTTGAGCAGTCCACGCTCGTGTTCTTCCACTGCGTGACCGCACGGTTCTGCAGCTCCATCTCTCTGACACCCAGACCAAAGCAGCCCCTTCCATGTGCCGGAGCAGTTTGTGCTGAAGACTGGGGAGAGGGCGGCTCTACCAGCCTCTTGGCTCTGGACCCTCCCTGGACTCCAGGGGCAGACGCTCGTGTGGCCAGACAGGGATCCCTCTGAAACATGATTCTGCCAAGGAACTGAATTATACGTTGTTGAATTGAACAGTCTCCTTTGCTTTGGGGAAAGAAACAGATCTTCTCAAAAACCCACACGCCACGCTCATGTATATTTCTGTCCGGTTCCACAGACACTCCCTGAGTGCACGGGTGGGACATAGGCCAGGAACCACTTGCACAAGTCTGTGTGCCCACCCAGGGCTTTGCTGGGGGAGGTTATTGACTGGTGAGCTGAATTTGCCCCAGGTATGGCCATCTTTGCTCCAAATAAACCCTTGATCCAAAGTTTAGACGTGATTGCCGTCTCCTGTGCTGTCTGCCTGGCTCTCATCCTCTGGGGGGCCAGCCCAGGTTGCTGCCAGGGAGGGATGCCGGCCTCTGCCCCCATCGAGTAGAGAGTGGAGTTTTCTCCCTTGGGTCCCAGAGCAGCAAAGGACATCCAGACCAGAGTCAGAGGCCAAGAGTGGATGGTGCTGCAGGAAGGAGCCGCCCTGCACCTCCTCCTCCTCCTCCCTCCTGGGGAGGGCTGAGGGCACCAGGCAGAGGAAACAGGAAAGGGGGAAGGGGCGGGGGACAGTCTGAGAGAGACAAAGCCCCTGTGAAAGAGCAGGGCTCGCTGGGTAGTGGAGGCATTGAGTCTTGAGGAAATAAATGAGGTGGGGGTCCTGCCGGGAGGCCATCATCAGGGGTGGGTCAGCCTGGGGCTCCCTGCATGGCACCGACCCCATCCTCTCAGCATAGAGGTACTGGCTCCCCCTCAAAGGAGGTGGGGTGAGTGGGGGTGGCACAGGGCTGACCTGCTTGCAGCCAGTCATTGCTTAATGACACTTTCACTTGCCTTGGCCTTGTCATCTCATCTCAGCCACTAATGGGCTGTGTGAGCTGGGGCAAGTTGCTTCCCCTCTCTGGGCTCAGTTCCCTCGTCTGTAAAATGAAGGGGTTTAACTAGATCAGAAATTTTTCTCTTGGGGTCCTGAGACTGGGCACCAGGGGGGTCCGTGGGCAACTCGAAATTGTGTAAAGCAATGTGTGTGTGCATGGACATACAAACACCCAGGAGTGCATTTTTCTGGGAAAATTCGCGAAGGAGTCCATGACACTTCTGAACCATTTGCACCCTGAGGTTGTTCCAACACTTATGTGCATGGGCCCCCTTTCCTCCACCCCAGAGCCAGCCTGTGGTTGGTGGGGAGCCCCAGGCGATCCACACACTCACCTGGGTCCCGGTCTGTGAGTAAGGACATCAGGGAGAACTGAAAAACAAAAGGACACAGAGCAGAGCGAGGGTGAGTCAGCTGAGCCGGCCGGGCGCCTACCTGAGCTCCTGCAGACCGAGAGGAGCCATTCCCAGGGTCATATCTAGACCTCAGTAGCACTGGGCACTTCTGATGGCTGCAGCTGGGACCAGGTTGGAGGGAGGGGTGGGGCCTATTTGAAGATGTCCCTCCCCGCTTCCAGTGCTGAGCATCCAAAGTGTTGCCCTTTCTCCTCCCTCTGGCCGTGTGGCACTGCACTTATCTTATCCTGAATCTGCTTTGAGGAACACAACAGATCCAACGTGTGGGCATTCTACAACCAACTAGCCTAGACTCTGCAAAATGTCAGCATCGTAGAAGACAAAAAAGATGGGAAGGCTGTTTTTTATTCAATGAGACTAACGAGACATGACGACTAAATGCAGTGTGTTACTAAACACTTGATTTTTTAAAAAATAGCTATTGGGGGGCTGGCCTGGTGGCATAGTGGTTAAGTTCCTGCACCCTGCTTTGGCGGCCCAAGGTTTGCAGGTTCGGATCCCAGGCACGGACCTATGCAATACTCATCAAGCCATGCTGTGGCAGCGTCCCATATACAATAGAGGAGGATGGGCACGGATGTTAGCTCAGGGCCAATCTTCCTCACCAAAAAAAATCTATTGGGATAATTGGGAAATTTAAATATAGACTTATATTAGAGAGTATTACTATATCAATGTTGAATTTCTTGAGTGTGATAGTGGTGTCGTGGTTCTGTACGAAAATGTCCTTCTTAGGAGAGGCATGCTGAAGCAGTGAGGGTGAGGTCTGCAGTTTAGTTGCAAATGATTCAGCAAACCAACCAACCAACACAACAAATGTAAATATGCATGAGAGAGCCAGAGGGAAAGCAAATGTGGCAAAATACTGGTTGTGATCTCTAGCTGGGTGAAGGCTATTCCGTGCATCATTCCACTCTTCTGTAGGTTTGACAAACTACAAAATATAAAGTTGGGGAGGGGAAAGGAATGCAAAAAAGTAAGAGAGGCCATTTGTTGTCTGGACTGTGCCTCTGTTTAATTACCTCACAGTCCCCCAGTCCTGTTTCTGCAGGAAATGAGACAAGGGTGGGTGTTTCATTTGGGGGGTTGACAGTGGGAAGCCTGGCAGAGGAAGGGCAGGTTCAGGTCTCAAGGGTGTTCCGGGTCCTGGGGTGCTCCAATGGGGAGCATCTGAAGCTGACCCCTCAGGGCTTGAGTGCCCGATGGTCCCAAAGAAGGGACGTGAGAGGGCCCTGAGCACAAATGTTACCCCTCCTTCGATCTCACCCTCATCGCAGCCAGTCCACTCTGCCTTGGTCCTGGCCCTTTGCCTGGCCTCATCTTCCCTCCATCAAGCTCGTCGAGAGGGCAGGGCCTGTCCCTCTCTACCTTTTCTTTGCCCAGCCCTGAGGAGATACCCGGGGAATTTCCTTATTTGAGCTGAATAATGTGCGCCATGCCGGCCACCCTCAGGCCTGAGAAGTGGGCAGGACGGGAGGGACGACTTCAGGGAACATCTTTCCTCAGGGCCCAGTGCAGAAAAGGCTCTCGAGCACCTATGCCTGGGCTAGAGCCCCAAATCTGAGCTAGAGACTGGGGCCTGAGGGACGGCCAGGTGCGGTGCTGCCCACAGCCAGCAGGTGGCAGACGTGCTCTTCCCAGGAGCCAGAGCTCAGCGGGAAACCAAACAGAAAGAAAGCTGGACCTTCCCGGCTGGGGGCCCTTCGGATCCCACCGTCTCTCGGGGAGTCTGAAGCAGCTGTGCAGCCTGGGCTGCATGTCAGGGGGTCCCAGGGATCTGAAGCTGGCCCCCTTATTTTGTGAATCACTGGGTCCCCGTGCAGAGAGAGGCTGGGGTGAAATGTGGAAACTGGCAGCCTAAACACCAGGCTGGATATCTGGGGGACCACGTGGGAAAGGCCAGGCCACTAGCCGGTGATTTATGCCACACATCTGGATCCTGAAACTAACCTGGGTAATGGCAGGGGGCGGGGCGCCATAGTCACCTCCTTTCATCCTGTTAGTCCATTCAGTTTTTCCACAGAGACAGGAAAATGATAGAACTCCTACTCCTGGGACTTGCAAATCCAAACAGGAAAATGATTGATGCAAGAGAAGGAGGAGACAACCATGACCTCAGCTGACATTTATTAAGAGCTGACATTGTGCCAAGGACTGTGCTAAATGTTTCACATGCTTTTGTCTCAATTATTGCACACAATACTTGATAACTGAGGTACTGTAATTATGTCCATTTTAGAGGTGAGAAAACAGGTTTGCAGAGACTAAGTTGCCCGAAGTAACTCAGCAAGTAAATGCTGGAGCCAGGATAGAGTGGAACCAGGCTGACACCACAGCCCCTGCTCCTAGTCTCCATTGCTCTCAGGATGAGGGATGAGCATGGCATGCATACACTGTCATGAAAGGATGGGGGAGAAGGAAACAGAAGAGCTACCTAATCCTAAGAGAGGCAGGGCACTCCCTCCCCCTCGCCCCTAGTAACCTCTCTTCTCCTTTCTGTCTCTATGAATTTGCCTATTCTAGGTACGTCATATAGTGGAATACACAATCTGTGTCCTTCTGTGTCTTGATTTATTTCACCATGCATAATGTTTTCAAGGTTCATTCATGTTGTAGCATACATCAAAATTTAATTCCTTTTTATGGCTAAATAGTATTCCATTGTATATTGCATTTTGTTTACCCTTTCATCTGATGATGGACTCTTGGGTTGTTTACATATTTTGGTTACTGTGAATAATGCTACTATGAACATTGGTGTACAAATATCTGTTTGAGTCCCTGATTTCCATTCTCTGGGGCATATACATAGGAGTGGAATTCCTGGGTTGCATATGTCTAAGTTTTTAAGGAACTACCATACTCTTTTCCATGGTGGCTGCACCATTATACATTCCTATCAGAAATGCATGAGGGTTCCAATTTTTCCATATCCTCACCAACACTTGTTGGTTCTCAAAAATTCTAGCCATCCTAACAGATGTGAAGTGGTGCCCCTCAGTCCTTTTTAGTCACAAGAATCTCATCCTTCTTGCTTTAGCACACAAGCTGTGCAACGCTGTCCCAGGATTGGCAGGGTCACTGTCTGAAGCTTAGGGCAAGGACAGAAGGCTCTAATGGGGAAATCTGGAGGCCAAGGGAGAAGGCACCAGGCAGCAGTCCCTGTGGGTGGTTTCCTTCTGGGGGCCTGGGGGAAGCTGTCCACAGGACCTCAGTGACGAGCCAGGAGGCATTGCGGAGAGGAGCTGGCCTCAACCCTTCATGTACAGAGGAGGAAGCTAAGGCCCAGCAGGGTGAAGTGGCTCCTGTAAGGATTCGAGCAGATTGGGGCGGGGGAGGGACTCAAGGCCAGATCTCCTCGCTCTGCGGCCAATCACCTGTGTCTGGCTCAGAGAGACCCTGGGCAGCTTCCCTGCTCTAACACTCAGAGCTTTAGAGCCCACCCAGTCCCCTGCCCAGTTCACTGAGGGCTAGATGCCAGCTTCGTGTGGCAAGCAGACATGGGGCAGGGCAGAGACAAGAGTCTATGTGTAGACCCTGGGAATTTCCATTTTTATCTGGAGAGCTTAATAAAAATTCAGATCCCTGGGCACCACCTGCAAAGTCTATGCTTTCGTGGGCCTGTAGTGGGCCCAGAATGTACATTTTCAACCAGCATCCAGGTGACTCTGCCCTTGGCCACACTTTGATTATACCTCTCTCAGGCATGAAGCTCCTGGCTAAGGAGACTCACGGGCGTATCCCTGCTCCTGTGCAAGTTGTCGAATCCTTCTGTGGCTCAGTTTCCTTAACTGTAAAAGTTAGCATTCCCTTACCCAACCCACTGTTTTATTCAAGGGGATTTGGCTGCTCAGGATTTGCAATGGAGTACTCTTCAGGAAAGCACTTGGTGAGAAATATCAGTTCAAATGGGTCATCCTAGGGACTTGTGTCAAACAGACTTGGTGGGGGGTTAAAGGTCAGGAAGGAAACCATCCAGGATAAAGAGGTTGGATGAAAACAGACACTCGTTTCTGGATGCGACAATGCACTTGCAAGCCCTTTGAAAGGCAAATGAGCAAACAAAAGAGCAGGATGGGTCTGAGGGCCACCATGTGGGCACAAGCCCCCATGTTAACCTTCTTGACCAATTGGCCTCAGCAAACAGCCCAGGGGTTCAGAAAAGGAACTCCCCACCCATGGGAACCAACTCCACCCCTGAAGCTGTCCTCACTTCTGTGCTTCCCACAGTGTGGGATGTGAACCACTGGTGGCACCCAAGCTGATCTGAGTGGTGCCTGGCCAGGGTGTGACATAACATCAAAACACAGCATGAGAATGTCATTCCCTTCTCAATTTTACTGTCAACTTTTCCAATCCCGTCACAAAGAAAGACTTGGGTGGTGCTGGTAAGTCTCTACCCTCTGCCTCTTGTCAATCTCCCCCGTAACAAGGAGAAAGCAGGCTTAAGGCTCTGAGCTTTAGTGCAACGACAGTAGCCTGTTAGAATTCAACGGCATCGTTCTGTTTTCTTCGATTTTTTCATTTATAACAGTGACAATTTCCTTTAAAAATAAATCTATGTAGGTAGAGAAAAGGTGAGTCTGTTTAACAAAAGTATTAAGAAACTGGTTTGGGTTTTGGCAAAATTTCTGAAGATGGATTCATTCATGGCTAAGGTTTTGAAAACATTGAACTAATCAGTTAGCTATCTGGCAAGACTTGATCCTTCTGGTGTTGAAAAGAAAAGCTTCAGAGACTGTTGAAGGAGCCTCCAGGTAGGAGAAACTTTATCTCCTGCCTGGAGCTGGAGTCTGAGTCCATTGCCCCTTCTGACACCTTCGATACCACATTGAATGGTCTCATTTGTTTTGGGGTAGCGCCTGGTACGGTGGTTATGAGCATGGAACTCAGCGTCCGCCAGACCTGCGTTTGCATCCCAGCTCTGTAACCTCCCAGGCCTGCCATTTGGGCAGGTTACTGAACTTCCCTATAGCTTAGTGTCTTATCTTTAAAATGCGGATGACAGTGGTCCCTAACTCATAGGGCTGTTGGGAAGCTTTAAATGAGATAATACACAAAACACACAATATCTTATGTATGGTAAAGACTTAATAAACTTAATAAATGGTTGCTCTTATGATTATGATTATTAACCACTGTTGTCAGTGAATTTGAATGTTCTTCTTTCTTTTTTTTTTTGCAGATCGTGGAGGGATTGAGGAAAGCTTGCTCAGCACAAACTCTTCCTGGAACTTGCTTGTCGGGTCACAGGCGCGTCACACCAACCGCCCCCCAACCCCCATTTTTTCCTGGGAGTTTTGCCAAGTCCTAAGCCAGGAAACCTTGTTATATTAATTATAAAGAAAAAGCATGTTTTATTTAAAATCCCGGCTGCCGAATATTCTGCCATGCTGTTTCTCTGTGACAGCGGAATTGCTTTTGCAGTTAGGGAACCCTAATGAATTTAAAATATAAATATATCTGTGGCTATATACACATGCAATTTCCTGCGACCTGATTTCCCTAAATACCAGCACACCCTGCCAAAGCTAATGAGTTGGACTCGTGCTTAGTATCAGTTTTTAAAAAAAAAATCTATAAGAAGGTGCAGTGAAATTCACTCCCTCTCTTTCCCATACAACTCCATGTGAGTTACAGCAAGAGGGAGGGATGTTTCCCAGGCCTGAAAGAGACTCCGACATTCTGGAGCATCTAGGCTTTGGAAAGGATGGCTGGTATCTTCCCGTCAAAGGCCTTTTTGGTCCCGAGGGCTGTGCAGATTTTGATGCTTGAATTAACCAGACACTGAGCCCAGTTACTTGACCATCCAAAACTGGCTCCAACACTTCAGCACCCACAGTGTTTCTGAAGAATAACCAGACAAGGTCGCACTCTCTCTCTGTCTGTCTCTGTCTCCCTATCTGTCTCTCTCTCTGTTTCTTTCTGTCTCCGAGGTAGAACCAGGCAGATAATGTACATCCATCAAGCAGAAAGGGTGTCAGCAGTAGAGAATGGCGGGGCCTGTGTGATGGGAGAGGCTCAAGCTTCTTCTAATATGGGGAGCAGTAACTCCTCTCTCCTCGGTGCCAGGCAGGAATGTGAGCCCTGTGTTACTTTGAATGTCTGATTTTCAAAGAAAGGATTTTTTCTGTCAAAAGATCAGAACATTTTTATGTGAAATGTTCTGATTCTCAAACGTTGCAGAGCAAGTAAAAGGAAATTAAAATACTCTTAAGGCCGGGCTTCTACCCGCCAAATAACACTCGGGTTGTGAGCAGAGTGTACCTCAAGCTGCCAATTTGTAACCTCTGGTCTACGCAAACAATTTTGAGGCTCTCTACTTGGGAGGATGCTAGAGTTCTAGAGTTCTTGGGTTTAAACTCTAGGGTTTAAAAAGCTCAGAAATGGGAGCAACAGCAATTTAATTGTAAGGCCCCTTGTTGGGGAGAGGAGAAGCTATTGTCTTCCCTCCTCTCTGGGGATGGGCCGAGATAAGCAAGGCAGGCCTGACAAGCCTTGTCCTCTGGCTTCTGACTCTGGAAGAGGTCAAATTCCATTACGGCCAAGCCCAGAGTCATCCCAAATCACCCTAAGAACCACAGCAAGAGAAGACTTCTAAGCCCTGGGGACAGCGCACATCCCTCACACAGTTGAGTGGGCCTCCTGTAACAGGCAAGGAGTCAGAGGGACCTGGGTCACAATCCTGGCTGGGAAGTTAGTTTAACATCTCTGGGCTTATTTCTCATTCATGAAACAGGGTTAACAATACAAGGCTGTGCTGGGGACAGGTGTTCCAAACCGACAGGTGAGGAAAACAAATCTAGACCAGACAAGGAAGGCCCTGTGAATGAGTCCCTGAAGTTCATGGCAATAATATATGACCCATACTGCTTTGGATCGTGAGTATCTGAATAAAAATCTAAGTTACAGAGGAGCCACACAGAGGTGTCATCATAGGTTTGCCGCGTGATCTAAATTCATTAGAGAGTATCCAGGCATCTTTCTAATGGGTTGTGATCACAGATCCTGTGACTGCTTTTCTTTAAAGTTTCAGAGGCACATGGAGTCCACTACCCTCCACCCAGCAAACAGGCCCCTGGTCTAAGAGCCTCCTTTTCTGACAGGAAAGACCATGCCCCTGAAGCTCTATGGATAGAAGAAATCTCATCCTTAGCTGGGGTCCAGGCAGGAGACCTTGTCTAGACACCAGTGCATAGTCTAGAACTCAGCTCTGCCACTTCACAGCTGTGTAACTTGAAGCCGAGTTACCCAGCTCCTTGTCTATAAAGTGGGAGCAATAATAGTACCTACTTCTCAGGGTCCTTCCAGAGATGAACCGATCCATGGAAAGCATGGAGCCTGGCACACAGGATTTCTTATTAAATGGTAGCAGGTGGTTATTATCTTTAGCTACGTGGAGTGGGAGAGGCTGCCCAGCCCATCTGGCTATGTGGCTCCTTCCCCCCGATGATGCCCTGAACTCTCCAAAGCATCTGAGCGAGTTGGCCACTTTCCCCAGGATCTCTGTGTACTGGCCTGTGGAACACAAGCCGCCTTCCCGACCACCTGTCTGGCACACATCTGGGGTAAGAAAACATTCCAAAGCCCTGAATCCTCTCTTTGGAATTGACTAAGCTCATCGCCTGAAGGCTATCTCTCATATTTTCTCTTTTATCCACTGTTGACTTATTATTTCATCGCTAACCCTGAAAATTCACTGGGGCTTGCAAAAAAGGGGTTTTTTGGGGACCATTATCTTTTTGTGAACTTCAAACAGACTGCGTCAACTCTTCTCCTTGGCCGCAAACTTTAGAATCTAATTCTTTCTGACTGGTACTTTCTCTGGGCCCCTTGTGGGCCTCTGATAATTTCCACTGCTTTTCTCTAGACCTGTGGTATCTCTGCTAGGTCTTGGCCCCAGACATCCAACGAGCAATCAAATGATGTAGGAGGCTTGATAATGATTTGTAACTGCAGCCGCACCACACGTATGCAAGTCCTTGTTGGAAAAGAAAACTCTTTCGGAGATGAGTCACTTGGCAGCTTAATATGGGGCTAAGGTAAGCGTCTGAGTCCAGTATATTGGAAGGGGAGGAGAAGCTGTTGTTTTTAAAGCATGCTAATCACAAAACCTGGAATTTAATCTGCTTCCTGCAGGAAAAGCTCTATGGACTAAAATGGGAAATAAAATGCAAAGGTATTTAATAAGATAAAGAAGTTCTGACTGTTATTGCACTTCTCATACCCTGATTGTTCTCCAAACCCCCACAACAAAGGGGTGTAGTCTCTGATTTTTATAGAGAACACGTGTTCATTCTGGAAATTTTAAGGGAAAAGAGCTGACATTTATTGAAAGCCATGTGCATTGCCTCTTTTAATAACTGGTGACTGTCCTCAAATCTGAGAGAGATTTTCACTTGGTTTGCAGTTGAGGAAACTGAGGCTCAGAGAGGTTATTTTACGTGCCCAATTCTGCAGCTAGAATGTGGCAAAGCTGGGATTCAAACCCTGGCTCCAGATCCCACACTCATACCTCCAACCACATCCGGTGTAGACTCCAGGAGGCTCTATTTCTGTTGAGGGCCCCCCTCATGTGCCCACAGAGAGCCAGCTAATATTCTTGGGCCACAACAGCACACAGCAGGAGCTGACATGTCCACAATCCATCTATTCCCAAATGCCTCACATCCCCCATGCCAGACCCTCTGATTGCGCTTCCCTTCCCTGCCCGCCACGACCTCCCTCGGGCCCTGCTCACGTCTCTTCCCCAACTACAGTCATAGTCCTGGGGCAAAGGGAGACAAAGTACTGCCCACAAAGCTTCTGTCAAATCTAATCCATCTAAGTAAACCTGTAGCCAAGTAAACCTGCTGGCATCCAGCAGGATTCTCCTTTGAGGCCAAAGCACAGAGATTCTTACCCTAGTGTTGCCCAAAATGGCTAGAAAACTAGGTATGTGTGTCAGCCTGTGCAGAGAGAGAGTTTGTAGCTTTCAACAGCTTCTCAAAGGGGTCTCTGAGACCCGTGCCAGATCACAACCCACTGCCTTAGCAGATTTCCTCAGCCCAGTTCCCTTTGTTGGAAGGCATTCATGGTGACTGTGCTCCAAGAGGGCTCCAATCACTTGCAAGGCTTCATGGAATTGGCTGCTCAACAGCAGCAATGTTACAGGCCTGCATTAGCTCTTGTAGTCAAGACATATTCAACTCGGCAACACCAGCCTTTCACAATTCAAGTTTCTCCTCCCTCCTGGCCCAGCTGGTCTGGTCCTCCACATAACCTCATGTCTCTCAACTCAAGATATTTGAAAAGAACACTTACCGCAAAGGCTGTCTTTCCCGCCAGAACCATTAACAGCAGAACATGGAGATCAGACATTCTAGCAAACATCTTTGCAGTTTGAGGACTCTTGTTTTGCTCTAAATACAATTTCTTTTGTTGTCTATGCCTTTAGGGGGGAAAAATGTCAGTCTCCGAGGATTCAGGAACAAATGAAGAGGATGCAAATTATTAACTAGGCATCAAATACTGTTTAATGTTTAATGTTTTGCAAACCAACTATCTTGATTAAACAAATGGTAACTTTGGGGCTGGACTGAGTCATGAGGTGGTTTCTTTTCTGGGAAGAAAGTGTCCAAAGAAAGTGGTAGAGATAAAGAGCCCCCGGTCCTGGGTGCACCCGGAGGGCTGCCGAGTGTTCAGTGCAGAAGGCCCGATGGTTAACTAGCATCCCAGACACTGGTCTTTGCCATGCTGATTAGGACAGAATGTTAATAGAGTTCTGATTCATCAAATCACAAACAGAATTAAGGCATGGATGGGCTCCTACTAACATCACACTTTATATTCATGAAAGATAAATTAAAGGATGCAAAACTGCTATTGACAAACATTGATTCTGGGCCCTTTGAAGCATTGCCCGTGGTCGCTTGTTGGCTTCAAGAGTTTTCTTTTAAATTTCATTACATAAGGTTTTTACTTTTTAATTATTTTTTCCTTTTCAATGGAGTCTCTCTTTGATCAAGAGGGGGAAAAAGAAAACCATGATGCTCATATTTGGGGCCAACTGTTTCCTATGTTCCTTATTTAGCTACACTGGTTACAGGTAGGGCTATATAAAGCAGTGGTTACCTATGAAACGTGGGTTCTCGTGGACACAATTGATCTTTTTAATAGGCATCGTCCTGAGTGCCTGTAAATACCTGACTGCCCACGGTAATCTATGCGAGGGCTCCAGGAACCCTCCCGCCTGAGTTCTAAATACAGGTGCCCACCTGGGCCTCCTGCTCACCCATCTGCCATCCCTATTTGTCACATGAACGTGGACTGCTCAGGGGCGGCTTCCATCTTTGGAAGCCAGGTTTCTAGCCACGGAGGGCCCCACAGGTACCAACCCAGGGGAAGGCCAAAGTCAATGTCCCAGCCACCAGACGACCCTTGAAGGGCAAACCACATCCTGCCATATTACCTCCTAAATAACTCCCAACTTGTCTTCTTTTCTCCACTTACTTTGTGTCCATCCTATTTTAGGCAGCCATCAGCTCACCCCTGGTCAACTCCTGACCCTATAACTCATGCACATGGTAGTCCATTTCTCTGGGACTAACATAGAGACTAAAGCCCTTCTCTGTCCTCATCCTATCCCCCTGTAATCCTCACTCCAACGCTACCTCTCTTCTTGACTCTAACCCTATTCACTCTTTAGCAAGTTTGATTAGTTAACTCACCTAGTTCATGCATCTTTCAGATCCCAGCCCAAACATTATTTGTAAAACAGTATTTGTAAAATTTTAAATAACTTCAATTTATTCACGAACACCGTATTAATATTCATCGAATATTCACCAATGATCTGCCATGAGCCAGGCGTTGACAATGCAGGGACAGAGGAGGCAGACACGAACTTTGCTCTTAAGGAGCACACCTCCTGGTTGGGGGGAGATAAGGGGACAATGAAAAAGTAAACAAGTTAATTTTAGTTAGTGATAAGTGTGAAAAAGAATGAAACAGATGATGGAACAGAAATCCTTGTGGGTGGGAGGTTTCCGTAGACTGGGAGGTGACTGTGGGGGTGATGGTGGCTCAGTGGTCATTGGTGTGGTGCTGAGGACACTGTTGATGGTTGTCTGATCGCGGACAAGGGCTGAAGAGGCAAATTCAAAGCTGGAGGCTTCGTAGCATCTGCATAGATAGTGAAAAGTAAAAGTGAAAATTTCAGGCAAGTCAAATCACTGAATCACTCAAGTGACTTGGGCGTCTCTTTTCCTCTCCACAGCCTTGTGTGAACTCGTGATATTTGTGGGGAGATTCCCAGAAAACACACTAGAAGCTTTTCTTCCTGTGTCAACAGGAAGTGACCCGGGTGAGTTTGCTGTTCATCTTTTGAACCCAGATTAATTTCCCCGACGTGTAATCTTCCTTTTATTACATGCAAAAAGTGAACAATTTTGCTCTTTGTGTAACAACCACAGACCTCCCACATATTGTCTCTTATTTCCCTAAAGTTTCGTTATCACTACAATGTGAAATTGAATCAATTTCTGCATGTAGCTTAAAGGAGAGAATGCTCTAAAAGGTGCTAATCCTTTTAATTTTGGAGGACAAAAGGGCTGGCTTATCATGGAAGATGTCTTTATCTGGGCACTTGGAACAAACCTACCTGGGATCTCTGCTTTTTAAATTCAGGCATAGAGCCTGTAGCTCTCACCCTGGTGGGGGGTTCAGATGTTATCAAGCCAGTCTATTTTCTCCGAGCTCTGGGTGGTATTTTCCCACGTGTTGGGTTACATGTCTCTGGAGAGAGCCCCTCCCTGTCCTGCGTCTGGTGACCTTGGGACTCCGGTCCTCTAGTGGCCTGATTCTTCCATGCTAAGGAAAGGCTTCCTCACAAGGCCCTTGACAGACACCCACACTTTGATGTACTGGGTTAGGGCCTGAACAAACCTGTTTCATGTTAATTTGTATTCCTCAAGTAATAACAGTCTTCTTCCTTCTAGGCCTTCAGTATGAGGACGCAGCAGAGAAGGGTGCCTAAGAACAGCAGCTTGGACTCAAAAGAGACCCAGGGTGAGCCCCAGCCCTGCCACATCCTTGCTGTGTGACTTTGGGCCAGTCATTTACTCTCGCTGGGCCTCAGTTTCCTCGTCTGTAAAACGGGGATAATAGAGTTTCCACTTCCTAGCGTTACTGAGAGGCATATGTGAGAGCATTACGGTAAGGTGCTCAGTCCAGCAGGTGGCAGAGGGTAGAACTTTGCAAAACCCACTGGCCTTGCCATCAGTAAAGTCTTTTTATGAGATGGTGCTTGCTGAGCCCCTAGACCCTCAGAGATGAAAGGGCCTTGTGCCCAGTGAGTCTAATCTCCAACCCAGAGAAGGAATGACTGCCTTCTTGGGGGGAACGTTTATCTCATTTGTTCTCTCTAGAACAGAGATCAGCAAAGTTTTTTTGAAAGGGCCAGATAATAAAAATTTTAGTTTTTTTCTGGCCATACAATTTCTGTGGTGACTACTCAATCCTGCCATTTTAACACAAAAGCAATCACAGGTGATACTTATGCCAACGGGCTTTTGTATATATTGTACAATATGCACATACATGCCTTGTAACATAGTGGCTATGTTCCACTAAAACTGAATTTACAAAAAGAGGGCCATAGCTTAGGGATCACTGCTCTAGGAGATAAGCAATGCAGATGCAGCCAAAGCATTGCACAGCTCGAGGGGCCCTGGAAAACAAGGAGACATGCTGTAAAACGTGGAGGGAGGCCTGGACTGACGCGACACTGCTGCCCTCGGAGTGTTTACCCGGAAATTATGACCCCCTGACCCAGAATCATCAGAACTTCTTTGTTGGCTGGGGGACTAAAGCTCATTCATCGTTCATTCCACAAGTATTTATTGAGAGCCTACCGTGTGCCAGGCAGTGCTGTAGGGAATAAAGAAGACAGACCAGGTGCCAGCCTCATGGACTTACAGTCTCGTGATGATCCTCGCTCATGGTCACGTGGCTGCTCTTTGGTTAAATTTTAAAATCATCCCTAATCAGAGAAGACATCCTGCAAGGAAGTGTCATTGCTCCTTCCTGTTGTTCCCAGAGGCCCTGCCTGATCCATGAACTTCTAGGGGGCCCCTCTTTTGGGGGGAAGGGAGCAGGGGAGATGCCTTATTAACTTGGCATGGGGCAGGTAGACTCTCCCCACTCTGCCCCAGCCTCCCAGCATGGCTCAGTATGTTCACATCCTCTGCAAACTCGTTGGTACTGCACACCCCATTCTCCGACCTGGAAGATATTAGGACGCCCCCCATGTTTGTGAAAGGAAACCGGCATTTATGGAGCAGCTTCTGTGCTCCAGGGGCTTTCATGATCCTGAGCTATTACAGTCTTTATAACTACCCTGCAGGTGATTTGACCCATCTCACAGTTAAAGAAACCGAGGCTCAAAGATGTTAAATAAATTGCCGTCTAATAAGTTACTGAAGAAAACAACATGTCTAATAGCAAAGATTGCCCATTGCCTGGCCCATTTACACGCTGTCTTCATCCTTACTATTACTTATTATTAGGGTGGCAATGTGCCCAGTGTTTAGTAAAGGAATCATGTCCTCCAGCAACTGTGGTTTCCATTGTTTTCGGCTGGGTTTCCTGGGAAACAGATAGAGATGTTGAGATTTGTGGGCAGGAAGCTTATTGAGGAGTGCTTTTAGCATCAATACCCATGCGGGAGGGAAGGAATCAGGACTGCGCAGAGGGAGAAGTTGGGCTACAATGCAGTCGCAACAGAGGCCCATCCCATGGAAAGTTCTAGAGCTGGGATGGCCATCAGTAGCATTTATCATATAAAAACCTACTCAGATTACGTCATGCCCCTGCTTAAAACTCTTGGATATCTTCCCTTTGCACTTAGAATAAAATCCCAAATTCTTATCAAGACCCTGCTCCATCTGGCTTCTGGTTGCTTCTTCAGCCTCACTGTGGGCCCTTCGCACTCACGCAGTGTTCTCCGTGAGACCAGGGACCTTTTCTGTCATGATCATTGCTGTACCCTTATCCTCTAGCTCAGCACCTGGTATGGAGTGTCAATAAATATTTTGGATGGATGGATGGATGGATGGATGGATGGATGGATGGATGGATGGTTAGATGGATGGATGGATGGATGGGTGGATGGATGGTTAGATGGATGGGTGGATGGATGGGTGGATGGATGGATGGAGGGACAGATGGATGGTTAGATAGATGGATAAAGGGACAGTAAACAGCCATGTTTGATCAGACAACAGAAGCCTTTCTCTTGGCAAGGGCTCACAGCCACGCCACAGATTCCAAATTCAGAGGCGCCTCCCTCTTACCAAAATAAACTCGGGTCTTCGGTCATTGGTGGTTCTGGCTCCTGTAATCTATGACATTTGGAAAGATATAAGAACCATTGAAGCAGAACCACTGTATACCCTCCAAATGCAGCACAGCC